AGGTGAGATGTCGGCTGCAAAATAGTTAAAGAAACCATTTATTGAACTCTTTAGCCAAAACTGTTAGAGATACCTACCGGACTTTATGTTTATTTGTGCTGAATTACTTTTTTATGTTCCAGGCACGACGTGACTCCTTCTGAGCTTTCAGTTGCCCGCAACGCAGGCTCCGTGAGCGTTTTCCGTACCCCCTCCCCAGCACCCGTGCCTGAGTTGATATCTCCAAGTCGAACACAAGATGAAGTATTCACGTCCCCGCACACAGACACCTCTAAGGCTCTTTTCGAGTCTCAGATGAACTTTAATCCAGTTGAGATCAAGGTTAATCTGCCGGATTCGGTCGACCAGGAGCAACACGCCCGCGCGAAGTTTGAGGAGATTGTGGAAGATCTTATTGACAGCGAGAAGGAATATGTAATGTCACTTGGAAATGTTCAGGTTGGTAAAATATGGAAACCACTGTTGGGTATATAATGGATAGCATTAGATATCCCTACAACCTTTCCCCATCTCCTTTTCTGCATATTCTTTACTTTAAAATTATTTCTCAAGTCTCTCTCAAATCTTTTTAAACAGAAGTACATGGCTGAAGTAAAAGACTCCCCTGAGCTGAGCCCTGATGCAAAAGAATCCATCTTTATGAATGTTGATGAAATTGAAGATTTCCACAAAGCGTAAGATATATTTGTATTTTTTAATAAATTGCTCAACAGCAGTGCTTAATATGAGCGAATTGTTTCCCCCTTTTAGTTTTGTTACTGAACTTGAAGAATGCAAGAAAACGCCATTATCAATTGGGAAACCATTCGTCGACTCGGTAAGATTCTTCAGAGGTGTTTTGAGGAAAATGTATAAAGTTTCAGCGAAGAAATTTTGAAAAATCTTTCTAGAAAAACGAACTGCAGCGTTACCTGACGTTCAGGGAAAAGAAACCGGAATCAGATTTGGTTCTTTTGTCTGTTCCAACAAGTTTCTTTCAGGTACGATAAACCTTGAATATTTTATGTGGTGTTTTGTTTTGTTTTGTCCAGTTTTATTAACCTAAAAACATCATGATTAGTTGTCATGGCAGTGTAAGGAATGGAGTGTAGGCCCATGAGACAGTCTTAATTTTCTTTGATTGCAAGGAAGTGGAGTTTGAAAGTATTTTGAACACTGAATTAAATCACTGATTCATTTGATAGAATCTGCTTTCAAAGAGCCATATTCCATCGCTGGAATCCCTCTTGGAAGAGCCAATCAAAAGAATTTACGTCTACAGAACATACCTTACGAAGCTTGTGCAGTACGGAGAATACTTACCTGAGGATTGCACTGAGATTAAGGTGGGCAGTGAACGAGTGCAATTATCTGGCACGCTCTGTTGTTGAAAAACCTGATATATTTTACCTTTGCTATTTTTTATTACCCCGGTCGAATAAACCACAAACAAATATATTCGACCTTCACTACTGTTATATTTAGAAAGCTAAAGACATCGTCCATGCCATAATATCTCGAATGGAAAACCCAAATGGGTAAGAAAGATTTTCTTATCATTACTATGTGATGTAGAAGATCAAGCCTTCTTTCTGCCTAACCTTGAACCAATCTATTTGTCCTTCAAATAGTGATGTAACAGAGCTTCGTATTCCCAGTAAAAGGCAACCAGTGACAATGAACTTCGAGGCGAGATCTCCTGACGAGGTTTCATTGAAACGTGGCGAGCACGTGGCCGTACTTGATGTCCCGGCAAAATCCGACGAACGAGTGTACGTTGTTAAATTCCGTGGTGATGGATCGGAAGAGAGCAGAGGGTGGATCCCGAAGTATGTTTTGGATCCCGAAGTATGTCTTCCAGAACAGACGATCAAGATAGCACTGGATGAACCAATGGAAAATTCTCCTCCATCCGACGAGACACATGACCTACCAAAATCGGGCGAGACTGGTTTTAAACCGGTGATCATCTCGTTACCAGCACCTAGCGAGGCTCCACCCGTACAGAGCAACCTCGACACGGAACCAGTATCATTCGTAGAACCACTTCAGAATGCTGACGTAACCGAAGGTGATGACGTGATATTCGATTGCTTCATATCCGGTTCGTCCCCACTCGGTATCCAATGGTACAAGGACAAGGAACCTATTTCGAATGACGATCAAAAGTACTTCACAGAAGCGAAGCATAAGGAACTTCGGTTGATCGTGAAGGATGCTACTCCAGATGACATCGGAGATTACCGGTGCACTGTCGGAAACGATCGTAGCCAAGCGAGCAGTGATGCGCATTTAGATGTAAAGCCGAACCCATCAACCTTCGTCCCGCCTGAGTTTACAAAAGTCCCACAAAACACCGTCTCTGTTGAAGGGAACACCGTCAGATTTGAGGCAAAAATTTCGGGTCGACCGAAACCCGACGTGATTTGGTTAAAAGATGATAAACCTGTAAATCCCGGACCAAGATATCAAATTCAGGATAAAGATGATGTACACAGCTTAGTTATAACAAACTGTACCCCAGACGATTCCGCTGAGTATACCTTAGAAGCAAGAAACGACGCTGGCTTGGCGACATGTCCCTTCTCACTCTCCCTGAAAGAAGACAATGTCCCGCCCAAGTTTACCCAAAAACCTCACGATATTTCTCTCAAGACCGGCAGCCCCCTCGAACTCGTTACATCCTTCGTTGGTACACCGGAACCCGAGATCACCTGGTTTTTGGACGGTGAACCGCTGAGCACAAATTCCGTATGCGAGGTGACGACAAAGGATGGAACATCAAGGTTGTTTATCGATCAGTTGGAACCAGAAGATGCTGGAGATTATAAGTGTATTGCACGTAACAATGCAGGAAAGGCAACAGCAGGATGTAGTGTTATTGTGAAAGATTCGCTACCAGGTAGAACTTATAAGATGGGTTTTTCTTTTCCTTTATCTGCACTAGAGCATGACCCATGAACATTGCTAGACTATCAAGAAATCCAGTACAATTAAGGTTTCTTTAGTAACACTGGATCAATAAGAGATGATCCTTACTGGACCTCTAGGAATAACAGTTTCGAACTGATAGAGCTATCCAGTATAAATAAAGTTAGTTTAGTTTAGGTTTCCTCCTGTACTGGTTGTCTAGATCTAGGAGGAACACTTTCAAATTTTTACTTTTTTTATATCGTTCTTAGATGAATCTCCGGCGGTAGGAAAAGTGTTTGAAATTCCTGTACTGACGGTTGAGCTTGAAACCACTCCAGAGAATCGTGCTGCTCCAAGGTTTGCCAAGAAGTTGAAGAACTGCCAGGTCTTTGAAAACGAAAGTGTCAACCTCGAGGTTGTCGTCGAAGGATTACCGAAGCCAAAGGTTAAATGGGAGTTTGAAGGAAAGCCACTTGAAGAGAATGATTGTGTATTTACAGAAAGCGACGGCAATGTTTTCAGGTTTGTTTTTCCAGAATATTTATATCATAGCATAACATTATATCAAACTTTCTTTGTGTCTAGAATAACTACATATTAAACCTAAACTTTATGTTAAATTTCTGGAGGTCTATACCAAAGTCGTCGATAACTTTTGAAATAAAATAATCTGTAATGGACAGTCCTATCAGTTCTAGATATTTATTTATTTCACGTTTTTCTGTTTTTGCCTAGACCTACAAGTAGCTACACGGTAGCTCTTGGAGATTCTTATCAACGAACTCTCGCATGCCATCACTGAGCTAGTCATCTCTGATTCTAACCTAGGAAGAAATTAGTGATTTGATATTTTTCTTTTATTTTCTGCAGATTGGTCATAAAGAAGGCGGACTTAGATCACGAAGGTGATTACACATGCACCGCCACAAATGATGTTGATTCCTGCTCAAGTCATTGTGAACTTCTTGTGGAAGAACTACCTCCAAGCCTTCGCTTCACGAAACCACTTTCTGATTCCGAAATAAAACCAAACGAGAAAGTCGAGTTATCCGTTGAGGTGGAGGCGGATCCTTCAGGTGATGAACTACCTTCTGTCTCTGTGACTTGGTTTAAAGACGAGATACCTGTTGAAAAGATCGCCAAGGATGGAAATACATCGAAATATGAAATGGACTCAAAGAAAGGGAAGCACACTTTGATGTTTACTCCAACCGGAGTGGAAGACCAGGGGAATTACAGAGTTGTTGTGAAGAACAACGAGGCGCAAAACAGTAGCATCGCGACTTTGAAAATCGCCGAATCACCGAACACTGAAAGGCCGATCGAAAGACTTGAGATACAACAAGATTTCGAGTTTCCAGAGATAACATTCGAAGTTAAGAATGAACCAGAGTTTATGTCTGTTCCAAAAGACCTCGCTGTAATCGAGAATGATAGGGTAGTCCTGCGGTGTTCAGCAGCGGGGAACCCCGTACCTGACATGAGATGGATTAACGAGAAGAAAGAGGATATTCCTGAGCATGGGAGGATTCGGCATGAAACCAACGATGGTTATAGTTCCTTGATCATTGAAGATGCAGATTTGGACGATGAAGGATTTTACACATGCATTGCTTCGAATCCATCCGGGGAGGTTTCTACAACAGTTGAGCTGCTTGTTGATGAAGTACAGAGAGAACGAGATGACAAACCATTGGCAAAGCCAGCTTCGGAAGAAATCCCTATTGTCATTGAACAGGTGGACAAAGTTTTCAAGCAGCCCACGGAAACTGAGCTGAGGTAAAAGTGGTAGAAATGTTCCATTAGAAATATCCAGTCATAATTCAGAGATCAGACTGTTCCATTGTCTTTTCATTGTTTTAAAAATCTCATTGTTCTTCATGTCATCCAGTCGTCATCCAGTCATGATCCAGAGATCAGAATATTCCATCATCCAGTAATAAGACTCTTTCAATGTCTTTCACTGTAGTTCTGGGAATATCATTGTTATTGTTATTCTCATCCAGCACTCATAACCATGTACATCTTTTAGGTTCACTTTTGATACAGAGGATGGCAACTTTCACAAAGTTCCACCTGCTGAAATGCGACCTTCAACCCCGATACCAATGGATATCACCTCCCTGCGAGAGACCCCACGCGAGATAGTCACGAAACCGCGCGTGGAAACCATACGCGACACGTACACAGCCGATGGACAGAACACATGTTTAGCTGTCCTGGTTCACGGACCACCAGACACAGTTGAATGGCTAAAGGATGGCGTACCTTTGAAAGATAGCAAAAAATATACGACCCAATTTAATGAACAGACTGGCGTATACGAACTGATAATCCACGACTCTGAGCCGAGCGATTCCGGAGAATACCGATGTTTAGCGAAGAATTCCAAAGGCCAAGACTCCTGTCCAATCAAACTCGATATCCAACCGTTATCCGGGCCACCGAAGTTTCTTCGAGCGCTCCGCGATGCCGAAGTGTTGTCGGACACTTCAGTGAAGTTTATTGTAGAAGTCGTAGGCAGTCCCACGCCCGATGTAAGATGGTGTAAAGATGGGTTACCTGTGGTGGAGAATGAAAAGTACAATATTGAGAGTAATGGAATTACTTATTGCTTGACGGTCAAAGATTGCAAGGTAGGCATTTGGTGGAGAATCCAGTCTTTCTCTCACTTCTGTGGTCAAATGAAGAAATTCGGTGAATGAACATTCTTTCTTCACAACAAATGAATTGAAAAAGATACTAAAATCTTGCCTATAACAAGTTCGTCAATTGAGCCACTATATTTACTTGTCTTCATTGTTATTCTTCACTCCTGGCTTGTGGAATGTATTCCGTTATTGATAATGTAGTACTGCATTGGCTTTAGTTGATTTGTTTCCTAAATACATTACAGACAAGCGTACAAGTTAATTACAGACCATAAAACATCCATTTTTGAGACCAGAATTGGTCCTAAAAAACAGATCAAATTTAGTCTCAAGATGTGGTGTAATCTTTCTACTGATGGAAGTGTGTCTACTGACATTGTGTCATCAACATTTTTAGGTCACAGACAGTGGTGAATTCAAGTGTATAGGTGAGAACTCTGTTGGTCAGGTTGAATCTTCAGCCGTGCTCACAGTATCAACAATACCACTCCAACCTCCGTCGTTTGAGGACAAACCCGAGGACACAGCCATTGAGATTCTAGAACAAGGTGATATCAAACTTGAAGCGACCATTGTTGGAAGACCCAAACCTCAAGTCGAATGGTTCAAAAACGAACAGCCCGTGAAAGAGAACGAGCATTATAAAATTGACCAGCACGATGATACCTATAAGTTAATCATTGTAGGAGTGTCGAAGGACGATTCTGCTTCGTATAAATGTATTGCAACGAACGACGGAGGAATTGCTGAGAGAACATATCATGTTGACATTGAAGGTAGGTGGTATTTATAGAGCTTTTTAAACGGGGATAAGCGGAGCTGAAGTTCACGGTAAACAAACTTTAACTTTAAACTGAATAGCTATATCGGTTCATAGTTTAACTACGCTGAAATGTTTTGAATGCTTTAAGCAAAAAAATACTTGTTTGAATGAGAATTCTTACCAAGCGTACTTTTCTAGTCAAATTTCTCAGCAGGCATTTTGAGAAGTCAATGATATCGGAGCTAATTAGTCTGTGAAACAAATAGAATACTCAAATATACAAAGTTACGGGATAACAACAAAAATATTTCCCATTTCAGCTAAAACTGGCCCACCTGAGTTTGTGGAGGGCCTAAGCAAGGTTGTGGTTCAACCAGGGGAGGAAGCACGTCTTGAATGCCAAATGGGTGGATCACCTGCGGGCAAAATTGAATGGTTCAAAAACAACGAACTTCTAAAGGAAAAAGATGGTGAAACGAGCTCACTGACGATACATGCGCCTTGGTTATACCGAACGTAACTCCGAACGATAGCGGGGAGTATCGATGCGTCGCCACGAACGATTCCGGATCCAGCACGACGACTGCCGAACTTGCTGTGGAAGCACCCGAGTCTATTTTGAAGCCCGAAGTAGATTCAATAACGTTTGGGGCGGTTGAGCCTGAAAGTACCGATGACATCACTGAGCCTGAAGTGGCGCCATTGTTTACAGAGGAAGCCCAGGAAGGCGCGGTTACTGTTTTAGACGGGGGGAACGTACGACTCGAAGCCAAGATCGGAGGAATTCCAACTCCAGTTGTGGAATGGTTCAAAGACGAGACGCCCGTGGATGTCGGGGAACACTTTGTGAAGATTGTGGACGGCGATAGATATTGCTTGGATATTGTTCATGTATCCCCCAGTGACTCGGGGACATATAAATGTGTTGGAACTAACCATCTGGGTACAGTAACGCGAGTGTACAGCCTGGATATTGAGGGTTAGTAATACTTGATTGCTTTGTTGGAGATGTAAGTAAGGCCCATTTGAGCTCAGACTATCCCAAACGTTCTACATTTTCACTTTCTCTTTTGTCAGGTAAAGAAGATGAAGACGATATTGACGTGTTTCCGTCGCCCCCTGAACCAAGCGAAGCTCCCTCGTTTGTGGAGCAGCTCAAACCCCAAGAAGTAAGACAAGGCAGCACATTAAGACTCTCGTGTCGATTGGCAGAGCTTCCTTCTACACAGCTCAAATGGTTCAAAGATAACAGACCATTGGAAATGGACTCTAGAAAAACAGTCACGACTAAGAATGATACTTGTACATTAGTCATCTCAAGTGTGAAGCCCCAAGATGAAGGTGAATATAAACTTATCGCAACGAATAACAACGGGCAATGTGAATCCACCGCATCCGTTTTGGTAAACGAATCCATTAAGGCACCACGTTTCACGTCATCCTTGCAACCACTGACCGTGAAGGAAGGCGAGGACGCTCAACTCGTTGTCAAGGTGACGGGAGAACCGGAAGTGGCATGGTACCGAGACGAGACTCCTATCACCGACGATGAACGATTTGTTATAGTCGATGCACTGGATTGCGATGATAAGTATTCACTGGTTATCGAAAGCTGTAAGCCGTCTGACACTGGCATGTATCGGTGTATTGCAAGAAATGCTGTGGGCGAAACGGAGTGTTCAGCTCCAATGAATGTTCTTCAAAAGCTACGTGTTCAGAAAGACGCTCCCAAACAAGCCATTCCGGCGGAATTGAGAAGCGAAACAGGTGAGTGAAATAGTTCTCACAAAACTTTTTCTCACAAGGGAAAATATAATATAATTTTGGCGAAGCTTTACTGTTATATAGAATACTTTCTTTGCGGAGTTATAATATTCAATTGCCATTAAAGGTATTATCCTTTCAAGTTATCAGTTCTTATTTTCTTCTCGTTGTTTGTCTGTCAAATGAGATATCTCCAAAAGATTTCAGTTTCAAATTGAAACTGTTTCATATGTTTTTAAAACGATATCTGTCTCAAACCGTCCTTCCATAAATGGTCAACTAGAAGTATCCCGTTTCAAATCATTCGCCCGCTATCAGTTAGGAAAATATTTGTCCCAGATTGTTTTTATCCGCAGTCAACATGGCCAACATTGCAGCTTCTTCAAATAACTTCCCATCGCATGTGGTTAAAGAACTGCCTAAAATATACTCTGATATCTTCTTGACGTTTCACCTAAAGACCTTCGAGATATTTTATCAGATTTTAGCTCCAAATCATTTGTCGGTTGTCAGGGTTGTGTCAAAATGTTTGTTTCAAATTAAGACCCTTTAAAAACTCTCCTCCCAGACGCACCATCAGAGAAGCCACGATCTCCGAAGAAAGCAGTGCTCTTTGACACCGGACCTGCTCAGTTTGAACCCGAATTCAAGAATGTTATTCACGATCTCTCGATGGAAATAACAGACGGAGGGGACATTATCTTAGAGGCTGAAGTCATAGGGCACCCTAAACCAGACGTGGAATGGTACAAGAATGATACATTGATTACGTCATCGCATCACTATCTTCCACAGTCCCGAGGGGATGTCCATTGGCTCACGATTGTCGGCGCCAGTCCCTCCGATGCTGGAGAGTACAAATGTGTAGCCTCGAATCCACTGGGTACCAGAATCAGGACGTATGCTGTTAATATTGAACGTAAGTACTGATTAAGTTATTGCAGCTGTTGAGAAGTAATTTTGAGATATTTCGGCTATTATAATTTCGGCTCAAGTAACACGACATTCTCTAAATACTAAACTGTTAAGCTGTGTGAACTGTTAAAAACTGAAAATGAACAGACTGAACAATTATAGTTGGATTAGAAAGACCCGTTTTCAAGTGTTTTAATTCTTCTTTAGTTTCAATGGAAGAAGAAGATGAAGAAAATTTGGCACAGGAGGAAATGTCAAACCATGTCGACTACAAAATACCACAAGAACCCTCAGAACCAATCACACTCAAGCAAGAAACTATGAACGTTGAAAGTGAACCTCTTATGGATCAAGACACACCAACCACACAACAAAATGGCGAACCACGCTTCAAAGACAATCCGTTGGACACTCGCATCAAACCACAAGGAAAAAAAGAGGAAGCGGGTACCGAACCAAAGGTATTAACTCCCGAGGTGCATTCTGTTATACCCGTTGATGGGGCTAATGTCCCGGTTGGAAAAACCCCAGAGGGTGCATCACCGGAGGGTAGTACCTTCTCTCTTGGTACACCTGTGGCAATAACCGTCCCTCTAATTGGTGATGGGGCTGAATTAACAGTTAAACCTTCAGAAGGCGGGCGATCAGAACCCGGGGTAAAACCAACTCTGGCTGCGAATGAGGACGAACCACAGGCAGTTTCCCTCCCCGTGTCTGCTGAAGAGAAACCCAAGGGGCAACCTCAACCCACCGATCTCACACCTGACAAGAAGACACCAGCGACTCCAGCCCAGGAAATACGTTTCAATATTCCTTTAAGTGGCGTGGATGAGCCGTATGTTATTTTGGATACACAGGAAAGATCTCCCGAAGCGACGTCTCCTGGTCTTGTTGAACAAGGTATGTGGTTGTATATTTTTATCAAACATATACAGTAGTCATGTATTCGAATGAAATATTTTGTGCCTACAGCTGTCTAGATTGCTGGTACTTTATACTACGGTACGTTTACTTACTGAAATGAACTTCAATAGCAATATAACCGTTCAGATCAAAATGGAGACGTAGGGATTGTACCAAATTGCTACCGTATATATTTCAGAACCACTTATCCAACCACAACAAGAGGAAAACAATGTCCAAGCATCTCCTGATAAGTTACCCTCGTTCATTCCGCTACTACCAGACGCAAAGCAAGAGAAAAATCTGCCTCAGCCGTTTGATGAAATGTCAGTCACTATTCAACACCCTGACAAAACAAGACCTGAATCTGGTGCTGAAGATGTGCCAAAGACGCTTATTAATGGGAAGCATGAACAAAGAGATGATGGGGAAGCACCTTCAACCGCACCGCTCTCAGCAATTAATGTGACAGTTCCTTTAGATGAAAATGCCGGACCCATAAAGGTTGTCCAAAAACCTTTAGAATCTGCCGAGTAAGTATTGGAAATCCTTGAACTATGTGAATCTGACAGTACAGGTGTCTGAAAATGTGACTGTGATTTCATTATGTTATTCGTCTTTCCAGGAAACAGGATGAAAATCCAGATAGAGCCCCCGAGTTCTTGGAATCTCTTCCAGACGATATCGAAGTCTACGAAGGATCTGAAGTAAAGTTGAGTGTCCGAGTTAGTGGAAAACCGCCTCCGAAATTGAAATGGATGATTGGCTGTAAACCTTTGAAGAAAAGTAGTCGTGTCGAGATGAGAGAGAACAGTGGTTTGCAAGAACTGGTCATCAGGAATGTCACGTTGGAAGACGAGGGCGTTTACAGTTGTGTTGCGGCGAATAAGTACGGGGAGGCCTTTTGTGATTGTGAAATCATTGTCGAGGGTAAGTGTGGCCCTGATGTGTGTGATTTGGGGGAAATTAAATGGGGAATTGCCATGTAGAAAGGTAGATCGTGTTGTCCAACGTCCGACCGACAAATTTTCTCATACGTTTATTCCTTGATCTTATTTCAGTGCCATCAGAAGACGAAGAGTCAACAGGTCCATTGATAAGCCAGTGTCCTCCTGGATTCATTCGAGGTCTTGAAGACACTGAAGTGATTGTAGGCAAAAGCATTACTTTGCAATGTCAGTTCTTTGGTATACCAGAAGTCGACCTACAGTGGTACAAGGATGGAGGACCACTTGATCACGATGATGATCGATTGGTGTTCGATATTCTCGAAGACGTAGCTACTTTAACCATCAACAATGCAACGCCGGATGATCAAGCCTGGTATCGATGCAATGCATACAATGACCTCGGGTCATCCTCCACGGATTGTGAACTGCTAGTTGTTGAAGCTCCTAAGTTTGTGAAGTCACTTGAGGATACCATTATCAGCGAAGGTAAGTCAAGATTATTTAGTAAAGGGTCGTTGACTGTCCAACACATTTTATCAGTGAGTAATTTCAACATAGACCACATTCTGATGAATAGGTTTCCAACACCACATTTATGAAGCTCATATGTTGAACTGTGAAATTTGTTTGGCAAATCCTATGAATTATTGATAAAATAGTCCTGCAAAGTTCGTAAAGGGACATAAAGGTAGTTAAAGAACTATATTTCCGCCTTTGTTTCGCAACAAAACGTTCTGGTTTACCGTGTTACTTATTCCAAGACGTTCTTCTAGTTGTGAAGTTGATTTTTTTTTGTCGTGGCCAACATAAAATTTTGGTATATGGCTAGAATTAACCCTTACGGGATCTCAAAAGGTTTGCTACTTTGCCATTTCAGGAGAGGATATACAGTTTACTGTACAAATTGAAGGCGAACCGGAAGTGAGTTGGTACAAAGATGGCAAGCTATTGGCTGACGAAGGACGCTACGTCATCGTAGATCAACACGAGGAACAGATCTTCACTCTGGCTATTGAAGATGTGCTGCCCGAAGATGAAGGCGAATACCGATGTCTTGCCGAGAACGAGGCGGGGAAATGCGAATCCATTGCGAAGTTGACTGTCACCGACAAAAATTATCCACCAGAACTCACAAACGAAGGTCAAGACGAACCGCACTTTGTCAAAAAGGCAGGAGAGTTGAAGCTCTCTGTGGCTTTGAAGGGTAATCCGTTCCCGGAGGTGAAATGGTTCAAAGACGACAAACCGTTAAACAATGACAACCATTATGAAATATCCGAAAAAGAAAACGAACGTTCTCTCTGTGTCCATAATGTGACTTTGGATGATCGCGGGGTTTATAAATGTGAAGCGACATCAAAAATGGGCAAAGTTACTCGAAAATTCCAAGTCAACATTGAAGGTAAACTTCTTGTGTTTATTGCTGCAAGTAGGTTCGTGATTATTGCAAATTCTGCATTTTTTAGCGATTATATAAATACCACAACTCTCCTTTATTGAGAACTAAATCTGGACAATATCTGTGCTTTGCAATTTCAGGATTCATGCCGCAAGGTTCGCCTCCGACTTTCACCGAAATTGTTCAACCCGTCGAAGTAAAGGAGGGTGCTGACGTGACGTTTACCTGCCGCGCAGGTGGGGAACCGAAACCCGAAATCGAGTGGTACAAGGATGACACACTCCTGGACCAGGACGATCGTGTGAACATTGACCAGAAAGATGGAGTGTCGACTTTGACCATCAAAAACATCACCACAATAGACGAGGCAGTTTACAAAGCACTTGCAAGAAACCCGCTCGGGATTGCAACCTCTCAAGCAGAACTTCTAGTTACTGAATCAGCCGTGAAACCAGAGCTATTAGAACCGTTGAAAGACATTGATGTGAAAACTGGAGCCGATTGCTGCTTTTCCATGCGCGTGAAAGGCAACGTGAAGGTGGATTGGTACAAAGATGAAGAGATCCTCCTGGACGCTGGACGGATTGTTATCGTGGACGAGCAAGATGGAGAGACCTTTACTTTGGCTGTCGAGGACGCGAGGGTCGAGGACTCTGGAGTTTACAAATGCGTCGCGCGTAACGAAGCAGGCGAAGTCACCAGTAATGCGATTTTGAAAGTTTCTCCAAGCCGAAGACGAAGCAGAAAGGGAAGCAAGGAAACTCAAAAATCAGCCGTACCTGAAACTCCTGAAAAATCAATGGATTTGATTCTTGAAGGTATAAAAATGTTCCGTGAATAGTCTGGTGTTTCCATATTTATAAATCTTGCCTTTTTGCACAACGCTCTGTCGTGATTTGTGCTAGCACCGGAAATAGGAATAACATATAGGAAACTTACCTTTGCCTCTTCGCCTTTCCGTAGACTCACCATTCGAATCAGGTGCGCCGAATTTTCTACGCGACATTCAGGATTGCGAAGTTGTGGCGGGATCCGAGCTGAAATTGACATGCAAGTTCGAAGGGTCACCTCGACCCGAAGTGGAATGGTTTAAAGATGGCGGTCCCCTGGAGGAAAGTGATCGAGTCACGTGCTCTGTGAACGATGACGTCACAAATATCGTGATCAAGAAGGCCGAGCCGGATGACGAGGGCTGGTATCGATGTCGAATCTCAAACGAACGTGGTACGGCTGCTGTCGAAGCCGAGCTGATTGTAGTGGAAGTACCGAAGTTCGTGGAGCCTTTGAAGGATTTGGCGATAGATGAAGGTATTGGCTTGAAGAGTTATTTGGTAGTGTAGACTAATGTCTTAAGAGTGCTAGAACAATGTTTTTTTCCTCAGGAGAAGATGTTCAATTTACAGTAAAGATCGAGGGAGAACCGGAAGTGAACTGGTACAAAGGAGACAAACTATTGGCTGATGAAGGCCGTTACGTCATTGTTGACGAAGAAGAGGATCAAATCTTCACACTAGCCATTGAAGATGTTTTGCCCGATGATGAAGGCGAATACCGATGTGTGGCCGAGAACGAGGCGGGCAAATCCGAATCTGTTGCGAAGCTGTTTGTGCAAGAGAAGGAATACCTACCCGAGTTCACGAACGAAGGTCAGGACGAACCGTACCTCGCTAACATGGGAGACGATTTAAGACTCGACGTATCCGTGAAAGGCAAGCCATCTCCTGAGGTGAAATGGTTCTTAGATGATAAACCATTGCCCAGCAACCTTCATTATGAAATCTCTGAGGATGGGAACGATCATTCCTTGTGTATACGATCAGTTACGTTGGACGACAAGGGTTTGTACAAATGTGAAGCGACTTCAAAACTCGGGAAAGTTACACGCAAGTTTCAAGTCAACCTGCAAGGTAAGTGAGAATGAATGAATGTTGAAATAATGTTTTGTTATTCTCATGATATATGCCTTGTTTACGAAAGATATCTCGCTTCCGCAAATGTTTTTTGGTGTCAATAATATTTCGCTTTGCTAGGATTCACCCTACAGGGTACAGCACCAACATTCAGCCAGAATATCAAGCCAGTTGAAGCATCTGAAGGAACGCCGCAGGTAACGTTTCAGTGCCAAGCCCAAGGTGAACCCACTCCTGACGTGGAATGGTATAAAGACGATCAATTGCTGGAACAAAGCGACAGAGTGAAATTTGAAACAAACGGCTGTGATAGTTTCTTGTACATAAATGACATTTCCCAGGCGGACGAAGGTGAATACAAGGCTCTTGCAAGAAATCCTGTTGGAATAACAACGTCAGTCGCAGAACTCATTGTTGTGGAGTCCTCCACCGAACCAGAATTGGTCGCCCCGATGACAGATCTTAAGGTAAGTTCATTTAGAAATTTTTGCTTTCTGTTTGCCAACAATCGAGAAACATGTCTGATAGGAATTTCCAGGTATGCTAGTCTTTAAAGCCATTACTGGTTTAGCATTACTTTCAAGTATTCGAAATATAGAAGTCTGTTTAGGAAACAGTCTTTTGTGTGGGCAAGACAGGCCAGGAGACAATGTTTTCTAGTGTTCTTAATCTTTATTCCCGCTTCTTTGTTTTAGATCCAGGCTGGTGACGATGGCTGTTTCAATGTCCGCGTAAAAGGAAATGTGGCAGTAGACTGGTACAAAGATGATAAGTTGTTAGAAGATGCTGGTCACGTTGTGATTGTTGATGAAGATGATGGAGAGACGTTCACTTTGGCTTTGGAAGAAGCGACTGCACAAGATTCAGGAGTGTATAAATGTGTTGCCAAAAATAAGGCTGGTACAGTGACAACTACAGCAGTATTGAAAGTTGAAGGCGAAGTCCCGGAGATTAAGAGAAGAGAACCATCTGGACAAGCTAAGGATGATCTGCCGTTGTCCAAACCCGCTGAGGAAATGGTTGGGAAATCCATTGAGTTAGTTGTTGAAGGTGGGAGTTTAAAGCATTCAATATATTCTTTAGGATCGCCTATGCTGGTGCAGTTGGCTTTGACTATGGCTTTTCATTTTATCTGGCATCTATGATGATCAAATTCAAACAATTTAATACCGTTTTCTTCTTATCTTTAGAAGTTGCACCCGAACCAGGTTGCCCTCAAATACTGAGTGACTTTAAAGATTGTGAAATATTGGCAGGCTCCGATCTTACACTGGAATGTAAGTTCGAAGGCTCGCCGCGACCTGACGTGGAATGGTTTAAGGATGGTGGACCCCTGGAGGAAAGTGATCGAGTCACGTGCACAGTGGACGATGACGTCACAAATGTCGAGATCAAGAAGGTCGAGCCGGATGATGAAGGCTGGTATCGATGTCGTATTACCAATGAACGTGGTACGGCTGATGTTGAAGCTGAGCTGATCGTAGTGGAAGTACCAAAGTTCGTGAACAAACTAGAAGATATATCGATTGATGAAGGTAGATAAACAGACATCTTTAGGTAGCATTTTGTCAACGTTGCTAAGTTCTAACGATTTTCCTTTTGTAGGAGAAGATGTTCAATTTACAGTAAAGATCGAGGGAGAACCGGAAGTGAGTTGGTACAAAGGAGACAAGCTATTGGCTGATGAAGGACGTTACGTCATTGTTGACCAGGATGAAGATCAAATCTTTACATTAGCCATTGAGGATGTTCTGCCCGAAGATGAAGGCGAATACCGATGCGTGGCCGAGAACGAAGCGGGTAGATCCGAATCTGTTGCGAAGGTTGTGGTCCTCGATAAGGAATATCCACCCGAGTTTACGAACGATGGTCAGGACGAACCGTACTTTGTTAAGACTGGAGACGATCTGAGGTTGGATGTGATATTGAAAGGAAATCCGTTGCCTGAAGTGAAGTGGTTTGTGGACGAAAAACCATTGAAGAATAACCTTCATTATGACATCTCGGATGATGGTCGGGAGCATTCGTTGTGTATTCGGAATATAACTCGGGACGATCGTGGCGTGTACAAGTGTGTAGCTTCCTCAAAGTTAGGAAAAGTCACTAGAAAATTCCAAGTCAACATTGAAGGTAATTTACAACAAGATCAGTTTTGAACAGATTCTCCATTCTTTCTTATAAGTGTCTTGAGAAGTATATTAATATTACAGCTGATTCATTCTTTATTAAACCTTGTAACACCAGCTTATTTTGGGTACTAATTTGGGTAGGGAATTTCGTAAGTAAAGATGTATTTTTTCTCAGGGCTTGCTCAGGAGGGAATATCTCCGGAAATCATCCAGCGTCTCGTTCCAGTCGAGGTGAAAGAAGGAGAGACGGCGAGGTTCGAGTGTCGTGTGCTTGGTAGACCTACACCGGAAATTGAGTGGTACAAGGACGATACATTGATAGAAGAGGATGCGGAAGGATTCAGTTTTAGCACAAAGGAAGGGTGTAAAATAATGAGCATACATGACGTATCACCATCTGATGAGGCCGAGTACAAGGTCCTGGCACGGAATCCTCTTGGGACTTCCACTTCATCGGCTGAACTTCTGGTAGAAGAGACAGTAACGAAACCAGAATTTATCAGCCCACTTAAAAATGTTGAGGTAAATCAAATTATTCATCTAGCTTTACTGAACAATTTATAGATTTCAGATTATCCTGAGAACATTAGTTTTATCAGGAATATAGTAGATACAGTCAGTGGAGTTAGGATCTGATGATTTAGGAACTTCTTTCCCTGTGCCTTGAGAAGGAGCAGTGAAGAATATCTCCAGCTATTCATTCGGGTTGTGAATGGACATATCATTAATAAGGTGTTTCTTATCCACAGATCCAGGCTGGTGATGATGGAAGTTTCAGTGTCAGCGTAAAAGGAAATGTGAAAGTAGACTGGTACAAAGGAGATGAATTGTTAGAAGATGCTGGTCACGTTGTGATTGTTGATGAAGATGATGGAGAAACGTTCACTTTGGCTTTGGAAGGAGCGACTGCACAAGATTCTGGCATGTATAAATGCGTTGCAAGTAATAAAGCTGGAATTATAACATCTACGGCATCTTTGAAAGTGGTTTCAAAACTCGTACCCCGGGATGTCTCCTCCTCGGAGCTGTTTGCCCCTTACTTCGAAGAACCCCAGGAAGATATGGTATACGATGTGAGCGAAGGGGATACGGTCGGTTTCATCCTGAACGTACATGGGAAACCGGAGCCCGAGGTTGAGTGGTTCAAGGATGATGATAAGCTCACGAGTGGCGGGAATTATCGTATCACGCAAGATGGCGGGAAACACGAGTTGAGACTGCAAAATATGACGATCGAGGACAGCGGTATCTACAGGTGTATTGCAAGTAACGAGGAGGGTGCGGACGAAAGAACGTTCAAGTTAGATGTTGAAGGTAAAGGCGCCACGTTTGAGATATTTTTCAGCTAGTTTAGACACAAATCATAGCAGCTTATTGTAAAGTACTACCTACACTAGACCACCACGTTTGAGATATCTTTCTCAGGTAGTTCAGACACAAACCACGACAGCTTATTGTAGAATACTACCTACACTAGACCACCACGTTTGTGATATCTTTCTCAGGTAGTTCAGACACAAACCACGACAGCTTATTGTAGAATACTACCTGATTACTCGTTTTCATTTTACAGACACCTTATCTGAAAGATGTTCTCCAACGATCCTTCACGGCCTAAAAGATTGTCAGATTGTGGCTGGCAAACCGTTAGAACTTGAATGCCAATATTTCGGAACACCAGAACCCAAGGTGCAATGGACCAAGGATGGCGGACCTGTGGAACTGGATGATAGAGTTACTATGTCGCATACTGAAGGTGTTACGAGGCTGAGTATCTCAAAGACAGAAGCTGACGACGAAGGATGGTATAAATGTCGCTTAGTTAATCCATGTGGCGTTGTCTCTGTCGAATGTGAAGTCATAGTTGTTGAACCACCGAAGTTTGTCAAGAAATTGGATGATATAGAAGTTGATGAAGGTACAATATTGGCTGCATAATTGTCTCTTTTACAAAATCAAAGATTGATCTTGTATTGGTGATCCCTTTAATCTGGATAAAGGACACCCTAACTATGTTCACACTGAACCTTTTCCTTTTAGGTGAGGATGTACAATTCAGTGTTAAAATCGAAGGAGAGCCGGAAGTGAGCTGGTACAAAGAAGGAACCCTATTGGAGGATCAAGGCCGTTACGTCATTGTGGACCAAGTCGAAGACCAAATCTTCACCTTCGCTATTGAAGATGTTTTACCCGAAGACGAAGGCGAATACCGATGTGTGGCCGAGAACGAGGCGGGCAAATCCGAGTCTGTTGCGAAGCTATTTGTCAGTGATACAGAATATCCACCTGAGTTCACAAACGAGGGTCAGGATGAGCCGTACGTTGTAAAAAGGGGTGAAGATTTGAAATTTAATGTTGTGGTCAAGGGAAAACCGTTTCCGAAAATTACTTGGTACAGAGACGATGAACCTTTGCAGAGTGACTCCCATCTTGAAATCTCGGAGAATGGTCGGGAGTTTACGTTAGGCATTCGGGCTGTATCGTTGGATGATCGTGGTGTTTATAAATGTGAAGCAACTTCGAAATTAGGGAAAGCAACAAGAAAGTTCCAAGTCAATCTTGAAGGTAGGTGGTTCATGAAATTGTAGTGGAAATAAATAATGTACTAGAAATGTTTTGGTTGATATTTCGTCAGGAGAGTTAGTATGACATGCTTCATCTCTTGAAAAAGCCCTTAAATTGGTCACAAATAATTCATATCGATATGTTTCCAGGTTTGTCACAAGAAGGCAGAGCGCCAGAGATTTCTCAGAGAATCACACCTATCGAAGTTAAGGAAGGAGACAAAGCTAGTTTCACCTGCCGTTTTCTTGGCCGACCTGTGCCGGAGGTTGAGTGGTATAAAGACGACCAACTCCTGGAGGAAAGCGAAAGAGTGAAATTTGATTCTCAAGATGGCGGTCATACTTTGATCATCAGGAATGTCTTATTGGCTGATGAAGCTGAATACAAAGCCTTGGCTCGCAATCCTCTGGGGACTGTCTCATGCACTGCAGAACTGTTGGTTGAGGAGTCTGTAAATAAACCAGAGTTGATTGAGCCCATGACAAATGTTCAGGTAACTAGATACTCATATCTGTACGGTTGTTCTTATTATTTTTAGTACATTGCTTGGTCCACTTTGCAACATGAATTTGCATGGCTGTAATTTCGCTTCATTCAAACGAAATAAACATTCTTTTCTGTTCTCTAACCACAGCTGGGATTAAACATCATCGTTTTTATATTAGATCCAGGCTGGTGACGATGGCTGTTTCAGTGTTCACATAAAAGGAAATGTGGCAGTAGACTGGTACAAAGATGATAAGTTGTTAGAAGATGCTGGTCACGTTGTGATTGTTGATGAAGATGATGGAGAGACATTCACTTTGGCTTTGGAAGAAGCGACTGCACAAGATTCAGGAGTGTATAAATGTGTTGCCACCAATAGAGCTGGTACAGTGACATCAACTGCAACACTGAAGGTTACCTCGGCAGCACCTGGAAAGCCATTGGATGCAGAAGTTGGAAAACCAAGCGAAGTCATTAAACCTCAACGTCAAGACGAAACCAACACCCAACCAACATTTGATGGTAAAAAAATTGATTTGAAAATCGACGGTGATTCGATGACAGTACTCCTACCAGATACCCAAAGCATTTCAGAAAAACAACCAACTACATCTAAGATTGCCGACCAGAAACCGACCAGCCCAAAGGAGAAGCTAACCACCCCTAAACAAAAGCGCTCGCCTCCAGAAAAGGCACCAAAAGTTGCACCAAAGAAATTCCCGGAGGACAAAACAACCAAGAAACCTAAAGCGGAAAAACAAGACGAAACCCAAAATTTCCCAGGCAAGGAAATCAGCCTCACCATTGATAGCGAATCAGGATTAATGTCTGCCCCAGATGTTCTCTTTGAGCAAGAATTCGAAAAACCAAAAGAGGAGAAACCACGAGATACCGAGAAGAGACAACCAGATAAGGTACAGTCCAAACCAGTTGACAATGAAATCAGCCTAACAATTGATGCTAAATTGGATTTAATGGATACTCCATTGCCTTCGGCTGGAGATAAGAAAGATAAAGTCCCTCACGAAAACAAGAAGCCTCACGTTGCTGAAAAGACTTCGCCTAGGAAAGAGCAAGACAAGCCAATGGAGCCAGTTGGGAAGGAAATAAGTTTTACTATCGACAGTGGTTCCATTCTAATGGCTTCGCCGGAGAGTCTGCCAGAAGAGAAATACCGAGATAAACCAAAAGGCCGAAAACCCGAGGTAGCAGAGAAGAAAAAACCTGGAAAAACTCAGGCCAGACCGTTTGAACCTGTTGGGAAAGAAATAAACTTCACAATCGAGAGCGAAGCTGGTCTAATGGCCTCGCCAGATCATCTCCTTGATCAACAAATTTCACAGCAACCAAACGCTCGCCAGCCTGAAGTCGCAGAGAAGAAGAAGGTTGGGAAAGATGAGAGCAAACCTTTTGAGAAAGAAATAGTCGCTAACATTGATACGGAATCATTTTCTCCCGCTGCTTTCGAAATATCTTCTGAACAAGAAAAGAAGAAACCAAAAGCACAGAAGCCAAAAGTCGCTGGGAAGGGCGAGGAATCCAGACCATTTGAAACAGTTGGAAAACCTGTAAGTTTAACGATTGATGATGGTACTCTTGTCGTGACAACGCCCGAAGAAGGAATATCTTTAAAACCGGAGGCCAAATCAGCTCCGTCCACCATGAAGAAGCCAGCAAAAGTTAAGCCGCAAGATAAAGATCGTCCCGTTGACTCTAAGAAAGACCGACGACAGTCGATAAAACTCGTCCAAGTCAAAAACAAGCTAAAGATTCACCTCCAAAGGTCGCTCCTAAGACCATGAAAGATAAAACACAGCGGCCTGTTGAGAAAGATCAAACTGCCAAGCCAACGAAAGACCAGCAGTCTGCAGATGGGATTCGTCCTGTCGGGAAACTGCCCAAAGATGAGGCCCCAAAAGTTGCTCCAAAGACAACAGGAAAGCCGGTCGAAGTGCGTATTGATAGTGGAGCAATGACGATAAGTCTGCCTGCAGAAGAGTTTATCATCTCTGAGAAGGAATCCGGTGAGCAGTTTCTCGCTCCCGAGACTGAATCTGGTGAGAATATCACAAAATCACCCGAAGAAAAACAGCCTCTTGCAATGGGGAAGCCACCTTCAGAACCCCCGGCAGCAAAACCCAAGCCCCAAAAGCCCGTCCCTGACGATATCTCAGACGAAGACTTGGGGAAACTCGCGTATACAACAAAGCGAGAAGATGGGCTCCCTGTGTGGGCTAGACGACCTAGGAAGGACAAACCCGCAAAGAGTGAAACACCTGCAGCCAAGAAAACTCCTGAAAAATCAACAAAGCCTTCGAAAAGTGCTTTGGATAAAAATGAACCAGACAAACCTACTAAACATGTCGGCAAAGAACTGGAACGAGAACCGGTTAAACCAGCTCAGGATGTTCCCAAACCAGTTGAACTGGAAATCGGACAAAATGTTCAGATATTGTTAGGACCTGATCAAGATATTCCAGTAATACAACTTAAAGCTAAAGATCAGGGCGTATCCAAGAAACCCGAAGTGAAATCGAAGGAACCCGAAGAAAAACCGAAGCAGCCCAAATCTAAACCGAAACAACCCGGGGTTAAGCCGAAGAAGTCTGAGAAAGGGAAAAAACCTGAAGACAAAAAATCTGGTGAATTGAGTCGAAAACCCGAGGTTCAAAAACCGATTGAAGATGACGTGAAAGAAATGCCTAAAGAAGTTGAATTTGTGTTTAAATTAGATTCCTCACAAGTTGAAGCGGCAAAACCCGAGGTGAAATCGAAAGACAGACAAAAACCTCACGATAGTGTCCAAGATAAGAAAGATAAAACACATGGGAAACCTGAGAAAAACATTCCTGAATGGGCGCGAAAAGGTCGAGCAAAGGACACACCTCCCCCGGTAAAACCGAAAACTAAGCCGAAATCAAAGGATATTAAAATAACACCGGGGGGAGATGAACCTGAAGTTGAATTGAGAGAAGGTGAAGATGCCCAACTAAAAGTACAATTCAACGCAGAACAGCCGGCGAACGTAGAGTGGTTCAAGGACGGCACTAGTTTAGAGAATGAACCACAATATACATCAAAGACCTCAGGGGACGGCTGTGAACTTTTAGTACGAAATGTGACACCAAGGGATAGTGGTACCTATGTGTGCGTGATTACCACCGAAGCTGGGCGATCCACCAAAACGTTTAATCTGTTTATTGAAGGTAAACGAGAAATCTCTCTCAATGTCTCACAACAACTTCTATTTTATTATTTATCACAAACCACATATTGTTTCAGTGTTTATGACTTCTTTGAGCCGTCCCATTTTGATTCCAATTGTATTAGAGTTTACCGTATTATATATCACCTTTTACATACGTTCTTCTAGCTCCAAAGATTCCTTCAAAAGTGCAACCATCTGAGCGGCTCGTCTTCCTCCAAGATATGAACGACACGGAAATCAGCGAAGGAGATGATGCCAAGTTTGATGTCCGCATTGACGGCAATGATTTAGAAGTCGACTGGTACAAAGACGATGAGATGCTTGAAGATGCTGGAAGAATCATCATCGAGGATCCGCATCCAGAAAGCGATGATAATCTGTATTCCCTCACCATCGAAAACTGTGCAGCCGCAGACTCAGGTTTGAAAACGCACTAGCTCACATCATACACTAGCGTCTCACATTCATGAAATAACTAAGCAGTTCAGATATAGAAGATACCTAAGTATTTAGATATATTAGCGCTATATCAGCCACAAGTGAAGGTGTAGTCTAGTCATATCGATGTTAAATTGACTCTTGATCATAGGTCTCTACAAATGCGTGGTAAAGAAAGATGGAATGGAGACAGTCACCAGTGCTCTTTTGCAAATAACACCTGCTGGTGTCAAGCCAAGCGATACGAAGAAATCAGATAAAAGTCTTAAGCCATCCGCCCCTGTTTTTACTACTGACTTACAACCTGTCGAAGTCAACCCAGGGGACGCTATCACGTTGCAATGTTCTGCTAGAGATACATCAAGTATTGAGTGGTACAAAGGCGATCGCCGCATAACCAAAACATCACGGACTCGTATAGACCAAAAAGGAGATCAATTCACTTTGACTATCAAACCTGCACGACCCGACGATGCGGGCAGTTACCGTTGCGTGGCAACAGGACCTGGCGGGAAGATGGAATCGGTGGCTGACGTCATTGTCCGAAAGCCGCTCGCACCACCGAAGTTTGAAGATAAGCTCAAAAACACGGACGCGAAGGAAGGTGATAAAGTCCAGTTAATAATTAGGGTCAGTGGGGAGCCTACTCTTACTTGGTATAAAGATGGAAAGCTTTTACCGATCGGAGATCGGACCTCGGTAGAATGCCTCAACCCGGAGAAAGGCACCTATGCGTTGTGTATTGAGAATGCAGACCTCACTGACTCAGGGAGGTATAAATGTGTTGCCAAAAACCCGGCCGGAGAATGTTTCTGCTCGACCAGTTTGCAAGTGAAGGAGAAATTGATCGCCCCAGTCTTTGGAGAGGTGACCTTGAACTTGAACATCGACGAAGGCGAGGATGTGCTCATTGAGGTACCGCTGACTGCTAAACCTGCAGCTAAGGTCACGTGGTATAAAGATAATGTTCAATTGTATAACTACGCGAGATGTAAGATTGCAAAAACTGGAGATACGTATACCTTGAATATTAAGCAAGCGACCGCACAGGATGCTGGGACGTATAAAATCCTCGCGAAGAATTCTGGAGGCTCTGCAACGAAGGAGATAAATGTCACAATTTCAGGTAAGCTGCATTGTTGTAAGTGATAATATTGAGGCATTCAAGTTTGGTCATTTCTTCTGAAGCAGATCTCACTGATTCGCGTGTATATCTTCCTATAGCCCCGGGGAAGAAGCAACCTCCATCTGGGAAAGATACGAAATCTCTTGCTCCAGTATTCAAGAAGAAAATGTCTGATGTTGAGGTTAAACCAGGTGATAACGCGATCTTTGAGGTCCATGTTCCAGATCAACCCGAACTAGATTGGTACAAGAATGGAATCTTGATCGAGGATGAAGGTCGTTTTATCATTGAAGATCCTATCGAAGGTGACCAACTCTATCGCCTAACCATCGAAAACTGTGAACCTTCAGATTATGGAACATACACGTGTTTAATCAAGAACGACAACGGTGAAGCGCAATGCTCTGCACAACTTGTGATCTCCAAATCTCTCAAGAAAGAGCCTGTAGAAAAACCATCTAAAGTAAAACCGCTGTCTAACACTCCAGAGAAAGCGAGGTCAGAACCAGAGAAAGCTCCTCATCAGAAACCGTTTGGGAAGTTTGGAAAAGAGAGCGCCAAGCCGGCCCCCAAAGTGGTGATCGAGAAGCCTCAAAAGGTGACTCCACTTTCCAGTGCACCAGAGAGAGCTACGATTGAGCCACAATCTACACAAGATCACAAGAAGAAAACTTTCGCAAAAGACGATTCATTGCAGCCAACAGTTCGACCAAAACCGTCGCCATATCAAGGAACAGAGTATGCCGATACTAACGGTGCCGTACGGAAAAAGACCCCCGTCGATATACCCCCGGGCAAGAGACAAGTCTTAGAGCCGATGAAAGGCCTTGCAGCGAAACCAAAATTCTTGAAAGAAATGAAAGGCGGCAGGGTAAGATTGCAAGTTTTTTGGCGTGATGGTAATTTGAGGGATTTAGCTAAAGTATTTTTTATTTCAGATCAACGAAGGCGATAGTATTGTTTTGGAGGTTGAAGCGAAAAATGAGCCATTTATTGACTGGTTTAAAGATAATGTACTCCTGGATGATGGTGGAAGAATTATCATAGAAGATGCGGTCGAAGGTGATACTTTGTATAGGCTGACTATAAAGGACTCGACGCCTGCGGATACCGGAGAGTACAAATGCACCGCTTCAAACGATGCTGGTGATATTTCTTGTACTGCTTACATTGAAGTGAAGTCAGATCATCTCTTGCCAGAATTTATCGGAAGTACTACAGAGAGCCCCCTTAACATCACCGAGGGGCAGGATGGGAAGATCGACGTGGAGATCCGAGGAAGACCGGACATGACCGTCACGTGGTATAAGAACGGTTTGAAATTGCGAAGTGACCGTCACGTGCTGATTGAGAGCAAGGGAAATGGGTACTACTTGAGCGTTAATAAATCAATGAAGTCAGATACTGGGTTATACAAGTGTGTAGCAAGCTGTCCAGCCGGGAGTGTTAGCAAGGAGTTCCAACTCAATGTTACAGGTGTGTTTGTTTTGAAATATACAGATTGCTCTAGTCATAGGCGTGAAAATTATGTGTACTTGTACAGCCTAGCTTACTCCTTTCAACTGCTGTCAAACTTTACCTATTTTTTCTTTAGCAAAAGACAGAAAATCGCTTTCGTTGCAAAAGACTGTGCGTAAGCCAAACTTTATCGAAAGACCAAAGCATACTGACGTCAACGAAGGAAGCGATGCTGTCTTTTCTGTCCGCGTAAACGGTGAACCGGATGTGGCCTGGTACCATGATGATAAACCTCTTCAAGATGACGTACGTGTTGGAAGAGAGTCGGAAGACGACGTGTTCCGACTTCGCATCAAAGATACAAAACCCGAGGACGCTGGTCGGTACAAATGTGTGGCAAAGAACAGCGCTGGTGAAAGCTCGTGTACTGTAAGTTTGAGGGTCAAGGAGACTGTTATCCCACCGGAGTTTGAGCCCGTGTCGGAAACCCGCTACGAGGTCAACGAAGGCGATGACGTCATGTTTACGACCAAAGTTAAAGGCCGTCCTGAACCCAAGATCACCTGGTTTAAGGATGATGTAAGGATAAGAGGTGATGCGCGGTTGAAAACGACGAGAAATGAGGATGAACATGTATTGACAATCAGTCGTGCGACACCCTTGGATTCTGGGATGTATAAATGTACTGGGTCAAGTCCAGCTGGTAGCGCTAGTGTTGTGTTTGAATTAATAGTGGACGGTGAGTCTCATCAGGAATATAACATTGTAATAAGATTATTGGAAATGGAGATGACGAATATTCATTAACATCCCTTGAGACCTGATTTGTCGTTAGTTGTTGCTGTAACCCTGCATTTTTCTGAAATATATAAATTTCTTGCAGCTCAAACGGAAGAAAAGAAGCCACAAGAAGACCTTGGTGACCGACCGATCTTCACAGAGAAGATGTGTGACATTGACGTGTGTCAGGGGGGTGAGGCAGTGTTTAGTGTACGAGCAAGCGACAGACCGAAGATTGAGTGGTACCGTGGTGATAAACAGATTGAAACCAAAGGAAGATATACTATAAAAGATGGCAAGGATGGAGGTGATTTTAAAACTGTTGGAAACCTTTTCCAGATGGTTTTATGAAACCCTTGTTATCCTCTGATGTCCTCGTTATCCTGCAAATCCCCCAACCCAATGATGACTCATCGTTTTTTAAATGCGGTTTTTCATTTCTAGGTGATTTGTATCAATTGATTATCGACGATGTTAAGACTAGCGATATTGGAACGTACATATGTCGTGTTACCAATGATGTTGGCAAGAGTTCTTGTTCTGCAAACCTTTATGTCGACAGAGCTGTCACTGTACCGCAGTTTGTCGGAAAAGACGAGGAACCCTTACCTCAACTTTTTGAAGGAGAGGAACTAAGGTTTGTTGTATATACCAAGTTTCGCTCGCTGGCGAGGGAAATGATGTTAAAACCACTGTTTTACCAAGATTGATCTGACTGATGAATCAAATTTGTCTATTTAGGTTGAGGGCGACGGTGAAATCGTTTCCCAAACCGGATGTGATCTGGTTTAGAAATGGCACCAGATTGCGAGGAGATGCTTATGTGAAATTGCAGCCGGTGAACGACGAGTATAACGTGATCGTACGAAATCTGAAACGAACCGATTCCGGAGTGTACCGATGTGAAGCGAGCACCTCAGCAGGCACCGCTGCAAAAGAGTTCAAGGTTGAGATCAAAGGTAAAATGTTGAATGCTGTCATTTTAGTTGTTGTGTTTCTTCCCCGTTCAAAGTCGTCATCAAACCAGAACTATTGAGAAACCATTCTGGTTTAACAATGACTTTGAAATAATAGCACAGAGCATAAATCTCAGATGATGATGAAAGAGACATTGTTCTTCGGAGAGAGATGTTGTTTCTTTTCAAATATTTCATAAATCATCTATAGATTTCATAACATATACAACAAACTTAAGTGTTGCCAATCTCAAAAAATGCTTCACACTGCTTTACACTGTCAATATTTCTGTGTCAGTGAAGGAAATATGCAAATCTCCAAAGTTATAAAAGATTTGTTGATGGGAAGTAACACAGTTCTCGACACTTTGCAACTCTCTCGGACATTTCAAAATAATACTCGGAGTTTACTTCTTGAAATTGCCTTTTGTGACTACACAATTCTAACAATGCATTTTTTTGCAGAGAAACAAACTCGACAGAACGCAGCAACCATCAACAAAGGCCTGAAAGAGAGATACGACTTGGAAGAAGGCAATCCTTTGAAACTACAATGCGACATAAGCGGACGTCCGGCTCCCGAAGTGATCTGGTATAAGGATGATGAACCAGCTGAGAGTCTGAGACACATGAAGATCGACAATGTCTCGGGGTTGTGTACTTTGAAAATAAAAAGCTTGAAACCCGAGCATTCGGGCACGTATCGTTGCGTGGCAACGAATGCGGCGGGAACGGCGGAGACAGCGACTGTAGTTACAGTAATGAAGGAAATTGCTCCTCCCGAGATGAAGGAACGACTAAGAAACAAAGATATTCGCGAAGGAGAGAACGCTAAACTTGAACTCAGAGTGACAGGAGAACCTGAACTAATTTGGACCAAAGATGGGAAAGCTATCACAAGCGAAGGGCGATTTACCATCACAACCACCCCAACAGCAAATAACACGTACTCACTGGAGATCAGAGGTTGTACTTTGCAGGACTCAGGTCGGTATAAATGCGTTGCTAAGAACAGTCGTGGTCAAGTATTCTGCTCGTGTACTCTGACGATCTTAGAAAGACAAATAGCACCAGAGTTTTCCGACCCTACAGCTAATCTCGACGTTCTTCTACAAGAGAACGAGGAACTACGTCTCGAGGTCAACGTGAAGGGAAAGCCAGAACCGCGCGTGAAGTGGTTTAAAAATAATTTCGCCGTGATGCAAACGAGTGGTCTTAGATTAGAGCAGAGATCTGGCAAGTATGCGTTAGTTATTGCGAAGGCAAAGTCAAGCGACAGCGGCACATTCAAATGTGTTGCTTCAAATATCGTGGGAAGTGGAAATAAAGTATTCCAAGTTTCCGTCAAAGGTTGGTAGGCTTTTGGTTGTATTGTATGTTTCTAAATTATGTTTTGGAGGGAGTTTTTTTTCTTTTTTGATTCTTGAAGTCAGTATTAACCATTGTCTTTGTTTTGTAGCTGGAAAGGTGGAGGGACAATCGCCATTGTTTCTGGAGGAAATACAACCGGTGAAAATCAAGGAGGGTAGAACTGCTCGACTTGAATGCAAACTGCAAGGACAGCCCTCACCCAAAGTTGAATGGCATAAAGACGATGAAAAACTCAGCATTGGCGGCAGAATAAAAGCCGAGCGTGAAGGACAATATTGTGTTCTTACCATCAAGGATTGTCGACCTAAAGACAGTGGCGTATATATGTGTGTTGCTTTTAACGACTTCGGCAGTATCGGCACCAGTGCTGAGCTCGAAATCGAGACGATACCAACCGAACCGGTCTTTGAAGAAAAGCTTAAAAACTTTGAAGTCGTCGAAGGCAAAGAAGCGACGTTTACTGTGAAAGTCAATTCAAGTTCCGCTCCGGTGATTACGTGGTGTAAGGATAATAAAGATATAGTCGGGTCTGGTAGGTACATGTTGACAAGCATAGTCGGTGATGGTGTTTACTCGTTGGTGATCAGACATTGTGAGATCAAGGACTCAGGACGATATACGTGCATCGCGAAGAATGATGCAGGTGAAACAAGGTGTAACGGAAGACTTGAGGTGAAGCCATCACTCACGTTGCCTGTGTTCGAGTCAGGTGACCAGGATGAGCCAATAGAAGTCGAGGAAGGTGGCAAACTTCAACTTTTAATCACTGTAAAAAACAAACCTTTCCCCAAAGCGAAGTGGTATAAGGATGGGCGATTACTTCTTACCGGTGCGCGGCATTACATCAGGAGCACTGGAGGCGAGTATAGTCTCGAAGTGCCACGAGTCACCGCAAAGGATGCTGGGTTATATAAGTGCGTGGCAACCAGCCCAGGAGGAACCGCGTCTAAAGTGTTCATTGTGACCATCGCAGGTAAATGACGTTCGTGCTATCTTAGCTTTTGAACTGTGTTAGATTTTTGCAATTATCGCATTGTAACATGAGACACTAGTTTTCAGTTTAAGTCTATAAGCAACTGCCTAAAATAGACAAAGAAACTTTCAACCTTTCAGTTTAGTTGTCATAGACAATGATTTCTAAGTCCCAGCAATGACGCTTAGCCATCTATTAATATCTTTTCTTCGTTTCTTCAATTTCAAGACTCTAAGAAATCAAAGGTATCAGGTGTCAGAGCCTCTGATTCGAGCGCCAAATCAAAACAAGCCGTACATGAAAAGCAGGTTCCTGTAGTGGAAGACAAGTTGGAAGCTCGGCTCGAGGAAGCAGTGGAAAGTATTAAGCCGTCAAAAGATGATGTTGCTGGTGATGGTCTTTTCGAACCTCAGTTTGTTCAGAAACTTCAAGATTTAGAAGTCGTTGAAGGAAGCGCTGCTCGTTTTGATGTCATTGTTAAGGGTATGTAGGCTAATCAGACTTCTAGGAAGAACAGTGTGGAACTGATAGAGCTATCCAGTAGAAATAAACTTAGTTTAGTTTAGGTTTCCTCCTGTAGTAACACTAGATCAATTAGAGATGATCCTTACTGGATCTCTAGGAAGAACAGTTTAGAACTGATAGAGCTATCCAGTATAAATAAACTTAGTTTAGTTTTGGTTTCCTCCTGTAGTAACACTGGATCAATAAGAGATAATCTTTACTGGACGTCTAGCTTTTTCCTGTAGTAAGATTCCATCAATAAGAGTGATCCTTACTGGACCTCGATGAACAGATTTAGTTTTTCGTTTAAATGAAGATACTTTCATTTAATGAAGATTTCCTATTGACTTTCATAGGTAGCCCAGAACCTGATATATCGTGGTACAAGAATAACCAAGCAATCTTAGAAAGTCGAAGAATCAAATACCTTCATGAAGACGACGGTTTGTGTTCACTCGTAGTCAGAGATATTACGACGCAGGACAGAGGAAAATATAAATGTGTTGCAAGCAACAGGAAAGGAAAGATACAATGCAGTTGTGAAATGTTTGTTGAAGGTACGAAAATCATCATTTTGAGTTTAGACAAACTAATTACTTAACTTGTATCTTCTTCAATTTTAGTCCACGGTTTTGACGGATCTGTTACCGAATCGGATACTGAACCCTTGACGCCGAAGTCCTTATCAAGGTTTCTATATGTTATTTACTTATTTATTTATCTAGAATATTTTTTATTATTCACTTTACTTATTTATTTATCTAAAATATTTTTTATTATTCACTTTAACTAGGTGTTCTTCCTAGAGATCCAGCAAGCATTATCTTTTATTAATGCAGTGATACTACAGGAGGAAACCTAAACTAAATTTATTTATACTGGATAGCTCTATCAGTTCTAAACTGTTCTTCCTAGAGATCCAGTAAGGATCATCTCTTATTGATCCAGTGTTACTACAGGAGGAAACCTAAACTAAACTAAATTTATTTATACTGGATAGCTCTATCAGTTCTAAACTGTTCTTCCTAGAGATCCAGTAAGGATCATCTCTTATTGATCCAGTGTCACTACAGGAGGAAACCTAACCCAAACTATCACTATATTACTACAAGATTTATCAGTCTTTTCCTGAAGCATTGTTACTACCGAAGGAAGCCTAGATTATCATCCAATCTTGTTTTATTTTTCTTTCAACCCTGCAGTGAATTCCTGTACGACAGTGAAGAAGATAAAACAACTGGAAAACTCGACGAAACTCCTAAAATATCTCTCGTCTTACGAAACAAAACAGTCAATCCTGGAAGCACAGCGAAGTTTGCATGTCGGTATCAGAGCAAGACCAGGACGGCACCGGAATGGACTAAAGATGGAAAGCCTGTAAGACCGGACTCGAGGCATAAAGTAGAACACGACGGAGATTTATGTGCGTTGACGATTTTAAGAGTTACACCAAGTGATGCAGGAGAATATTCAGTCGTATTGAAGAACGATGCTGGAGAATCATCGAGCACTGCTTCTCTTTTAGTTGAAGGTAGTTTTCTCTCTCGATTGCTCTCTCATTTCAGTATATGTCTTTCTTCTTTGGTGATAATACTTCTGTTGAATCCCGAAGTATTTTCATTGGAAGGATTAGAGTACCAATCGAGCCAAATCCAATCCACTAAAGCCAATCCTGTCATATCAACCAAATAAATCCAATCCACTAATTCCGTCTAGTAAATTCAAATGTTCCAAAAGTACTCCTAAAATTCATCTCAGCTGAAAGCAATGATTGTTGCCCAATCCTCCATTCGACCAGCTCCAACCCTACAACCAGTCCTAGGTGTTTATGTACTTTCTATTTTCTCATTAGATTCCGCTGAACCGGAGCGCGACGGCATGCCACCGAAGTTTGTCCTCTCTCCAAACAAGACAGTCGAAGCTTGTATCACGTGCTCAGCACGCATGGAGTGTAAAGCCATAGGTGACCCGAAACCAGACATCAGATGGTATAAAGAAAAACTCCAGGTTGTCTCGAATGATAAATGCTCAGTGTACACTGATGATGGTGGAATGTGTACCTTGATTGTTCAGGATGTCACCTATGAAGACGAGGGAACGTACAAAGCCATTGCTTCGAATGATTTTGGAAAAGTATCTTGCACGACTAAATTGATTGTCAAAGGTAATAGAATTTGAAATTTATTATGGGCCAGCCATGGAATTGGTAAAACTATGGCAAGAAGTCAACTTAGGATTGTATCTTCTTGTTTTAGCTGGAGATGTGAGTAGTGATGAAAGCGATGCCCGCAGTGGAAGTGATCAAGGTTCCATCAAAGAAAGGTATTCTAACTAAAATTTCTAAAAATGTTCTCTGTTCATTCTGATAGTAACGTTAATGTATAAAATATTATATAATTTAAGCTCACACTAGCTAAAAAGATATCTCAAACGTAGTGGTTCAGTGTAGGTAGTATTCTACAATAAGCTGTCGTGGTTTGGTTACTTAAAAGTGATTCCTTTTGTAATCAATTTACCTCAGGCCAATATCGCATTCACTCCGCACTAAAAGAACAACAACCCCAACGTCCGCTGACTCAAAACGATTGCCGGAGTTCACGGTGCCATTACGAGATAAACAATCCCCGGCCGGGTCTACGGCCCGTCTCTCGTGTCGCGTCGTCAGCAAGAGTCGGTTCACAGCCAAATGGTACAAGGATGGTCAGCCAATCAGAAGCGGAGGACGCTTTGACGTGCAAAGTGATTTTGCGAGTCAAACATTGGTAGTGCGCGATTGCCGGGTAGAGGACTCGGGCGAGTATAAATGCGAAGCGAAAAATATTGATGGTGTCAGTAGCTCGGTTGCCATGTTAACCGTTCAAGGTATGTAAAGTGAAATCGTAAAGGCTCGTTTACTCTTGAGATTTTTCTTATGGTAGATCCAAACGAGTAAACGATAGCAAATAGTTATGAATGCTGTGATGTATAAGTGCCCCTGTATAAATACCCGTAACATATCCACTCGTTCACATCCATTGAAATAAGAAAACCGCATCGAAGGTCTCTAAAGATCAGATTCACTGGAGTCACGTTTTTTATCGTTACCAGGTCGCGGTAGTTCTGGTCGGCAGACGGTAACAACAAAACAACCCTCCAAGGGACAGTTTACTTGGTCGAAAGATAGGGACACTGACAAGCAAATAACAACTGGACCGTCGAGAGGCTATGAAAAACAGAAAACACAGGAACCTAAGGAGGAAGTTATGAAGATGTAAGTGGAAGGCTTTTTTGAATAGAAGTATGGAAGATATAGAACAAATACCAGTATTTTTAGTCCAGAATATACCATGATGCTTTTCATTTTTTTATCTTAAACATTTTTTCAACAGTTTGATTTATGATTTTATCTCTTCTCATTTAGAGAGACCGAAATAAAGCAAGAATCTCAAGACACAACGGAAAGTGTTCCACCGGAGAAAAGTGAAGGTTAGTAACGGAGCTGTTTTTCCTACAAGTATTGTATTATTCGGCATAGATACCTCTTTACGAAAAATAGTTATCGAAGTGTTAAGTACCGTTTTGATTTCTAGTAGAAGTATTAAATTCAAGAGAAATACCGGACGTAAACATTTTGGTATATTATTTTATAGATGATTTAAGAATTTCTATAAAAAAACACGATATTTTTCCTTATTATTTTACTCGATGTGCGAGTTTTTGCCAGACAACAGATATACAAACACCTTTAATTTTGATCTTTTGGATACATTCGGTTATTCTATATTCTTTGCAATGCACAATGAATGATCATTGTTGTTTAAATATAAAATGCGGCAAGCGGATGTGATGTAAGGAAAAAGATAGTTCAAAATTTTTGGGAAGATCTCTACGCCAGATAACTGAATTATCTCAATGTCGGTGGTCTAGCGTGTAAACTTAAGATTTCTGACAATCTTTCTTCAATTTTAAAGAAAACTTGCTAAAGTAAACATATTTTAAGAGGTAAGACTAGTAATTTGTCCATAACAAATTTAAACAATGATTCATTGATTGAAAATTATCACCGTTAGGCTGTTCTAAATCCAGTCATTCTCAGCAGTTCGCATTTGATTAATTCCAATGAAGCATTGTTGCGTAGTTTTAAGTGGCTTTACGTTGAGATGAATTGCCCAAGTGGTTACTGCATGTGATGGGAAATGTTTCTAGAAGGTGTTAGTTATTGAGAAGCGAAAAACAGATGGTGTTTAACAAAAGTTTGGAAGTGTTAATAGTCCTGGTATTACTGGTATGTGGGGAGCTATCTTCTATACTTTGCAGATGCACTTTATGTTATTAATAAAAAACTCATTCCCTTTATGCTTACAAAACGCAAAGGTATATTGTTTTTACTAAGTTATAGCATGAAAATATGGCCTACCGAAGCCAATAACTTGGGAGACCTTACCAGTAATGAGTGAATTAGCTAGCTATATAAAGAATTCATAGGACTCTGGTAGAGAGCTTTCTAATTAAAGTAAAGTTTGTGGTATCAAGCATGATAAAATACCAAGTCAACAGGTAGATTAATAACAAGATACACTGACAGATGTTTTAAAAAATCGTCTGGTATTAGACAGGCTAAAATACTTGCTAATGGATAAGAAGCTACTTAGAGGAAAATCCTTTGCCAATTAATTTTTCAAAATCAATTATATCCTTATGACTTGCACCGGCTTCGGAAAGACGTAGGTTCGATTCCTGCCGAATGACGGATAGTTGACACATTTTTCTCAAATGTTCCTGGCTTGAATTTGAGTATGATGTGTATGATTTTCACTCGAAATTAAGACCCCTAAAAAATGATCTTACATGGAGTAAAGTGACAAAATCTTGACTTATCCTCAACTATAACTTAAATTTAATTGTAAAATCTGAGTCTGGTGTGAAAATTATTATGATTCGTATTGGCTATATATTAGATAATTGCAGTTTGATAACAATCGTCCAATATTTGTGTAATTTGATTCTTTTATTTATCCAGCTAATTCAAAACAAAATAAGTCATTTTCGTATCTATTCGGATTTAGACTCATTTAGTCCTAAATATTGAGATTTTTTATTGCATTTTCAAACGCTAATCATGGTAGTTTTATTCTAGTATGAAAATTTGATAAGAATGTAAGTAAAAAATGTGAATTCTAAGCGCAGGCAGGCAATATAAACATTTTGTTTACAACTGTTCTTTTCATCATCCTTGAAAGTTAAACACATTTGTTTGTTATGAAACATGTGATGCATTACGAAACATGAACAATGTCACTGAGCAAACTCTGACTGTGCAATGCGGTGCCAAACTCAGTGTTTACCAAAGTTGTTTCCCTGCTGTTGTGTGTCATATCAAGAACTATTCATCTCAGAGTTATCGCGATGGGTTGGCATGAAAAACAGTCACAGCATGCACAGCCTCGTTTGATTAAAAGAGAGTTGTGGCTGTTGCTCTTGTTCGTGATTTCTATCTTGTTATTTCTGAATCTGATGAAATCTGAGCCTTCTTTGAATGCGACATTTACCCTTAGAGTCCTGGAACTTCCGCGTGAGTAATTTTCTCACTAATTTGTGCAAAAATTTGCATTTTTTACTCCATTAGGATTGTTATCAATAACTTCAGCTTGCCGTCATAGCTAAATTTTCCTTGGAGTAATTTCTATCAGCTGGTGCATATAATTAATGTGTTGTTTAATGGGTTCTTCTACGTGTATTGTTTGAAGTTAGATTTGTTTGAAGTTTTAATCCTGGATTGAATTGTAACCCGATCGTTGCTGGTCTTAATAAAACTATTCTATAATAAATATTTCAATTCATCTTCAGTAATATTTTTCTATTTCTAGAATTGCAAAAGACCCCCAACCAACAAAAGGTAATATAACTTAAAGTATCTGTCTTGGCCACTACACGGAGATCGCGGGTTCTTTTATTCCAACTTGTATAGTAAAATATCTCCATTTTCGTGTCGTAATACAAGTATTGAACCAAGGCGATTTGTTTTTACGTAGACTGCGGGCTCTGGCCATTACGTTGCCACGTCGGAGAGTATTGACAAGGAGACTGGGAAGAAGTTCTTGATTCCGGGTGATATTGTGGAAGTACTGGATTCAAATCCAAGCGGTTTGTGGCTGGTTCGTCGAATATCACGTGGTGTCGAAATTGGATTTGCGTCGAAAACCAGTTTGGAAAAGCAGAAAGGGTAGGTTGTGAATGTATTTAATCTTGGGTTGCTAAATAGGTTTCTTCACTTGGTTCCTGTAGTTGTTGTAATGCATGTTCGCCCACTAAATATGCCCCCCGACAGAATTCAGTTTTCATGTCTGAAGGTTTTTTTCTGCCAAAACACTTGAAAAATCACAATTTTCTTTTACAAAATGTGATAAGTAAAATGCTGGTACTATATCTTAAATATGTCTTGATATATTTGATCCTGTAACTTCAATTATTTTTCAAACAGGTCAAAAATGGAAGATGAGGAGATTTCTGACACGTCAGGGGTACGTTGAAACTTGGAATGCTGTTAGACATTGCTAAGGATGATTCTAGCTTTGAAGTATCGCAATTCAAAATAGATTCTTCCTAATGAAATAACTTTGTGAATAAGTTTAGCAAAATCCATACATTTGATGACATCTTGTTTCGTGTTTAGACCAGAGACGAAGAGGAACCCCAGATTTACCACATGATGTTGACAAACTACAAGGCGAAAAGCGACAACGAGGTCACAGTATCGATCGATGATGAGATAGAAGTGTTGGATGGTGGAGACTTAGACTACTGGTTCATCGACAACCTCTCGACGGAGAAAGAAGGCGTAGTACCGTCATATCTTGTGCAGGAAATCACTGAAGAAGAGTTTAAACATCTCCCAAAAGATAAAAAAGCTCGCGAGAGAGAAGCTCGTAATCAAAGAACGTATGTACCGACTTTAGTTGAAATTTTGATGATGCGTTTTGATTACCCAGTGACTCACAGTGACCAAATGTATTTAGTGAGATATAATTATACCAAGTTATGCCTATTCAATTTTAGTTTGTAGCTTGTAGTTTGTAGCGCCAATATGCTATGAAGATTTATGTACAAAACTTAAGTTTCCCCTGTCTCAATGCAGCGAAATTTATTGGAGCGAAAACCCTTTGAATTATTCTTTATTCTTCTCGATTCATGGTCTCTACATTATCTGAAATTTTACCGGCCATATTCGTTCTTAGAAATGTTGTGAACGATCTGATTGACAGTGAAAGAAAATATGTGAAGTTGCTAAGATTTGTAATTGAGGTATGTGTCATGGATGTGTGTTTCAACTTTTCTTCTATCGTAGTATTGATTTTCTATCCTTGTTTCAAAATGTCTTAATTTTCTTTCTTCAGAATCATTTTGTTGAGATGGATAGCGATGACGTACCGGAAAGTCTGGTTGGAAAAAAAGACGAAATTTTCTCGAATATCAAAGATATATATGCCTTTCACTCAAGGTATTCATGCTTTTATGTACTATCGTAATGCTGAAATATTGTATGTATAGATCAGCACCTACATTCAAGTTCCATTTAATGTCTTTTTCTAAATGATTTTTTTTTGTTTTTCTACCCTTCGAGAAGGGTTGTTAAGAAGTAAATAAAAGAGGCAATATGTCTTTGTTTTATGTAAAAGATATTTTGAGATTAATATGTTCTTGTGCACGTTTAATATAGGACGTTTCTTCACGAACTGGAAGCCTGCGTGAACAACCCAAATGACATGGCCAAGGTTTTCCTGCGACACGTAAGTTAGCAATTTATGAATGTAGTCAATGTACTATTTCATTTAAAACTACTACCAATTCAAAAATTGATGTCTAAATTTCTGGATCTTTAATTTTGTCTAGAAAAAGAAACTACAGATTTACGTGAGATACCTTCAAGATCGTATAAAGATGGAACCACTGCTGGCTAAACCTGAAATCAACGATTTTTTCAAGGTCTGTTTCATAACAACCTTTTCGAAACCTTCGTTTAACGCTGGGTAGACGTTTCCATACTATATCTATCTCTCCTTGAAATATCTAGGAATTCCAAGAGGACACCGAAGATCGCTTGTTTATCACGGACTATCTCAACAAACCAATGAACAGATTACAGGAATATCGTTTTTCTCTCCAGGTATAAAGATAATTCCTTCCCCCCCCCCTTGCACTAACCCGTGAACCTCTCGTTTAAGTTTATTGTGTTCCTTATATTGGATTCATTTGCTTGGTATAATAGCTTATCCTGATGACTATTATTATAACCTAATCCCGTTTTGTTTATTTTTTCGACTATGCACATTGTCCGCGTCTTTGCTACGAGGCGAAGATGTGTGTTAATTTGGCGAAGATATTGTCTTTTAACTCCGTATAATCACAATAGACAGTCTACATGAAAGGTAGAAAGCGAACATGTTCCAAACAACGACTTTTCTAGAACTTGATTTTCATTCACCGACTGGAAAGCACAGAATTTTTGTTCGAAGACCTTAATTTTCTTTGTGTTTATAGTTTTCCTGTGGTTTGTTTACTCACATATTGTCTTTTGCCAAGCTTCAAGGTGCAATTACGCGTGACTAATCCCTAAAGCTTTGGCGAATAAAACTGTATAGCTAGTTTTAACAACATACGGAATTGTACAAAACATATGTTGCCGAGTTTGTTCATAAAGTACGGTTTTACAGGTCTATGGCAACAGGAATTTTTCCTATTGTATAGCTAGTATTCTTGTTTGTGTCACATACTCCCCCCCGGAACTCTTAATTACTTCCCAGACTAGTTATAATCTGGGATGATTACCAATAAGACAAACTTGACGAGTCGTTGAATCCAGTCTGTTTCGTGGTCCTGTTTCTTTGATAAAGCTTGCATTTCTAACCTTTAAACATGGTGTTTGTTCTTGTTCAAAAGGAGTTGTTGAAATACACAGCAAGAGCCAACTTGAAATGCCAGGATGTCGAGGTAATTATTTGTTGAAAGTGAACTTGCTTTGCATAGAGATGGACAATGATTACTGTTTATTCAGTATAGGAATTGTGGCTGCTTTCCATAGCTAATACATTAAATACTTTTTCCTGAATATATTTTTCCTCTTCCAGGAAGCACTAGAGGTTGCTTCAAGTCTTAGTCAAGAAGCCCAGGCTACGCTTCGTATTGCATCACTTGATATGTATTCAGTGAGTACTTTGTCCTGCGATAAATTTACTACGTGAAAAACCATATCCCATCTCATTATCCCCTTGAAGTCACTACTTGTTTTGAATCATCAGGAAATTGTGAATCTAATAAAATATTCTCTTGCTAGGGTGAGGTGCCATTGCAACATGCTGGAAAACTTCTTCGACAGGTATGTTGAAACATTGTCAACCAGACGTCGCTACCATTTGACTGAACACGAAACCATTATACAGAAACCCCCAGTCATAATCTACTCACCTGGTAACGGTTGATTTTCTATACCCAGGGTACTGTTCAGTTTTGGGAGGACACACCCCGAGGCAAAGGCAAGGAAAGAGAATTGTTTTTGTTTGAGAAAGTTTTAATCATCGCTCGAAAGCGGGAAGATGGCAAACGATATACTTGCAAGTTTACATTAAAGGTGAGGATGAAACGTGGTCATGCTGTTTTGTTCCAGATTGTTCCCGAACAACTTGTCGTTGTAACTTGATAAAAGCACTCTCATTCTCAGAACTTACGAACAAGCTTTCAAAAATTGCTTCTTGTGTATTTCAAAAACAATGGATAAAGAAGCTCAATGCAACGAGTTCACTGGTTTCTCTTTTGTTTTGTAGATCTCAGATCTTGGTTTGACCGACGATATCTCGGGAGAGCCAAAGAAGTGGTCGCTGTGGCTTGGAAATTCTGCACCAGAAGCTTCAGTTCTTCATACGTTCGAGGTAAAGACTGCGGTTACTAGTAGCATCGATTGGATTTAAAACTTTCAAGTAATCCAAATGAATGTGTTCAAAATTCTCTTACAGGGAAAGACTATTGAAGTTAAAGAGTCGTGGATTAATGCAATTAAAGACCTAATTGATGCTCAAGGTGAAAATCACCTTTTTTGTACTGTTTAGTTCTTCTTTTGTATGTTTTTAACAAATACTTTGTTCCTTCATTTCAAAAGAACAAGGTCCGTCTCACAACGACGAGGATCGTGGACGCAACATCGCTCCTGCTTTGAAAGAAAGATTGCCATCTGGTTCAACACACAAAGAATTATTCACGGAAGTAGAAAAGCAATATGTCGTTGTGACCGCACCAAAAGTTTCTCCCAAACCGAAGAAACCTGTCAAGGATACGTCCAGCAGTAACAAGGAATCAACAATGAAAATGGATGTCGATACAAAAATGGAGGGCAGCGTCTCTTATGTGGACGGAAAAGTCGATGGAGGTAATTCAATTAACCTTTCGTTAATTAACTTTCTTGGCAATGTCAACCACCCAACATTTGCTCTCTTCATCAGCTCTCCTTCAATCTATCTCTTTACTTATCCATCTATTACTATTCCATTGCATCTCAACCTTGCTTTCCTCTGCAACCGAGGTATCTTTTAAACACACACATATTCTGTAATTATTCAGCAAGACCAGTGGTCACGAAAGCACCGAAACAATTTCAGCGAAGCAAACCCGGAGAGACAGTCGTCTTCACGTGCAACTATACCGGCGATCCGGAACCCACCGCGTCTTGGAGCAAAGATGGCGTCGCCATTAAAGATGAAGGCAGATTTTTGATTCACACTGAGAAAGGTTATTCAGAACTTGAGGTTGATAAACTCGTGTACTCTGATTCGGGAACCTATCAAATAGCCTTGTCCAACGCCTATGGTAGTGCTTGGGTCGGAGCGATACTTGACATGAACTGTAAGTCCCAGCATATTTTGTCTTCAACTTTAAGACTAGCTGACTAGCTATAAGACGCAATAATTTTAATAATCTGGCGAGGTGGCCAATCCTAGGGCAATCCTATCTCAATCCTATGCCAATCCTAGCCAATCGTATCTCAATCCTGTCTCAATCCTAGCCAATCCTATCTAATCCTAGACTATTCCTATCTCAATTTTACGCTATCCTATCTAATCCTAGGCCATTCCTATCTCTCAATCTTAGGCCTATCCTATCTAATCCTAGGCCAATCCTATGTCAATCCTAGGCCAATCCTATCTAATCCTTAACAAGAAGTTTACTAAAGTCAGTAACTATCTTTCTAGCTCCGCCTAACATCACACATCAACCGAGCGGTGTTGTAGCAAAGGCAGGCTCCACAGCCTCGTTCCCATGCAATTTCACTGCCTATCCTCAGCCGTCAATCAAATGGTCTAAAGGCGACGTGGAAATCAAGAACGAAGGACGTTTTCATATCATAATCGAAGAGGATTACACTTGTCTTGAAATCTCGGATTTAGTGAAATCTGATGATGGGAATTACAAAGTCGATTTGGAAAACCCAGCAGGCAGTTATTGGGCTTCTGCTAGTTTAGTTGTCACAGGTCAGTTCATTGGCAGTGATAGTAGTTTGCAATTGTGTCTGAACTAACTAAAAAGAATATAATTTTTTAATTTAGGTGGCGAGGTAGCAGAATCCACCAAACCTGGCAAGCAGTCCAGTCTTAAACTAAAGTCAGTGGAGTCAGACCATCAGGAAACTCGAACTCACGGACAGACCACAGCTGATAGCGAAGAACTTACATGTAAGTTACCGTTTTCTTCTGTAATAAAACCTATAGTTTAGAACTGATAGAGCTATCTAGTATAAATAAAGTTAGTTTAGTTTAGGTTTCCTCCTGTAGTAACACTGGATCAATAAGAGATGATCCTTACTGGACCTCTAGGAAGAAAAATCAAAAATTGATAAAATATCCAGTATAAAATACGATTTATTTCGTTCAATATATCAAAGCGTTTCAAGCAAGGCAATCATGATCATTCATCTCATTCTTTGTGTACAGCGGCTCCAGCATTCATTAAGACGCCCAAGGGAACAGTGGCTAAATCTGGAACTAACGTGACATTCCCAACGACATTCACCGGGGATCCTCAACCCAAAGTCGTATGGACAAAAAACGACGAGGAAATTAAAAGCGACGGCAAATTTAACATCAGCACAACCGAAGGAGCGAGCTCACTCCAGATTTTCAAAGTTTCAAAGAATGACAATGGATGGTATAAAATCGCGCTGAGTAATCCGTCTGGCTGGGCATGGGCCAGTGCGCAGCTGCTCGTCACTGGTAAGTTCGTATATAAGATCACACTAACATGTCAAAACCGAATTCTACTTTACTGAATCGCCCATATACTGGATCAATAACAGATGATCCTTACTGGATCTCTAGGAAGAACAGTTTAGAACTGATAGAGCTATCCAGTATAAATAAAGTTAGTTTAGTTTAGGTTTTCTTCTGTAGTAACAGTAAGTGCCGGCAACCATCTTTCACCATGATGATGATATTCACTGTTCCTTTATTCCAACCACAGGTGGTGGAGCAAGATTTGAGAATATTGAAGGTGAGATGGAGAGGCAAGGGAGCAGTATTGGTGTTGAAGAAGAAATGAAGCCAGGTACAGGGTGAAAGCCCTATGATTTTATTACGCACCATATGAACGAAGTTAAATATCGCCATTTGCAATCACTAACCACGAATTTACCACAATCACAAGCCTTTGCAATCGCCAACCACCTTGATATCGCTTGCGCAAACCTGAATAGTTTACCCACCACATTTCAAATAACATTAAACGTAATATGCATATACTATAAACAACATCACAACACCTTTGCATCCAACCTACCCCGTGTCATAATACATGCACCAACATAAAAAATTTGGAAATCAAATTTTATCTATCTTTGTACGTTTATGTAATCGCTGGCTATACGTTACACTCTTCCAACAGGAGAGGATACAACCCTCACATACCATGCAATGCTTATTCACGAACAACCTTCACATACCATGCAATCCTTATTCACGAAGTCACCACAAATATGCACCATCCATCACGTCCGAACTTTAAAAAACTAACTGTAAAAAACAATTTTTGGCAACTTGAAATACCTTTTTCGCCGAAGCTGAACTACGGTTGAAAGCCAGTCAGTCAAGCTTCGCGAACACCTTGACCTTCTACACCAAGGCCACAAACATTAGCAACAAAGTGAAACTCATAACCGATGATTATGTTATAAAAACCTTATCTTCCTCCTAATTTGCCAGCAAACTGACAAGGCGGTCTCTAAAGCGCGGTGTAAGCATCTGCTAAGTTGAGAGAGAACTATTTTAATCTTACACTCCATTTGGAGGCCAATAATCATTTGGTGAATGCAATTTAAACTTAATCACGCAGACAAATTTCTTATCTTGTAACAGTAAACTACTGGAATCTTAATCTTTTATCCTTACGTCTTACGAGGCATTCAGCTGTTTGTGAAACACAACCAAATTGAACCAATCTTGAATAAACATGCGCGCATTCCAAAACAGGAAGTGTCCTGTTCTTTGCCAAACTCGACTATCTGATAACACAACTATTCAGTGAATTTGGTCTCGTTTTCTTGTGAAGAAAAGATAAAGATATATTTATAATTATAGGCTGATATTTCTTGTGATTTCATCTCCACTGAATTTTCATGTTTCCTTGCTGAGAATTCTTAGCAATATTTCTTCCTATAAATGTCTATCACTTCATCGTTGAGCGGCATATGACGATGTCTTTACAATAATAGCATGAATTAATATTTCATTTTCTGTCATCAAACTTTTTGGCTACTTGACAAAACTCTGACTTTACTAGGATAGAAAATACCTCCAGCAGCCTATCAATAAATTAGAGTTGGATTGAGGTTGTGTTACGGATCTTGGTTAGGACTATGATATACGATTAGAGCGGGATCAAAATTCGGATTAAGTATAGGATTAAGATTATGATTTGATCTAAATTAAGATTTAAAAATAGTTTTTTGGAAACAGGAAGCTGTCTAAAACGTTTGGTAAACGTCAAATTGGGAAGAAAAAATTAAGGCTATGAACTAACAATACCAATTATAGATGTGCAAAATGAGCCAATTAGTTTTTCGATTCAAGTGTATATTACTAATGAGGCAATAAATTTATCAATCTAATTTAGTTACCTTATTTGGATAATTTCATTATAATTGGAACAAAATACTAATAATTGCGGCTAATTGTAAGCAGGATGACATGACTACAAAGGTACCCCATCAGTCATTATTATTCATTCAGCTAAATTTTATAGAATATGTCTTGTAAATATGTTTTGTAGTTTTATGTATTTGTAAACGTGTTTGTAGGAAATATAAAATGGTTAGACAAAGTTTCGGCTATAATTCATAACACTAAAAGAAGGCATCTATCTAAAAGAACATCGATTATAAATAGAAATTTTTGTGAAAGGCGTACCTCTTATAAACAATCCGCGAATGTGTCAAGTTCATATGCAAAAATTTCACAGTATTGAATCGTGTTAGGCTATTAAGAAACCTGAAATGAAACAAATTGAATACCGCCTCTCACCATGATGCATGTTACATGATTAACTAATTCTATAACGATGTTCCATTGTTTACACATATTCCCCCCACTGTCCAACACATCAACTTGCCATCATCATGAGTGCTAGCGTATGACCTTTAATCGTCTGCTTCTAATCTCAAAAAATTGTTATGAAGATGTCACAACGGTGATTTATTCTTTTTAAATGAAAAAAGAAGGTACTGAGTGGCGTATTAATAATTTGTTTTCCCTGTTCGTTACGTTTAACGAAGATATAACAAAGTTTTTCCGCATCAACGTATTTCACGAACGCGACAGATCATCTCAAAAGGATTTCCGTGTTAAAAGGAGGTCGTTGTAAAGTGATACGATGTCTGGGGTACTTCAAATATATGTCATTTAAATACGCGAAAATATACCCTTTACGCGTTTTGGGATAATACTTGCGCGTTTTATCCACATGAATGAATAGTTTCTCGTGGTGATTATCTCTGCATAAATCGCGCAGTGCTGCGCAGAGTTTCCATATGTTAGACGCATTGCGCGCGATAAGAATAGATTATGCACGCCGTAATTGCGCCTTCCAATGAAACTGTCATTTTCACCTTCGCCCGCACCCTTGCTACACATGCGCTGCGCATTCCATACAAATGCGCATAGATCGCGTACATTTGCGCGCCACTGTTTGGTATTTCCCCGTAACCCGGTATAATCAGATTTTAGAAACGTGATAGGATTATATGCTCTTTTGACTGTGTTTATTCACCGCGTGAAACAACGTGGGGGCTTTGGCAAATTTTACGGTCTTCAATACCATCCCCAGGTGTTTGTTAACCACCGTTATTTAAAATATGTCAGATGCGAATTAAGTTAATTATAACTGGCACATTATGGATAAATTTTGTTGACCTCATTTAATAGAACATTCAATTTTCCGCTCTGTAATTTTACAATTTTGGATGACATCTTTGTGGCCGCATTTTCTATAAGTACTATTTACATACTGTAAGTGCCAACCACGTTTCTAGTTGGGCTGTGCGTTGAAATATCTCAGTTTTAACTGTCCCGAGGATCAGCAGGTGGTATAACGTAAAGACCGCACAAAATATCGTATTAATTAACACACGCTCCTATGAGTATCGCGTTGCTTTGTTGAACATAGACGTTACGGTTTTTTTCCATTTTAAGTAGGCGAAATGGCACAAAGCGCTCCGGTCTTCTCGTTGGAATTGGTCGATTGTAAAACCAAGGATGGTAACGCAGCTAGATTCGTAGGAAGAGTTTCAGCGCATCCCCCGCCGGTTGTCAAGTGGTACAAGGACAACAAACTACTTCAAGAAAGTCGACAGTACAGCTTTTTGTACACCGGTTCATCTTGTACGCTCATCATAACCCGAAGCAAAGAAGTCGATATTGGAACGTACAAATGCGTGGCTACGAACAGCCTCGGCAGCGCTTCCTCATCGGCTCAGCTTATCCTCGAGGAAGTCGGCGAGGATTCCGGCGAATCGAGCTCGGAAAGCGAGGGAGAGAATCAAGCGAACGACGAGCCGAAATTGGTCAGCTTAACTCGTAGAAGCGCCGAGGAATTGTACACGATGCAAGACGAATTGGGACGAGGGAAGTTCGGCATCGTTAAGAAATGCGTGGACAAGGCAACAGGGCGCGAATTCGCGGCGAAATTTATCGCGTGTAACGGTAAAGCCGCCAGAGACGAAGTCCTTCACGAGATCGAGGTGATGAACGAGTTGAATCACAAACGTCTACTGCGACTCGAAGCAGCTTTCGATATGGGTAAAGATATCGTGCTTGTGATGGAATTGATCACCGGAGGTGAACTGTTCGAGAAGCTCGTCGAAGAGGACTTCATTAGCGAGCAAATTGCGACACAATATTTGGAACAGTTGTTAGACGGGCTTGGGTACATGCATCGTAAGAATATCCTGCATCTTGATTTGAAACCGGAGAATATGATGCTCGTGCGGCCTGGAAGTAAACGTATCAAGATCATAGACTATGGATTGGCAAAGAAATACCAACCGAGTCAGAAGCTTCAGGTTATGCAAGGTACACCGGAATTTGCTGCCCCCGAGGTGATAGCCTACGAGGGGGTCACCCCCGCGACCGATGTTTGGGCGGTGGGGGTTATAACCTACGTGGTGCTCAGCGGTCTGTCACCCTTTCTCGGAGACGATGATGGAGAGACGATGAGCAATATTTCGAGCATGGCTTGGGAATTTGACGATCCTGTATTTGACGAGGTTACTAATGAAGCCAAAGATTTTATCTCGAAAATTTTAATTAAAGACGAGAGGAAACGTATGACCATATTGGAATGCAAAGCACATCCCTGGCTTCGGACTAAAAGCAAGAAAAAACTCGAGACGCAGCGCTTGAAAACGTTCACAGCCAGACGCAAATGGAAGAAAGCCCTCACGGCCGTCCGCAGTACGAATTTCCTGAGCCGTATTTTGAACAAAGGCGGGAAAAGCAGTAGCGGAAACAGCAATGCGGGCGGTGGAGGAAAAGGCGCCTTTCTCGCCAAGATTAAACAGCAAATCGCAGCTGAAGAATCCGTGGAGAATTCGGTCGAAGCGACGAAGGATGAAAACGAAAATATCCCTTCGAAAAACAAGATTGAAGAACCTAAGATGAATGGCGATGTCAAACAGGAGGGTAACAAAGGTACATGTGGTGTGAAATATGGCTAATTTTGCACTCGCACTAATATGCACCGTGTCCCCCCCTGAGACTAATCAACTGCCTTTTTATCGTACGGTTTTCAAAGGAATTTTTTGCACTCCTATAAAGGTTTATTTTTGAGGTTTTTTCCAACTAATTTGCACTAACTCGCAATATTTATTCACGTTTTCTTTTTTAAGGTAAAGCTTATAATTTATGCTAACGTATATAGTATAACAATATAATAGAGTAATATTTAATGTGCACATAATATTATTTATTGTACAAATGTATTTATGTGTAGTTTTAGCTTTTTCATCATCGTAAATCGTTCGTACATCACCGTAACGTTCGTACATCACCGTAAATCATTCGTACTATCGTAAACCGTTCGTACTCTGTCCTAAATTATTCGTAGTTTATCAGCACCGTTCTTACATTGTCGTGAATCATTCGTACACTATCGTAATACGTTCGTGCATTATGAATTGTCCGTGCATCGTCGTAAATAGTTCCACACATATTGATAAAATATACTTTAACAATGGTCGGTATATTGGACCGACCTCAGATGCACTGAAATGTTCATATATCCAGCAAATATTTAATTTATTTATCGCTGCTTTCAATTCTTCAGCGAGTAAGTCATCATTCGATAAGGAACTCGAGGACCAAGAGATACAAAAAGGGTCACCAGTCACCCTCACGGCCAAAATATCGAGTACTGGTGCCGATCCTAAAATTACCTGGGAAAAAGATGGTAAAGTTCTGGGACGAGGCCGCGCACGAATGGTCTATGAAAAGGGGACTGCGATGTTGAAATTCGCCAGGACAGATTACGAAGACTCTGGCCGTTATACAATCAAAATTGACACTGGATCAGGCACGGTTGAATCTAGTGCTACTCTGGAGATTGCTGGTATGTAAACTGTACTAGCATGAAAACATTAAAGAAAACCAGATGTTACACAAAATTTGATTGGCTCCACAAAACTAATCATACTTTGTGCCAATCATACATCGTGTAATATCAGTCTCCGCATTTGCTGTGATTACGAGGAACGTCTATTACACTAATACTATATACTTTTTATTTGGAAACACGCGTCCTATTGTGTTCGGGAAGAAGAGATATTTTTGCGATATTTATCCAGCGAGGGAAGTCTTCTCTTCTGATTTAGCCCAAAACTAATGAGATTTGGCAGCTACTCTTAGTAATTTTATTATTATTAGTTTGTTTTGGGGATATAATTTCTCATTTGAACAATCAATCAGAATATACTCATATAATAAACTTCATATGCTCGACTTTCTTCTTCTCAAGATGTTCCAGACTCGCCATCACCTCCCGAGGTCACAGACATCACAAGCAACTCTTTGCAACTCTCCTGGCGCGCGCCAAAGGACGGGCACAGTCCTGTAACGAAATACATCATCGAATACCGCAAAACAGGAGAAAAATACTGGACGCTAGTCCCAGGAGAGGTGACGTCAACTACATATACAGTCGAAAACCTGACTCCCAGGACTTCGTACAGATTCCGCATTAGCGCCGTGAATAAAATAGGCAGTAGTCGACCAAGTAGATCTTCTGGTTTAGTTGAAACAAAGAGATAAAGTATAAGGTATACACGCTTAATTTGTATTAAAGAATAATATGTTTGTTGTTTTTATAGCCTTCATCATATTAACTAAGCGATAATTGTTAAAAAGTGCCTAACAGGCTAACAACTAAATGTGGATAATTAGATTGTGTTTCAGATAGTAATGAATTTGTGTCCAAAATGAATTAGTGTCAATCCTAAATCTAATCCCCTGTAGTTTCTACATAACCAGGGTGGGATTATCTCAGGGTTAAAACCAAAGTGAGTTTATATTCGTAGTTCCAGCCTATGAGATTACCACAGTTTAACGATTTGAAATGTGCTTTTTTTAGAGTTTGTTGAAAATAATGAAAATAATAGCTATTTTGATGAACGTCGACAATTAGGGAAGATGAAGTAATTGTATCATAAAGCTTAATATAGTTTAATTAATAATTACCAATTATATATAACATTAATTAGATCCAATTTTAATAGCTAATAATATATAGCGTGATGTTTTCATATCGTATTTTTGCAGTAGAAAAAAAGGAGATGTGTTTTATTATGTTATTCCATTTTAATCACGAAGTCTGTATCGTATTTTTATCTAAATTTTTGTACCCAAATATTGTATCATAATTAGTTTTTTACTTTACAATTTATAATGCTAAGAACGAGTAAAAAGTAATATTGCATTCTTATATCTAGACTGTTGTGGATTTCGTTGTTTATATGTTCGGGCATGTATTTTGAAAAGGTGAATATCCCAATGCAAGTGCATGTTTTTCTCATATATCCCATATTTAAAATGTCTAAACTTTCGCTTACAAAGGTCTCTTAAAGGACCCATGTAATATTAATATGGCAAGTCTGATTGATTTTGTTGACGGCTAATTATATAAATTCCCTAAATTTTAAAAAATTGACCATGCAGGATTTGGTTTTCATCGTTCAACGGCTACTTGGCTGTTTTTTTATATAAAAAACCGTATGATTTGATAATGTTATGAAGAACACACCATGCAATATCGGCCATTTTTACCCAAATTGTATTCTCCGATCGCGAAATTAGTTATTTATGTAGTTGCTTCAAAACAATCTCTAAATGTGAACTTCATTCCTGTCATCACTGACGCTGTTTAGCTGATGTTGCTGGTAACTCTGACTGACTGACTTGCAATACGACAACCAAACGTCTCCTGAGGATTAACAAACCATTTCTATCTGAGGTAGGCTGTTATCTTACGTATATATAAAATAAGTTGTTATCTGGGCTATTAGTTAGACTATATAGCAGTCCAAAAATCGCTGGTTCCATTTCTACGGAGGTTAAACGTCGCCTGCCTAGTTACCCGGTTGGTTACCCTTACAATTAAATCACCCAAATATAATATTCAACTGTGTTTATAAATTATAACACTACAACATAGATATTCAACTTTTACAGTGATATATATATATATATATATATATATATATATATATATATATATATATATATATATATATAGTAAATTGAGCTTTGATTTGCATAAGGCCTGCGTTTCAGTGATCTATTCAGCAGTACTTTTTAGTCGATATTTTAATAGATTTTTTCAGAGGCACCTTTTTAATACGCATCATCAATCGAAATATCTTTCAGGGGGGAACTAAAATTAGAAAGCAGTTGAGACTGGAGAGACCTGGGTAAGAGAATGGTAATATGAGAAACTGTGTTATTGATTGTATTAAATTTGGGTTGTTTTCAGTCCTCTGATTTCATTCTTGTGCTTTGTTAATTAGGTCATTCACCCCGATTCGCGCCTAGTCTCTACACCACTTTTTGAAGAGTAAAAAAGGTCACAAAAATCTGTCAAAATTATACCTTCTCTTCCAAATAATGCACTTAGTATTGACTATCGAGATATATCGTATATTGATAGATAGAATCGAAATAATTCTTTGCATAGGCACTAAAAACAATTTGAAAACTCGACAAAGTTGTAAAACTGAATTACGGGTTGCTCACAAGCTCACCTTACATAAAGTAAGTATTTCTTGCTTCTGTACGTATCAGTTTGATTCAAAGCAGAGTTTTTTGTCGAGTTAACAAGAGTTGCCTGCTGACTACGACAAAACACTGTTGTGAAAGTTTAAAAACAACTCAATACCAGGCCGTGCTAATGGCATACTCAGCCTATGCTCATTTCTGTAAAAACATCGTTCTGGAAAGTTTGTTTGAGATAGTATAGTATTCGATGTTGGCAGATATGAGAAACTCTTTCTTTGTTGCTGTCGTTAATCTTCTGCCGCGAACAGCCATCTTCTATTCAACGCTATTCAGCCTTTCGTCAACAATTTCTCACGCATATCATTACAATTTCAACCGGATAATGATTTCAATACAAGACTGTTGCCTTGTATCAGAACTTCTTGAACAAAACTCAACCTTTTTTTGCTCCCCTATGGCATTACAACCTCTTCTGTCCGACAATTAGCCTTAGGAACACTGAATGATTTTCATGCTCGCTCAAAAAATACGATTCTCGATTTATTTTCACTCAAATTTCTCCCTCCTGGGTTCCTAGCTCTGCGCTGGGTTTTATCTCCACAGGAAGATCAAGACCGCTCATATCTGCTTCTACGTTTATGCCCTTTAAAACTAACGCGAGCTTCTTTTTATTTTGCTGTGTTTTCACGAGAGACTTGTCAGGTTTTTTGCAGTATTTTAGGCGGCTAGGTTACGCGTCAGAATCCGAATCGGGAGCCATGTACCTAAGGGTCCACATATTCGGCAGCCATTTTCAACTACCCCGCAGACAAACACGAGAAGAGATAGGTGATTAACATGACAACAAAATTTGATAATGAAGCATTATGTATGCGCTTAACCAAACATAGTGAAACTAAAACTAGATCTCCCTTCTTTTCGTTTTAAACTAATCGTCTTTTACTATGATTCCCTCTTAGAAAACATTGCAAAGAAGCGAGCCTATGTGTCTTGGAAAGCCCTCTTCACAAACAGACCGATTACAAGCGGACAGATCTGTTTAAATTTTTGGCCTCTGGGGTCAACAGGTCACACAATAGCCCGCCTATGAAAAGTGTAGCCAAAAGTGTCATATAGCCAAATTCGCCTGTTGTCAAACGACCCAACCTCTTCACCACTACACGACCTAAACCTCTCTGGACGTTTGTGTGAGAATTTTCGGCCCGAAATAGCTCAAACACTGCCAATTTTTTGAAGCGAAGGTAAGTGCATCATTATTGGTATAATTACCTGGCTACTTTTCACTAAAGCGGATTTAGCTTTATGCCCTAAATCGTTGTAATTGCAACATGATATTTCAGGGTAAATCATGGAGAGACTACCCTCATAACAGTATGCTACAATATCTGTTAACATACTATCAGAATTTTATCCAAATTTGTCTTAAACATTCGAGTGCATCTGTCAATCGATCTAATTAAGAAAGTCTTTACGAGACTTTTTAAGCTTTTTGGCATGTTCCAAGTAGAAAATTTTAGACCATAAGTTCCCTATGTTTATGTGCAATGGTCTCTTGGCTAATCTTACGATGCGCTTAAAGTGATTTTAAAAGCACCAGATAGCGTTTCCCCTATCATACAAGTAGGCTACATTCGACTGTTAGTCTGAACTATAGGAATCAACATAGCGTCGCTGTAGATATATTTGGGAATATTTTTTGAACGCGTAACGGACAGATTATTTTATTGCTGTTCTTATTTCTCTATATGACACCTGTTCGTTACAAGTTACATGCAAGGTTGCTTTTTTGTATGCAAGCGTAGATATTTAAAGCAATGGTTCATAACCCAATATATTGTTGACAGATTAAGGAATATTTGTGTGTGTTTGACGCCTCAAAGTGTTTCGTTTTTTGCAGTGCAAACATGGCCAATATTCACCAAAGCGTATTTGCTGAATACCAGCGAAGCAAGGATGTGGAATTAGAATTTTCCGAGGAGAATCCGACGACGAAATATGAGTTTGGAGATGAAATTGGCAGGTTAGCAAGTAACATTTAATTTCGTTCAATCCTACTGTAAACACACGCTGTAAAATATGCACGAGTATAACTTTTAGCCGTAATTCAATTTTCAAACTCCAAAACTCGTTTCGGGCCAAGCAACTTGTTTCAAGTGAAGTATTTTACGTTTTCATCCACGACAGTTTGGATAAAAAAAACATAAAATGCCTATACAGGCAACACGTTTTTGTAGTACATGTTTTATTTATGCAAATATTAAATGTCAGTGCATTCACAAGTCGCTATGGTAACGGATGGTACAAGAAGCAGCGGGAGTTTACAGTACATCCGACCTGATTTCAAGGCTGATCTCTGCCTTGTGGGCTGTTTAAAAAATGTCATTATTTGGCGTCAGTTTTGCTAGAGTGTCTTGAAATCTGCGTTTCTACGTAATTGTTACACAGAAAAAGAGTAACCAATATTATAGTCAGTGTTTTCAAATGGCTTGGATTAATATACTATTAGGTAAGGCAATGGGGATAAATTCAAGACAACTACAAATAATTTGTCAATTTTTGCAAATTCTATCTTTGAATCTGACAAAGATATCTCTGCAGTAATATTCCGGGGACACACAAAAGCCTGTTCTTCATTTCAATCGTAATGTGCAGCAAACTGTAGCAGACGTCTTTGTTTCAAAGTCATCAGTGTTCACTGATTCAAGCCGAATAGCCATGAAACAATAAATATACGCTACATTACGCCGTAATTGAATTTAAAAACATCCTGGAGATATTTTAAATCTGCATGCTCAAATTTTTACCTTTATAAACATCGCCAACATAAAACGTCTTTGCGAAGAACCAATTTTGATTAAACTCGGGACAGTTTATGTACTTAACTACTACGTCATAGTAATGATGTAATATCATATTATTATATATATACCGCCATTTATTATAACAAACGGTGGAAATTATATTGTACTTTCCAATCACCAGGACTACTCATTAAATAATTACTGAACCTACAATGTCTGAGGCCCAGGTTATATTTTGGTCGCGTCGAATGCAATTAAAACTTAATAGATAATGAGATGATAAACCTTATTAAGCTTCATTATCATCTCATTATCTATTGTTCCAATGCATTTGACGCGACCAAAATGCGACGTATACCAGACCTGAATAGACTATGTCACGGCTGAATCACCATTTAAAACCACACCTAAATACACCCAATTTATTGATTTACTTTTACCAAATTACTTTTCAAATTGAACGCAGTACAATGATATGCGTATTGTGGGATTATTAGGAACATTCAAAATCCATAATCAACAATTTTTGTTCCTCTAACCAAGGCCGGGACCAAATTTTGAAATTACAATGTTTGAGGACAACACAGCTCTCTTCTGAACACGACTTTGAAACAATGTCCACATTCACACGATATAAAGTACCTTGTACAACTTGAGACGTTGCTTGTAACGATTCCTGATCAAATTTTTCGCCTTGGTTGAGATATTCATTGGCTTTCTTAATGCCCTCGACTAAGTCAGGATATTTTGTAATGTCGTTTTGAGGTATTGCTGACTGTCCGCCAACAAGCGGTTGGTTGTCGTTTTCAAAGTCGTCATTTTCAAAATTTGCCATTACACAATACAGTGACAAAGTGTGCATCAATACAGTGCACATGAGACCAGTCTTGCTCAAATTGAAAGCCATTTTAATGTTCGTTACTTTTTTAATTTTAGATATTATCTTCCTTGTTCTGCTTGAGATACTGTAAATATTACAGGCAAATGAAATTTGAAATTCAAATTCTATATTTGTTTTATGGTTTGCTTATTGGACACGTCACATCAGTTGATTTGTATTTGGGCCGCGCATCAAATCTGACGAGAAACGAGTAAAATCCTATGATCTAGGTTTTAAAACTCCGAATACGTTTGAGTTGCCTTGAACTTCTTGTATTCCCGAACTTGAACCTCTATCAGTTTTGAAGAACAATACGAACCAACACGTATAAAGGTCTGTTCCGCACGTTTGTTGTATCCAATTCACTTTTGACGTATGGAATGAAGTCAGTTATTGATAAAGCAGTACTGCATGGGCTGGTTTAATTAAGTTGATTTGCTGCCCACATTCATTGCAAGTCAACAGACTATAAAACATCCATCAGACGTGAATTGGATCCAACAAAATTGGATCGTTTGAACAGACCTTAACATAGCGTTGCCAGGTGATCACCACACGACCTCAATTTTCACCGATGAGAAATAGTCCGGATGTATATTTGTCTTCATTTCTATATAGTAAATCGCTCATTGTTGATTGCACACAAATAGAAATATTCTATCACATCAGTCACCTTGACATGTTCACGACGCTCACGACTGAATGGAAACCAGGCATCATCCCAAAGTTGTTGTACTTGTGTGAAATGATCTGGTTAACTATAAACTTTTATTTTTCGCACTGTCTCACTTTCCAGGGGAGCGTTTGCCGTGATCAAGCGATGCCACCGTCTCGATGACAAGAACAAAAAGCTTATGGCTGCCAAGTTCGTGAAGTACACCGACGAAGATGGTGAGGAGGATCCCGAAACGCTGAAAATTCTGAAACGCGAGGTCGCCATGATCCAGAAATGGGAACACGAAAAATTTATCATCCTTCTTGAGGTTTACATCGTACGAAAATACGTTGTCCTCATCATGGAATGGTACGTTTTGGAATCGTTAAAGTCTCGTTTACACTTGCGATTCTTGCTGCGATTTTCTTCTTTTGATAGATGTGAACAAGTAATCAGTTACGAATGCTCTGATGTGTACGAGCTCCCATTTTAATTTCCGTAACTAATTCACTCGGTCACATCTATCAAAAGAAAAAAATCGCACATAGAATTAGAATTGCACAGTAAGTTGTATAGGTAATAGCATGGTTTCGAGTGCAATTTGGAAAAAATATACACGAGTAAGTTTTTGAAAGACCTCACGAGTGCATGTTTTTCCAAATTGCACTCGAAACCATGCTATTACCAAGTTATAATATACATAAAAAAATAAGCGACACGTGCTACATGATTATATTATAAATAATTTATTCAATTAACAAAAAATGCGCAGTCCCATGTTATTTTCAAATCGTGTCAAAATAAAACTGCTTCAACGTTTTTACGTAAAATATTTAATTTATTTAAAGACACAACAATTATAACACCCAGGAGCATTTTAAAAACGTCTTAAAGAAATTAGCACTGGGATTTCCTTTTTTGGCACTGGAAATCTATGATTTCCTATTTTTGGCACTTGGATTTCCTAAAAATTGCACTGCTCTAAACCAATCAGAATTGAGTTTTTTTATGTATACACGCAAGCTACTGTAAGAATTCTCTACTCGGACAATGCTAGCGAAAACACGAATAACCTTTCCTGTGCGTTTTATAACCCACGTATTTTTTTCTATAGGGTTGACGGCAAAAACTTGCTTCCCTACTTGATTGCCAAACAAGAGGCAGCAGACAAGGCTCGAAGTAAGCCAAAGCTTTCAGAAAAGGACATTGCCTTGTTGACCAAGCAGTTGTTAATGGCATTACAATACTTGCACCAACAGGGCATCGCTTATCTCGACATCAAGGTAGCTCCATTTTCCTCTATCTTTTTCATTCGAATAAAAAATCGTTTCTGCGCATGGGCAAATGATTTTTCGACGAAGTAATGCTGCCAAACGCATAATTTATGCACATAAAAACGTTAACTGCGCACAAAAGCATTAAAAAGCCGGATGATTTCTATGCATGGGCAAACGATTTCTTAACGAAATAATGCTGCCAAACCCGTTATGTATCTATTTATGGCGACAGTCGGCGACGTATTATTTGTGGTCGGTAAAGAAGAATATTTATTCAAAATAACAAAGTACTTCTTTCACCAATACCCACAATAGCCATGGTCGACCATCGGTGATATATGAGAACCAGGCTTTATGAAAATCATCTCTGGTCCAGTGGACCAGTGTTGCTACAGGAGAAATCCTGAACTAAATTAACTTTATTTATACCGTATAGATCTATCAGTTCTAAACTGTTCTTTCTAGGGGTCCAGTGAGGATCATCTCTTATTGATCCAGTGTTACTACAGGAGGAAACCTGAACTAAACCAACTTTATTTATACTGGATTGCTCTATCAGTTCTTAACTGTTATTTCTAGAGGTCCAATAAGGATAATCTTTTACTACAGGAGGAAACTTAAACCAAACTAATATTATTTTCTGATATTTGACAGCCTGACAATATCATGGTTCAATCCAACGGAAACATTAAACTGGTTGATTACGATAACTGCCGGCATATTGTTAGCAAACAAGGAGATGTAGTTGATTGTATCGGCACACCTGAATTTACAGGTAGGAACCTCGCCATCCCCGAAATATGTCTGTCCAGTTTCATTTTGAAATAAAAAAATATTCGTCTCAAGTAACTTTTAAGAATCGGAGAGCATGGACTCAATGGTCTAGTCAGGATGTCCGATGGGCTCTATAAATAAATAATTCTCGTTCAAAAATTGGTAACATTTGGTATATGCCCATTTGACATGACTTTCATCTGTTCGTTGTAAACTTTTTTCAGCTCCTGAGGCTCTTGTGTACGAAAACTGTTCTCAAGCCACGGATATGTGGTCCTTAGGTGTCCTTATTCATGTCATGTGAGTACCTTCAACATTTGCAAGTCTGTAATATGATTATCAGCTTGTAGCTACACCACTTGTATATTTATAAGTGCAATACTTCTTATTGCCGATAAATACTTGTTGCAATATTTATCACTTACTTACGTAAAAAACATGAAAATACAAAGTGAATTGCTCTGATCGGACCGAACGTTCGCAGCAATAAATATACGTAGTGTTCATGAAAACTGGTAATTGTATACTTATTACCCTTGTTATAGGTTGATTTTTGCTTGCACCTTTTCAAGACGCGCGGGAAAAGAAAGATCTATATTGCCAGTCTCCTGATTATTACCATTTTACTACCATCACTTTTTTATTACCATCTCTATAGGATGACGGCGAAATCACCATTTGCTGATCCAGATGAGAACGAAGTCCTTAAAAAAGTTGCAAAAGTTAAATACGAGATGGCAGATTTTGGCAGATGCACTCCATATCCCAAAAATATTATTGAAGGCGTTTTCAAAAGAATACCCGAGTGAGTTGCGATACCAGCTCAAACAGCCTGATAACCCTACCTTGGTTTACAAATTTTGGTCTGGTGTCTATGCTCTGGTTTGGTAGTTAGTTTTATAGGTGGTGTTTACATGACTTCGAGGTATTGAAATGAGCGTTTATGACACCAAACAAGCACATGCTTTTGTCGGGGTGATAGAACGATTACTAGGTTCGTGTTTTATGCTTATTTCAATACCTCAAAGTCCCCTCACGTTAAACCTCTGCTAAGCGGGATCATATAAACAGCTCCTTGCTATGGTTTGAAACAAAATCTATAAAAAAGTACTAATTGTTTAATTCCAAAACTTTTTAAACCCAACCTACTATTCTACCCATCAGGAAACGTTTAACCCTGGATGCTGTCTTGGCTCATGAATGGTTTAAGGTATAAACCTTTATATATACATGGAAAGCATTCATTCACAAACATGCTTCAAAAATGCAACCCAAGTACAACTTGTTAACCGCGCTCATTTCGTTAACAATCTTATTGGTAAAAGCTTCTTCATTTTCCTGTTATAGAAAAATAACATTCAAATGATGCAGCGAAATATGATCCCCGCAACAACCGCAGATTTCATCCAAATAAAAGAAACGTTGGATTCCTTAGAAAGTGTAAGTCTGGGGGCTTTCTATGTTTTCTCACGGGGGGGAGGTGACCCCCTCTGTAATTATAACAAACACACGATTTTCGGCCTTGATTTTCACATTTTGTTTGGAGGAAAATCTTTCTTTGCACTGAATTCCAATCCACCAATTGTTCCACTAAGATTTTTAAACGTGCCACTATCATGTACCATATCAGGAAATGTAGTCTTCCTGGAAGAGGTTGTTTTTATATGAATGCAGATGATTCGTAATTTAGGAAGAACCAGTGTTTGCGTCGTGTGTGCTGAGATCATTCAAAGAGGATCCGTACGACACCCCTGACGAAGACGACGAAGATGAAGAATAATAAACTCTGTGTACCATGAAGCGTTGGGTCTGCGTAACAGTTAGGAAATAATTTAGAATGCATGTGTCCTGCTTGTTAGAAATTATAGTCGTAATATCGAATTGTCGGCCTTTTTCCAAAAAGATCTATTTTTGTCAACCTTTTTTAATTAAATATATATATATATATTCTTACGAGTAGTGAATAGAAAGTACATGTTGCGGCGCTTTCGAAAAGAAAATCGGGGCGTTCTTGTCGATGCGCAAAATGACGTAAAAATTAGCATATTCTGCAGGTCCATTTTCGCGGGCTTCTTCAAAGTTCAAACCGCTCAGTTTGTAATGTACAAAATGGTGAATGGCAAAGGCTCGATCATTGATGGCAAGGTGGCAGTTTGCAACGAATTTTTACCATGTTTTTGCAAAGTATATCAATCTTTTGTGGTTTTGATAGTCAGAGGTAAAGACAATAATTTGTTCACGGATACATGGGATTCTCTGAGTTTAAAGTATAACGATTAAATCTGCTTGAAACTTGAGCTTTATTTCATGTGTTTGAATGTTTCTTGGCAAGAAATTGCAACACCTATTATTGTCGTTTTTTTAGGTTCGCAGAGGGAAGGAAATGGCTATTTCCGGATTAAATTCTTGAGGTAAATCTCTATAAATATTAATCAATATATGTTTGCTTTATATCTTTGTTTAGCCGTGTATATCATGCTGGGCAATATTTCCGTTTAATAAATCCGTGTGTATTTTCTCTTGCTATTATTACAACAGTACAAGTTGAATTTCATTACATTATTGTTAACAGGACACAAAGGTTTTTATATATCAGTTTAGGTAATTTGTTTAAGTTCCTAAATTTGATTTAAATAAATTTCACAAATACAGGTAGAAAGAATTGAAGTGAATTATAAATGGAAGTAAAGAGAATGAGCTGCAATGCTGCATATTTCCAACTTTTAATAAAAAATTACATGTTTAATTGCTTATCTACAAGATATGTTATAAGGAGACCTTGATATAGTGCAAAAACAAAAATATTTCAAACAAGTATATATTACATGAACCTCATGAATCAACTAACTTATAAAAGTTTGCAAAATACAGTACTGTATAACACTTCTTAAATGCAATGGCATCCAATTTCTTGCCACATTCACTTCACTGGTTGTTACGTCGATACCTAGCTTATTTGAGAGTTAATCTGGGCCAATCATGACAGTGCAATACATGTGCTATACATGTTGGTGTGTCCCTATTTGGAACTAAACAGAATATGACTCTTAAACTTGAATGTCAGTCTGCTGTACTCAACATTATTGTGAAGTATGAACGGATCCAACCAGATGCAAATCTAACTAAGCTATGCCTTATAACAACCTCGAAATATCAAAACAACATTGTAAAAACATCCAGTCCTAATCAATTATCCACAAATGAACCTGAAGCTTTAACTACACATCAATCTTTCCTCACAATCACTTCCTTCAAAAACATAACAAAGTACACACAAAAAATACACAACAGTTGTCTCAAAAACCAGCAGCGGTTAATCAACCACATGATGGTAATATGCTTCCCCGCAGCTTCCTATATTCTAAAATTATTACAAGGTACAAGGTCATTTACACAACAACTTATCATTTTGGTTTTCGTTTTTCGTGGTAAACAAGTTGTGAGAGGCAACCCTGTCCAGGATTGAATGAATCTTGGATTATGGTATGTTGGAAATCTAAAATTTCATGGAGTGAATATCAACAAGCCACAAGCCTAGGTTTTGGTTTAAAAAGCTGATTTAGTCAACAACATGTGGGACTTTACGTGTGTACACTCGCCTGGTTCTTACGGCACCAGATGATTTTGGGTTTGTGGTGTTGTAGCAAGGGTGTTCTCAGTGAGCTGCACATCATCACAAGTTTCTCCGTTCTCCTTCACGGACCGGGCGCTGGAGTGTCTGCTGGTGTCTTTGTTGGAGTACTCGCTGTTCTTGCTTGGAATCTTTTGCAGTGGCGGTTTGTTCGAGCCCGTTGAGAGTGTTCCTCCTCGTATGTGAATTTGTCGATTCTGAAAGATGATCTTACGAACCTAGGGTAGATTATAGAAACAAAATATTATGAGTTTGGGTACGAGTCCAATAGTACTGCAAAACTAATGACCGAAATTCCTACTGGTGGACGTTTCCTTTCTTCGACACCAAAATGGCAAATCTAGTAATATTTTTATTATCTTTTCATCAATTCTCATCTTCTTTCCCAGTAAACCTTAACTTGGGTGACGTGTTTCACAGAATCTAGTTCCAACCGTATTCAAATGCCAATGAACCTTCACTTAACCCACGCACAAGCAGGATTGAAAATAGGGTTATATCTTTTAAACTTTCGAGTCAACTTTCATGCAACTTTTTTTCTCCTTTCTTTGTGCTTGCGTAGTTGCGTTCATCTCTCTCACGGCCATTCTTACCTCCTGGTTCAAAGCACAGTGGAAGATGAAAATGAGTAATCCCTGAGATGAATTCAGGATTACGAAGAGATACATAGCAGCCACTGCGTCTGATGAAAACCCGAATATTCCAAACAACCAAGTGAGGCCAAATATCGGTAGCAGCACAAATAGAGCGCGTAGCGACGTTCTAGAAGGAGATAGTTTGAAGTTCAACTCTCAGTTCAACTGTTCAGACAGTTGGACATGGAAACTAACGTGTCTAATCTTACCTCACTTTATAAGACATTTCTTTCGTGGTAACCGTTCGAAGATGAAGACGTTTGCGCAAAGTGATCACTGTGACGATGATGTTAATCTGGCAGTGGAATCGAAGAAAATGAGTGAACGAATTTATACCAATATTGATTGGAGCTTGCATTATAATTACTGATGGAATAGGAATTTTGATCCCTCCCCCGGCTTGAATAGCGTCTTTATTCCTCCCCTATCTCTCCACTTTTAGAGCACTGGTATAGAGGGTTAAGTAAATCTACAATTGGACCCTTCTCTTCCATTTCCGTTTAACTGGCAATTGCTTGCTACCATAGACAAGAAACTGTCTGATATCTTCACCCAAGATAACCGAGATTTTTATGGTTTATTCTCTCACCATAATGATCAGCAGAACTGGTGCGATAAATGCCCAACGGATTCTATAATCTGGCGACAACCAGCACCTGAAGATGATGATAATCATTGATTACATCACAAGTGTCTGGAGAATCACGAAGACCGAGTTTTTATACTTACGTGTCTTCGTCGGTGTAATGATCCTTGCGTGAAAAATATGTTATCAACACGATCAGAATGGGTAAACCTTAGAAAAGATAGCAGTTTTGAATTATACCACAATTATCCCTAGGGATGAAATAGTGTCAAGATTCGCATTAAGATTATATTGGATTTAGATTGAAAACGGATCAACTGGTTCCGATTGTGATCAGGATGCAACAAAGCTAAGAATAAAGATTCTGATTGCATTGGAGATTTGGATCGAGATTAAAGTTAAGATTAAGATATGTATTAAAGATACGATTAAGATTAGGATTGTTACCCCATCCAATTGCGTGACAGGAAATCAAGTTCATAGAAGATGAAAAAATTGACACAACTTTCTTGTAAATTTGGATTCCTTCCACCAGCATCCACGTAAACACACAGAGGCAAAAGTAATGTAAACATATCGATACCGCTAAACAAAGACCCTGAAAAATAGTTATTTGAAACTAGTAAACATACTTCACTCCTTCTGGGTCCACACAATTTAACTTCAGGCGGATATGCAACAGAAAACGTCATGGAATGTCATGCTTTTAGGAGTTAAAAAGAGGACCGACGCTTGACCTGCATTAGCTGTAAATGGTACCTTGTTATTCCGGCCTTTGACGGAAAATAATAGGAAGATCTGAGCCATTGCAATAGCGAAACACAAATTCAGGTGAATATGGAAATTGGTGCTTCGGTATAATCTGAAATGACAGCAAACAGACGATTACTTTTCATTGTTTCCAATTTCCGTTGGAAGAAACCATGGATAACTTGAGTTCCCCAGTCCTGCGATAGAGCCTGTAGAACTGGAAGTTATACGGTGCAATGTCGTTGTGTTATACTTCAAGAAAACTTACCCGAAAAAGATGTAAATTGATACGGTAACAAAGATGGCAATTAGCGACAATGAACAACCAATGTTGGTTAAAATGGTCAATGCACGTCTGTGGCGATTATCCACCTAAAATAGAACCGTTCGCTGCAGATGTGGTATAGATGTTAAATTGAACCATCCATGATTACACTGAACAGCCCTCTCAGCTCCTTCATCCCACACTCCTGATGGCAATTACGAGCTAGATTGCTTCGTGTATCGTGCATGGCCTCAAGAAATATTTCCACATCTTACCTCGACTTTGCGGTACTGCATCAATATGGCAAAATTGGTCAAATGTGTACAGTTGCATTGTGTGTGCGTCTTATTTGAGGACATCACATTGCATCCTTCTGTCGACCATAGACCTGATTCATTGCTAGTAAAATGATTGGAGATCACATTAAGAAAATATAAACTTTACACCATTCAAGCATTTAACCTTAACACTTTAAACTTTACACCATTCAACCAACACTAACTTTTCGCCATGTTTCCAGAATGCACAAATGGGTGTTGCTTCACTTGACATTTCCTAAAGTAGAAAAAAGTGCAGTAAATATGCTGTATATATTCTACTTATATTGTGCTTCGATAGTTCCCAATGTGGTATTCTGCTTACCTTATGATGCTGTAACGTAATCTGGACAGTTCTGTTTGTATTTACGCCAAATCTGATCTGTGGATTCACTTGACACGAAAGAACTTTTGATACGATTTCTTGATGAAGATCAGAACGATACCTGGTGAAAGTAATGGCGGACTTCAGCATCTCATTCAATTTCCTCCCTCCAATTCATCTCTCGATTCCCCATTAACTGTGTTCAGTCTAACCATGCAGTATCATATTAACCTTAATCAACTAATCTCTCTAATCCGCTAATCCAGCTATTCGCTAATCCAGCTAATCCTATTCCGTATTGCTGACCTTTGGTCGTAAATGGTCGTAAATCTTGAACTTCTTTTTCTTACCTTCTACTAATAGAAAAGTTGACAAAAAAAACGACTTACATTTCATCACTCTTGTTCAGCGACGTTGTGAGCTTCTCGTGCAGATTACTGTAGACATATCCACCAATGTTTGCTGTTGATTGAAAGGGATAGACAGGGTATTATTCATGCAGAACAAAGCTGTGATTACACTCAGCGACCCCTTGCACTCTAAAGCTAGTTTGGTATAGATGGTTTAGGCTGTCGTATAGTTAGGTTTCTTCGTTGTGCCCAGAGGTGCGTGTCAAGCACCTGCCCTGGACGTGTCACAGACCGAAAAATGAAACTGGACACACTATTCTGGACTGTACTTTTTCTCTCCTTACTTTTGTCCGTGTCTTTGGTTGTCGGCACAGTGAAACTGTCTGTTGAAGATTGCTTCGAGAATGCTGCATCTTCATAATCAGGGAACACTAAAGACTCCTTGTCTTTTGTATCTTCTTGGCTGACTGAGAAAACTAGAAGGAAACACAAAGTTTTGAATATGGTCTCCTATACACTAACTCTAACCGGGAATAGGGAAGCCATAAATGCTAAATATTACTACCTGTACTGGCTCACCACTTTAAATACTATCAAATGCAATACTATCACTTTAGATTTATGTCCTTGTAAAGGAGTTTAGCTTAACCTCGAGTTGAAATATGCATGTCAATATAAGTATGTTTTTATAATATTTTATATTGTTTTTATATTTATGCCAAAATTTGGGTTGGGGTTTAACGAGCTTTGGAATTACGCCCCAGATGTTTAAACTTGAAGTATTTGCTATCTGGACAACGCTACATTAGGACTCGATTTAACAGGTGTTGTCCTTTGGTGTATGTGAACGAGTGTATAGTTATAAAAGCTCAGGGGTAGAAATACCCCTTACATTGGCATCCATAACTTATCCACTCGTTCACATCTATTAAACGAGGAAAATCACGTCTAAAATCCGCACCAAAGGTGTGACTTACCCATAACTTCAGATATCGCAGATTTATCCTTGCTTGAATTCATTCCCAAATCCAATAATCCTTCCGTCGCGGAGAGAAACGTATCGGCGACCTTCGGATCCTGTGGTCAAGAATAACAAAACTGGATCATGATAATGGAGCTTTTAAATGTTAAAACTGGCTCAAGTGAAAACTATTAATAGCATGGAATTTAAACAGTGGCAAAGGCAGTAACTCAATCTTACTTTTTTCCATTCTGAACTTGACAGATTCAGTAATTTGCTGGATTGGGAAACGAAAATCTAAAATGAATGTTAAAACAGAAGTAAGTATACAAACAATTACTCATCAGGACTTTCAAGTTGCGTTTTTAACTATGCGATTTGTCCGGTACGATTCGTCATCTTGACGTATGTATTCGAATAAAACTGTGTAAAGATGTCACATTTTAAACTTTGTTATAAACTGATGGACAGAAAAAGTGGCGCCAGCAATCGTTTTCATACGTCAGGATAAGAATCGTCTTTCAGGATCTGAGGTGCTTACCAATTACTTTGGGGAATCGGAAATTGCGGTTGGAAAGGCAAATGGTACTAAGGAATTAATATCAGAAGGTTCCGATTTTCCAAGGTAAATGCATGGTAAGAACCCGAGAACATTTGACAAACGTTTGAATCGAATGATGTTAAGTCAACCTTACATACATTAAGATCAACGTCATCAATACTGTTGGCATCTGAAATGATGTCACTTAATATCCCTGCCAACTGAGCGTTATCTGAACAAAAAATGAAAGTATTGAGATCAGTAGAACCTGGAAACCATCGGCTAAGAAAGGTAATAATCCTGTTCAGTAAATCCTAATACACGAATCCTTTAAGTTTAGGTTAAGATTGGGGTTAAATTTAGTATATCAGGGTTAATGCTAATCAACCATAAGACAATCCTAAACCTTGCATCAGCTCAAGGGATGAATTCGTGTATTAAGGATATACTGAACAGATTTATTACCGCCTATAGCTTCCAAGCCACGTGGATTTTGATAGGTCTATCCAGAGTAATATTGTGAGACCAGCTCGTGCTTCAAATCAAATTCGACCCCGAATCTAATGACAGAGCTATCCAGTATAAAATGTTTACATATATAGTTCAGGTTACCTGTATGCACGCGATATACGTCATTGGCCCAAGGTCCTCCAAGCCCGTTCCGACATTTATCCGACACTCCATATTTCTTATAGGTACTGGCAGCGTCAGGGCCTGACCAACACTCGACACCGTTCTGGATCCCAAACACCGTGTAGCCTCGAAACGCAGCCTCTTGCTTACAGCTTTTTAACAAGTCGCTTCTATCCCGTGGCAACGCCACAGGCATCGCACGAGTACTGGTGTCCTTAAAGCATCCTAGATATTCATGTCGAACTGGAAGAGATTAGAAACTTCGTGGTGAGTTAAGTTGTTTTTTCACTTCTCGAAGGCGTGGATGTTATCAAAGTGGGCTGAGGAACGAGGTTGTGTTGAATCGTAAACAAGCCATATAGAAAGTCATTTCGGATTAGGCTAAGGTACATTTCATGTTCATGGAAATTCACGGTGATTCCCAATGAAGCAATTGTATTCAATATATTCGAGCACCTCAACTCGAATGTTATATCTCAAACTGCATGATAGTATGCATTTCCGGCAAGATAACCCCCCCTTGTATTGTGGACGCCTGTAGTGATTTCACCATTATCTACGGGAGGGGCTTCATCCTGAGATTGGGGTAGTACAGTCATTTAGCGAATTACCAAATTCCGCTACAAAATCCGGGCAGTCGGCCAATTACTAGTAGCAGATACTACCAGCGGAGAGGCGCGCTTTTCGTTCACAGCTCGAACAACATTGATTTCAACGTTTCATGTTTTATCAGACATTTTCTACTGGCTACCGAGGACACGCTGCCGTTGTGTTGCCAAACGCACCATTTCTTTTTAATACAAGATCGAGCCGCGGAAAACATTTCATACAAAAAGTGTTTAATGCCAAATTTTCCCTAATGCTTTTTCACTTAAAGTCGCTTTTTATACGCTAGTTTAGTATTTGGCGATACTTTCATTACTAAGCTTTGTATATATAAAAAATAGTTCAGAAAGGTGTCGCCGGAACATATACTTGGGAGGATTTTCCTTGAAACAAAAGAAGTGCTTTTGATCTGTTTTCATGTTCTCATGTGGTGCGGTTTTTTACCACGGCTGGATGAAGATCCGCTAATTTCAATGTTTAGGTCTTAATAAGCCAGAATTTTGCATTCTCATCGTAAATAGGATGTGTAAATGCTTAGTAAGTTCTTATTGTTTCATGAAATTGTTTTCCTTGCTGTAAAATCTTTGCCAGGCTGCGCCGAAGGCAGGCTATCATTGGTAATCAATCACGATTGCCTAGTGCTTGATTTTTGGCCAAAAAGTGAGACAAATTTCCTTTGAACAGTTTTTTGTTTATTTGATACAATCAAAGGTAAATTGAACGATTTGTTTTTTTTTAAATCTGTAAATCATCATGCTAGTTGGAAAAGAAGGTGACGGAATAAGTGCTATGCAAGCATGCATCAAAATGCATGGCAACAAATATTGAAAACATACCTCTTCCTTGGACGAATCCCAGAAGAAGAATCGCCACTGAAAAACGTAAAATGTCCATTGGAACTTCGAAAGTTTCCTATCTTTCAGTCATTTCGCGTCAAGTAGAGTCCTTGTGAAAGAGATTACATTGTAGTGCAAGAGGGGACCCTTCATCGCATTTACCCAAGTACAATTAGTCCAGTCGTCGGCCCAATATTAAATATTTATACTGATAGGGGAACGCCAAGGTAATTGTCTCCTAGGCAATATCCAAACAACGTGAACGATTTTTGTCAAAACATCGAATTTATACGCAATTAGCTAAAATAACCGTGATTGGAAGCAAAATATTCGAGCTATTTTGAGGCCTTGATTATTGTGAGTAAGCTAATCGGATCTGATAAAGTAATATGGAATTGTTCAATATTGGCTGTTTGTTTTAAAAATATGAATGCAAAACAGGTATTTTGCAAAACAATACTTGTACAGGTGAAATCAGTACAGATAACGGTCACACATCTGATGCGATGTCTCGATATGTACGTCAACACATTTGCTTAAGAATTAAAACTGTATCAATTATAATCAAAGGTCTTTGCAATTTGTGTATTTCTTCAAAAGTAGTGAATAGACTTTGGATTGTTGAATCTTCTTTTGTCCAAAAGATTTTAGCTTTCATTCGATACATGTTTGCACGGAATTACTTTGTGTGCGGTGCAAAAACTTGTAATCTAATTGATCGGGAAAATATCGAATTATTTTCGTCTCTGAATGACATTGCAACATTTAAATATGTAAATATTTCAATCAAAAAAAAAATGAAGACATGAATACATACACTAGTAATACATACATACACTACAACATTTGTTATCGGTACTGATATCAAAGCGGTGTGTACTACTCTCTATTTGATATCAGGTATTAGAGACTTCAACTCTGGTTTAGAAAAAGAGTATAATTACATTGATCATTTACGCCCGTAAAATAAAAACTGTCAGCATTGGAGAGGGACAGCAGGAGGGTGTGTGTTTGTATCGTAGTGGGAACGGGGGCAACTTCCCTGCAATGACAAACGTTGTTTTGACCTCCTGGGACAACTTTTACTAGAGGTTTGAGGGTAAACAAACCTAGTGTATACCACATACAGTCTGAAATATTGATAACTGCTTATTTGCATCTATTTTTTGTGTGAAATTTGTAGCCTGATTAAATATGTTTTCAGCATGTACTTGGCGCAAGAAAAATTGGGATAATTACGACGCATTTAATAAATGCATGAATTTGCATCAGAGTAAGCTTTTAATAACAACATGGTAATATGATACAAAACACAATATACTTGTGGTACAAAACACAATACACGGTGATAGATTATTGCATGCTTGTCTAGACTTGTTAACTTGGAAATTTTGCTTTGTAGAAGTTCAGTAAAAAAGATGACTCGTATAAGAAAGTGTGCTTGCTTTCAAAGCAGACTAAAAGTTAGTAATAGTGCATAAGACTCGGATGTATCACTATGTATGAAATGTATTGTGATAATTGCTACTCCGGGTAAGCTGAAAAATTAGCTTGACCACGGTGGGAAATTAAACATTGAAGATATCCAACCGAAAATAACCTGCATGCGGCTCTATCGTAAAGCAACCAATGTTTACTAATAATCAAAACCATAATATTTTTTTAAAGTTATTTTCACCCGACGTACGCATTTAGGCGTGCGGCAAATTGTGAAAAAAGGCCAGTGATTTCTTAACCCCAAGTAGTGCTCTAACTGAAATCTTTTCATAAACATCTCGGTGGACATGACTTAAATCTGACGTTAGTTGGGTGGGGATGATGTGCTCGAGAGCTGGAGTGGGTTTTATCGCCAGCCCGTGAGTTCAAACCATTAAGGACAGAACGCTCTAAAACCAAATCTAGAATTAAACGACTTTTCACAATTCAGCGAACGATAACTCGATCTCGAAATTAACCAGAGCACGATACGATAGCTGGAACTAAACTACAGCTCCTAGTGGTCTTAATTAAAATAGTATAGCGGCTCTGACTGCTCTATGGCTACATAGCTGCCACGTATTAGGACCCCCCGCCGGCCCCTGGATTAGGGGTGAAAAAACATTCTCAACATTCAAGTACACATCAATACCATAGCCCTCCACAGGGGGGGATGCGGCAACCCCCACGAACTGGGGGAGTAATACGGTTAATACCATCGATAGCTGCATGAGCTATAACCTGTCAATTCTCATAGATATAACATACATTACGTCTATATCGTAGGCTAAGCAGCTTTTCGTCTTCTACAAAATCTATAAACTTGAAAACAAGTACACATAACATATTACAAATATGAGTTCCATTGGAAAGAAGCTTGACGAACTATCGACTCCATCGTTTCTAATTCATAGTGACACGGTGAAGAGAAATTGTGTTCGTATGAAAGAATTATGTGACGCTTTGGGTGTAAACCTGAGACCTCATATGAAGACACACAAGACTGTGTAAGTTATTTCTGGAAAATATACGAGCTTTGATATCATGTTTAACTTTGGTAAAGCTTGAGGAAGAGTCCTTAAAATGTTTTTGTGACCAGGAATCCTAACAAATTATTTGACCAGTAACCCGTGATATTATAAAGTGTCCCGTGACCTGCATGGAGTATCATGTGAGACAATTTTAAAGGTTAAACACAATAAACAGGCTGTTTCAGGACTTTCAGCTAGACACAAAAACTCTTCGTGGTCTAAATGTTTTAGGCAACTTCCAGCAACCAATTTAAGATAATTTAGAGCCACTTGGTTAATTATTATATTGGTTAATTAGTTAATTATTATACATTAACCATTGGTTAATTATTATATATAACCATGCAAATGTGAACCTCATTCAATAATTGTTACATATTTCTTCCTAGTGAGGCGGGGCTACTGATGACAAGCAATTCTCGAAGAAGAATTGTTGTTTCTACACTGGCCGAAGCATGGTTCTTTTTTGAAAATGGTTTTGATGACATCACTTATGCATACCCATTAAGTTCCGATAAGTTACCAAGATGTGCTGAGCTGTTAAACAAACTGGAGTTGTTTCACATAACTGTTGATAATATGAAAATTATTGACGCCCTTGGGGACTATGTTTTGCCAAATCCAAGCAAGAAATGGTCGGTATTACTCATGGTTGATTGTGGGAATAAAAGAGGTAAATATTGTAACACTCTCTAATTATATTCTGCCCAGCTCTATTTCATTTCAACTTTATTTACCCCAATTTTATCTACCCTCTCACTCTATTTACCCCTACCTTATTTACCCTGATTCTTATTTACCCTGATTCTTATTTACCTCTCTATTCCTGCTTCTTAATATTCTTCATTTACTTTTGTCTCCATTTCCTTCTTTAACTATGCAAACATGCACCTAAATCTTTTTCCATTTCCACATAATTCCACTTCATTCTATTCATCTTTTTTCCGAATCACCCACACATCTTATTTCTCTTTCTGTTTCAACTTTACATATTATTTAATTAACCAGCAAACAACTTGCCTTTTTAGATGGTGTACCATACAACAGTGATGAAGCTTTGAAAATGGTGGAAAAGATTTCATCACTAACTAATGCTGAATTTTCTGGTATCTACACCCATTACGGTGCTTCATACCAATGCCGTGGTGCTGATGAAATAAAAAGTGTCTCATCTGTAGCATGGGGAAAACTCATTGATTTTGCAAAAAGGTAGTTCAGAATGGTGTGTTGTATATTGCTATAGAACTAGAGCAAGCTGACAATAACATGAAAACCTTGTATTTCTTTCTAGGATCAGAGAAAAAGGAATAGAATGTAAGGATGTTGGAATTGGTGCCACACCGACGTGTTCTCAACCTCCTGAACAGAAACACATTGAAGGCATCACAGAGTTTCACCCAGGAAACTACGTCTTTAATGGTATGCAAGCATATGGCACATTGTCTTTCCTTTAAGTTACAATAATTATGTGGGGATCACAGTGATTCAACTCAAAATGATGAGAGTTGTTACTGTATATATGTTTTCAATGCCAATTATGTGAGAATAAGGTGCTAGCTCCATAGTGTTTTCAGTATTTCGTCTATGCTTAAAATTACAATCCATTAACTGTTTAGATGTGTCTCAAGTCAATATCGGATCATGCAAAGAGACTGACATTGCTGGAAAGGTGTTGACAAGAGTTATCTCCCATTATCCAGACACTGGGCATATGTTGATTGACTGTGGGTGGCTGGCATTAACTTTGGATAGTCTTGGTAAACTGCCCACAGGATATTGTGTCTTTGAGGGAGAACCTAACCTTAAGTAAGTAAAAAGAAAGTAATTTAAAATTGACTCTATCTGCTGTGTATATCACTAGAAGACCAGTAACCATTGCAGATATATTTGATGGGACTGTATTACTATGGTGCACAAACTGGGAAATTTCTGTGCCAATTTTAGATTTTGCATGCATGTCATAAGAAAACAATTATCATAGGTCTTTCTACTGTATGTTTGACCATCCATCGCTTTTGGAAAAATTGACTATGGATATAAATAGTTGCAGTACGTGGAGTTAGGGTTGAGAAAATAGAGTGTAGTGTGTGGTTGAAAATATGTACCTTAAAATGCCAATATTTAGAGTATAATAGTACAAAATTATTTTTCAGGCTGCTAACAATGACACAAGAACTTGGTAAAGTTGTTGCTCTTGATGGTAAACTTGATTTTTCGAAGTATCCAATTGGTTCTACTCTAAAGATCCTGCCTAACCATGTATGTGAGTTGTATACATGAAATATAACAGCATATTATGTATGCATTAATTCATAGACTGTCCTTAAACTGCTCATTAAATAAACTGCTTATAGCAATGCTTATATAAACTTTATCTTGATCCCTTTTGTGATTCATGCAGTAAATGTAGTAATCTGAACTTTGTCACATTGTCCTTTGAATTTTACATGGGGATTGACCATATTAAACTTTTTTTTTCATAAGGCATGTGCAACTGCAGCAATGCATCCTGTGTATTATGTCCATGATGGTGAGAGAGTGACAGATGAATGGAGACCAGTCAGAGGATGGTAGTTGCATCAAGTGGATTTTCAAGAAATATTTCAGGCATGTTGATTAATTTCAATTTGGTTTAATATTGATTCATGGGGGTTAAATAAGACAGCTGAAGCCTGAAAGTACCAATTACTTTTTAACAAAAAGTAATTATGGTGACTGTTTCCTTGAATTGATCCTCACAATGTTGTGAGGACAATTGAAAGGATATAATTTGATTGAAATGAATGCGCAAATCAGCTAATCATAGAAATTACCAATGCGTGCAAATTTTAAAAATCTGGTTTGAGATATGTATAATAGAATTTTGAAATCCAGAGAGGCAAATTCACTCAGAATAACAGATTGCATTTTTATAAATTTACTAAAATATTAATTACACTATATTTTCACCGTTAGCAAACTTAACTTTGTACTCTGCATTTATATGAAATAACTAATTATTGTAATTAAAATCTCTGCTTCAACCCATATAGATCATAAAGTTATGTGAGATATTTCACTACCAGGAACATGATTATACATGTGATTACAATTCCACCAAATACTATCCATTTGTCCTATGAAGGGAAAATTGGGAATTAGTATGCATATTAGGGACTTCTGCTTTGTAACAAACATAAGAATTTTATGTGTTTAATTTTATATTTATAAATTAAGACATACCTGGGTACCTCTCTTGTCAATCAGCCTTATCAATGTATTAGAAAGACCAAGCGTGCTTGCAACATCAAGAATTCTCTTGTGTACTCCTTTTAATGTCACTCTTTGCTCTTTGAGATTTGTGAGAATACTTGATCCGCTTCCCAAGAGATCATCAACCCCTTGTGATGCATTGTGTAGACTGGAGTTGTGTTGTAGAGCATGGTCAATCATTATAGATGTATCTCCATTCTATAAAAGATCATCCCTGGTGATTTGCCTATCGAAAAGTAATTTCTTATCCTACTCTGATGTAGCTGACGATTGATTTTAAGACATGTGTGAAGATGCAAAGGATTGGATTATCTTGCGTAGATCAAAAAGTAGTCTATAATGCAAAAGGTCTCTTGCAACTGAGTAACATACATTTGCTGTAAATTTTCTTTGTAATAATTCCTCTCTTTCCTGGTCTTCCCTTCTCTAAGAAAAACATTAATAGAATAAATAAATAAACTAGAATAGAACTATAATCCCAATGTCTCCTGGCCTCTTACCTGTAACATTTGTTTCTGTCTGTAGTTTCTTAACGCAGCCCCCAAATGGCGCTGGTCATAAATGAGTTGGTCAACCTTCCTAGGAAACACAGTTTACCAGGTGTTCATTGGTGACGGTTTATTGCTACATGTATACTAATGCGTCAGTATAATGTGCAACATTGAACTGTTGTTAGAGTCAATGGATATTTGTGATTTATGATTGCCATGGCATAGAACATTTGTAGAAAAAAAAAATAAATAACTTAGTAAATTTAATCTAAGAACTAAGAGCTTTTTACACTGCTTTCCTGCACAATACTTACAATTTAGAATTTTGCCTTTTGTGTGTTGGTTCTTTATTTGCTAAAATGCTCAATCTCTCGCAGTTGGATGCAATGGTTTGTAAATTTGATTCAATGCGGTTTTCAAGATCTAAATAAGGTATATACGTAGACCTATAATGGCAAACATCTTTTTTTTTCCAAATGCATTCACAAACAATAGATATTAGTTGCATCTACTGACAGACCTAGGTATTGCTTTAATGTAGTTCATTCAGCACATGGGGAAGTAAGATGTCTTAAAACTGGGTATCATTAATATGAACTGTAAAAAACAAACCATTGGCATCCTCGCCCCTGCTTGTAGCCAATTTGTTGAGAAGCCCCTGGATTTCCAATGTTAATCTAAATATAGCAAAGAAGTCTTGGGACGTGTGAGCAACTATTAAGTTAATGCTATCGTGTCCAAGTACAGTAATACGGTGATGCCATTTATTAAGTAGGAAACACATTTAAGTTGCGCAAAAGCTGATATTGATTTTGTAAATTAGATTTTAGTATTGCATCTCCAGGTTATTATTGGTAAGATCAATGATTTTTCATCTCCTTAATTAATATCTGTAACATGTTTTTAATAAGCAAACATTGAATATTCAAGTATGTTAGAGCTTTTTATATTCAGCACTTCCGCGCCTAGGCTAACGATCAAATCTAATTTGTAAACATATTGGATAGGTTGTCTTTATCCAGACCCTGTATTTCTTTACAGAAAACATGAATACAAACACCCACGCACACTTAAAAATAGATTATACATTTGTAAAGAAATATTATGCGAAGGAAGTTTTATAGATTCGAGTCACTCGACAGACGACAATAACTTCTATTTGAACAATAAGTCTTTAAGGTAGCCATCCTACTTGTTAGTTTGTTTGTACAGTGTCTCCATTTCTGCCATCTTCGATGGTGTTTGTGCTTCTTGTTAAAAGGAATTACGACATATCACTTGGAAATTAAAACTCTTCACTCCTTTTCGCCGCCATATTGTATTCATACACGTCGTCACCATCAATATTCGAAATAAAGAGATACTCCACGTTGACATTTATCGGGAATTGTCGGAATAAACGTGCTGCACGCAAAATTCGGAAACGACAACACGAACACGTATAAGTGATTCAGTGTATCACACAAATAAATCAGATCTAGAAAGTGCATCTGTTATATTTTATTTTAAAAGTAAAGTTATTTGAAAACATCTTAATTCCAATGAAAGTACATTTAAAATTAAAATATTTTATGAATATATACAAAAATGTGTCAGAAATTATTCACTGTACCACAGTGTGGCACCATTACAATGTGGACTAAAAATGTCTGTACAAAAATACTCTGTGAAAATCATATATAGAAATATTACTTTGTACACTACATATAATAACATTTGTTTTGATGCTGATCCATGTTGACCTTGCGAAAAATAACAAAAAGAACTGACATTGGATTGTGGCATGTATTGTTATTTATGAAAGAAAATATTTTTTCATCCAAAGTCACAACTAAAATTTCAACATGTCAGTTCTTCATGTATTTTTCGTGGTTTGTGGTTCAATTTCTCAGTGTTGAAATACAGTGTCATTTCAAAAAATTTGATGTGTACACAAGTACAAAAATATAAGTTTTATATAGAAATGATTACACCTATTAAAACTGTAAAATTTTGGTCTATATGAATTGATACCACTGCTGCACTTTATGCTTCACTTTCTTTGGTTTTGAATAGGGTGATTTTGTTAAAATAGTTCAAAGCAATAACCAATTGATTCACGAATACCAGATTCATGGATCGACTCATAGATCCATGCCAGATAATTTGCAAGATATTTGCAGCTGTAGTATTTCGAGTGTGTTGGTTCATCAATTATATCACCTACGATCCATTTAAATAATATTGCCCCGTGTTATATGGTGAGTTATGATTAAGATATTTCAGTTGTTCTCGAACATCATCAACATTACTTATAGTTTCAAGGACCGGTACTAGCTCCAGTAATTCGGTATCATTATAGTCATCAAACCAAGATACAACAGGAATCTAGAGAAAAATATTTCAAATTGAAATGAGAACATTTAACTGACATGCTTTCGGCACAAGCAGAAGTACAAGTTTATTTGTATCTACAACAATTAGGTTCATTTCAGCAAACATAACTAGATAACTACATGTATTAATACTTACAGCATTTTCAGGATGAAAACTATACGATGCAGGCGAGTTGTCAATAATGACAACATTGTTTAGATCTCTTCCCAGTTTGCTAAGATCCTAAAATACAAAAGGTTGTATTGATAATCTATACTTATCTTTCGTATAAGTTTAGAATTTGTGGTTGCATGTTATATGCAAAACTCAATGTAGTGTGTATGATTATTGCATGTAGAAAACATATTTGGCAAACCTTGACATAATTTCCACGGTGAAATACACAGGAATCTCGAAATAGCCTACATACAAATGTCCCATGTTTATCCAAAAGATCAGCAACAGGGTCTGCATACTGGAAGAGAGGAATACTTTTTTTTCAGAATAATGCGTGACTGGTGGGATAATATTGTATTACCAAATACTGTATAGTGCCCATTGTTTCAAACATGCATTTACCTTTGCTAAGCTTGCTGTGAATAAAATACATTCAAACATTTCTCCTATCTTCCTTAAAAATTCATCTACATGTGGCCTTTTTAAAACGTAAACCTGCAAAGAAAGAGACATGATGAAACTTGCTTGGAATGAACAAAATGCAATCATAAACTTTAACATTATAGTCAGTGCATACAAACCTGATGGACTGTGCCATCTATTTCTACAGGAACGATAAAATCTGCATTGCTGACAGGCTAAAATAAATGAAAACAATTTAGACCTCATGCACAGCATATATCATTTGCCTGGCCACTTAAAGGGTGATAATTGTAAGTGGTACAAGAGCTTTGAGAAAATAATAGTTTGCTAAACACATTAGCTTGCAATTCCCCCAGGCAATTTTGTTAGCCAGGGTCAGTTGAATGGAAATTTTTCAGGATTTTTAAAGCCAAATGACTCAACATTAAGATGGTCATTGCTCAAGAATCAGCCAAAATGTGCATGCCAAAGATTTAGTATCAAAATACCTTGAATGAGCTGTGTACAAGCGTTTCATCCAAATCAACAACAACGCATTTCTTGTGTATATGGTCTTCTCTTGGACTAGGCAAGAGGTGGTTTCCCTAGGAAATCCATGTAAATACATCACTGTATTTGTATATCCTATTTTCTGACTTGTATTGGCTGTACGAAGTTCTGACAATTGAGCTATGCACAAAGCCACAAACATCTTCGTAGCAACTTACAAGTAGGATAGCAGACAATCATAAAGCCTGTTTATAGCATTAAAATGTTTGTATGAGTTTGATAAATTATTATCAGGGAAAGCTTTACAATTGCTGGCACAAATAATATGGGTAGCTGTAAAGGTTTAGGTTTTGTCTGTACTGTGACAAAAATCTAAATCAGGACTCTAAGCAGGAATCAATTCATGTGATGGGGAATGTTTAATCGTTTTTACTTTTGTGCCAAACTTTCTTTTTGAACAAAGCCAAACTTTGTTAGGTAACAATCCTGTGCATCAATGAAATGCAATGTAAACTGTAATTCACATGTGTTTATATTATCCTAAAGGACTTCAAAAACTGTAGCCATATTCAATGCTTATTTCAGCCAAGCACACACTTCTTTGTGTGTGAATGGAAATATTAAAATATTTTTGGTATTTTTTATAATTGCAACATGTCTAAAATCATTCTAAGCTGGAATAGGTTGTGGGAGCACGTGTCTCAAAATCTTAATTATATTTTGGTATGCAATTTGCACAATCTTCCCGAATGATTTCTTTCCGAATTGCTAGCGCTTGCCAGCCCATACAGGGTAATATTGAAAAATTTTTCCAGCTAAATATCTTCGTAAAAACCACGACAATCGTTTCTTGAAAGAACACATAGGCACTTTATAGCATATACCTTCCAAAATCATTAATCAAATCAAAATTGAAATAATTTTATTTCATTTTATGTAAGAACATAACGCAGTGCCTCAGTTTGTATTGATAGGAGAATAGCCATATTTTGTTATAATTTGCTAGTACTTGTGAAGATTATGACAGGATTTTAGAATATAGATGGCAATTGTAAACAATTTTCGAAAGAGGAGGTTTGTTACGCTCTATAAAGATTTCAAACCGCGCTATAAATGCATTCCAAAGACAGAGGCAACAAATATTATTTAGATATCAATGTTGTTCCAGACGGTGGATAAATTCACATTTAAAATCTCTTTTAATATATATATTAACGAGGGATCGTTTCTGCACAATTCCAAACACAGAACTTTTATTTATGCGAGCAAGCGATGGGGTAAATTTAGGCCCGATTTTGAAATATCGTCTTAGAATGTTAACAATGCCGTAAAGACTTTAATCGCTTCCATTAGAAAGAAAACAGCCACTCAGAATAGGGTTGGTATTTATAATAAAAATCTGATATTTTACACCGTGTTCTCATCGCTGCCGCCTAGTAATCGAACTAAGATTTACGACCCAGAACAATCAATTCTATTTTCGTTTAAATTAATCGAACAGTTTCAATAGTTCGAGAGTGCATATGTTATGAAATTGACAACTCCGAATATTTCAATCAAAATTCCTTGTCCAGATTGATTGAATTCGCGCGATTTATTATGGTTTTAATTCAACAATAGTAATCCAAGACTATTTACTGTAGCCTAAGGATTATTTCGGAACTATGTTGCTTCAGGGGTAGCAACAAATTGTCTTATTCTTGACAATTTTTTTCGTGAGAAAGGCGCCTCGGTTGCATACACACACAGGCCGCACACTTGGCGCGAACCATAATATACAATACTTGATCGCATCGTTTCAGCGTTTTTCCAGCAGGTCATGCAAAAGCTTGTGGCCTCGGGTACAAAATTAAATGAACAAGACACTGTAAACATGCACCTGGTAATATAAATCATTAAATTCGAGCCGAGATGTAAATTGTAAAATATATACCGAAGTAATTTTGGCATCTCACCTTGTTTTCTTTCTCTTCGGGTATTGGCATTGCGGGCTGGCTCTCATGGTTTGCGAGCGCAGAGCCGTTGCTTTTTACATCCTGGTTGAAGTTGTGGCTTCTGCTGCCGAAGCAGCAAAAAAGCGAGGAGATGAAACCACGGCGACGTCTTTTCTTTGTACTAGACTTCCGCGACACTTGAGAAACGAGAATTATAAATCAGTACACGCACTGTGCGTAGAAGAGATAAATGCCAACATATCAGACAGGGAAAGATAGACATTTACGCGCATGATATATAGTCTGAAACCTGGCGAATTATACGATATATGAACAGGATATCACAGTATATAAACACCGATAGATACGCTTTTATTAATCAGTGACATTTTCAACTTGATCTTTGTGTATATATGTGAACGCCGACTATCAACAAAACAATATAAAATTCAAATTCTCATCAGAGAATCGCTACATTTGCCAAGTTTATTCCCATGGGTATTTGAATACATCCAATCGCAGGTTTTCTATGATTTAGTTTAAGCTTACCTTCAACGTGGTCAGTTCGATGCGTATTTATATTTAATGACTCGTCGTCCCGACTGACTTGAGTAATAATAGAAGTGCTGTCCATTCCACAGCAAACGCGAAATTTCGATCGTATGTTATCCCCTCATGTGGCTAAAGACATAGATTGTCTACTTCAGATTCGATGTAACTCGGAATCGGTTAATTTGTTGCAGATTTTTGCGCTTTTCTACGCCGGATTGCCGCCAATAAGAGTGCTTTTACGTCCGAACGTAGGGGACATGGTAGCAAGCGAGAAGAATGCTTTGATTGACAGTTTGTTTGTGTTGCCCGCCCTCTCATTGGTCCAGCGAGATTGACCAGATTTCGAACAATCGCAGTGCAGTTCACCTTCGAAAACACTCCCCCAGCCAGCAAATTTTGCCAAACATAACGTTCTAGTCACAAACCTTCATGGTATTGCTAAATTCCCTAATCTGGCAAGTTTACCTTTTAATCGCAAAATTCTAAGGTTATACGATTATTCTATCCTGTAATTATCCACTTGTTTGCAAAACATTGGGGGAAATTAGAACATCTGAAAAGTTCGAAATTCTAACCCACCTTTGCAAAAAGATCCCTAGTTTTCTGACACGAGGTTTGTAGACGTTCTGAAAATCTGAAGAAACTGCGATTTCAGCAAACGTTTATCAATATTGACTTTGGCGAATGTTTCTTGATCTTCACTGAAGATGTCTCAGTCGAAAGAGACTGACTTTTCCTCCGGATTAAATCTGTTTATTTTAACTTTGCTTGTACGGCTTTTCTTTAGGCTTTGTGCTGTTCTGCCTGGACATAATTTTCTTTTAAAGATTATGATTCCCGTCGGTGATAAATAAATCCCTCAAAGCCGGCACGATATAATATTACTGCAAACGTCTGAGATTTCTAATATAACCGTCAATATAATATAAGTAGATAGAAGCGATGCATTGTTTCTGAAACATTTATATATACGAAACCTTGAAAACAATTTTAGGAATACTTCAGCGGTCATTTAATTGGTCTTAGGTCGCATTTTTCCGAGAAAGCAGATATAAATGTTTGGGTTTCATACTTTTTATAAAATATTGGCCTGAAGATTGCTTCCTATTTCTCTTTCGATGGCAAAGCTTTTTCCCGCTAAGTAAACGTATATTTCAGTGCTATATTCTTATATTCCCATTTCGTAATTTTTCTAACGGTTGCAGTATTTGTATGGTCATAGAGAGACGATAATCACAGTTTCGCTTGACGAGGGATCTCGCGGTACTCTGTCGGAGATCAGACCTAGAAGTTATGAGGTCTAACTTTCCGGATGGCTTTAAAAGCGCAAATACTATATAAATGTAGTATTTTGAGCTTTTTTGTCTGTTTGGATTATCACTATGACCATGGATAGTTAAAAGACTTTATTATCCATGATATGATTATCCATGATCCGTGATTTTATTATCCAATGCTATGACATCACCATTACGTGCCATGACGAAGCCCACCGGAGGAGCCATTTGATGACAATCATAGATGAAGTACTTGCGCCGCTCGTTCTATTTCTTCATCAGTGACGTCATTTGTTACAAGTTATTGTCACGTGACCGTTCTTATGCAGCAAAAAACCAAAAATACTGAACGAAGTGTTTTGAAGTAAATTTTTAGGTTTTAGTTTAAACTTTACACTTAAACATGGCTTTGGATTTTTTATTTGGCAAGAGGAAGACACCCGAGGAAATGTTAAAACAGAACCAACGGGCTCTTAACCGTGCTATGAGGTAGATTTGTCTAATTCTTTGTAAACACAACTTTTGAGTTTTGAATATCTAGTTCTCTACGTATATTTTTAATAATTTTTGGCGTTTGAAATGTTCTTCTGCGATATATAGCCATGTTTTGTTTTTTCATGCAGGGATTTGGATAGGGAAAGATCGAAACTAGAGGCTCAGGAAAAAAAGATTATTGCGGATATAAAAAAGATGGCCAAACAAGGACAAATGGTAGTTTATTTATTTATTTATTTTATACTTTTAATATTGGATATTAATCATATTATGTCTTTTATAGATGGTTTTTAGTTTTGGTGTGGGTTTGAATATAAAAATTTTAATAGATTTTACATAATGAAATTTGTTAAGTTAAGTAAACTAGAAAATGCTGTCAAAATTGCATGAAAGGAATGCAAATCATGGGTGGTCCTTTTCATAAACACTATTTATAAAGGGGTGTATTGTAGATTTCCTAATACAGTAAACTATTGGGGCATACATGTGTAAAAGCTACAGGTACTGTAGAAATGTACTGTAGAAATCACTGTGTCCCTTCATCATATCCATTCTCAAACTGGCCTGTATGTAATAATTAACTTTACATCACTTAATTACCTCATTGATTAAGTAATTATAGATTCTCACTTATCCAATTACCATCCCTAAAGTACATGATCTAAAAGGTCTCACATAAGCCAGTTACCTTAGCAGGTATTATATTTGTTTTATGGAAAATCAGCTGAAAAGCTTCTTGTCAATATCACTGCAGAGCTTCATTTGACCATTATCACTCTTAAATATACATTTTATTACATATTTATATTATATATATTATGTTACGATATATGAGATTATGTATAAGTAGGTTATTTGAATGATTATTATTAATTAGGTTTTTATTAATATTGTTAACTTAACCTTAACTATTTTTCTAGGATGCTGTAAAAATAATGGCAAAAGACCTGGTTAGAACAAGAAAATATGTTAAAAAATTCATGTTAATGAGAACAAATATACAAGCAGTTTCACTAAGGATACAGGTAATGCATGAATCATTCTGCAAATGTTATAATCAATAATCAGATGTTATTGACTATGCATCTTAATCAAAATTTCACATGATAAACCAGAGTATTTTCTTTTAAGACACTACGTTCGTCTAATCAAATGGCTCAGGCAATGAAAGGAGTAGCAAAGGTTCGTAATCAAACTTTATTAATTTTTGAAGTATTAACCAATACATTGTTGGATGTTGTCAATCTTTATAATGTATTAAAGTTGCTGGTATGCTAGCTTAATTTATTATTTCTCTAACAGGCCATGGGCACAATGAATAAGCAGTTAAAATTGCCACAAATACAAAAGATTATGATGGACTTTGAAAGACAGGTTTGACTTAAGACTTTTATGTTTCTGTTTCTGTTTCAATACAACACAGACAATCCTGATTCTTAGCTCATTTACATTAATATTGCATTTCTTCAGATTTCATATTTTCATGTAAATTCATCATGTGCAAGAAATATTTGCTAATGTTTGAATATTTTAAAGCAATTTGATCATGTATCAAATCATTGAGGTATTCTTTGATGATATATAAATTTGACTATTTACCTCTTGAATATCATAGTCTGAAATTATGGACATGAAAGAAGAGATGATGAACGATGCACTTGATGATGCTCTTGGAGATGAAGATGATGAAGAAGAGAGGTATTGTATATGTGCTGCTTTTAAATTGATGTGGTATTTAATTAAACCTGGGAGCAGCGTGGCAGCGTCTTCAAACAACTGAATAATACTCAGTCTGAAAAATACCATTATGGGAAAACATTGCTAGTTTGACCAGTTAATGTGCCTCCAGTTCCTACTCAATTATTGCAATGACAAGAGTTGCAAGAGTCTTGACAAAATATTCCTTGTTTACAGCGATGCAATTGTCACTCAAGTTTTGGATGAGCTTGGTCTACAGTTAAATGAAGAGGTAAATATTTGGATTGTTATATATTTAAATGACAAAAAAAAATTAAAATGTATTGTTTTTCTTTGTCAATCTAGTTGACAGGATTACCTCAAACCGGACCTAACCTGGCAACAACCAGTAAAGCCAAGGAACCAGTTGCAGCTGATGCAGATGCAGACTTACAAGCAAGGTGTGATATGATATATTAATAATTCAGTTCCAAGATATATGTCTATTGATCTACATGCATGTATACGGAAGAGATTCTAACAGGCAAACCAGACCCCTTGACTGAATAAAATCTCTCACCCAAAACTAAACTTTATGTAGCTAAAGTTTGTGTTAATGTTTACATGTGTGAGATTATATGCCATACATGAGGGAAAAAACTATTACCTGACAAAACCTAACAAGAGGGCAAGGCAAGCCATATTGAATGAGCAATATTACCCAGGCTATTACACATCGGAAAATTTGTGGGCAATGATAGCATCAGGACATGGTGAAACTGACAGCATACACTCCTGTCATAACATTGTGCTCTCTTGCATTATAGGCTTGAAAACCTTCGTCGAGAGTAAGCCATTATCCCCACTAACTCAAAAAGAAATATCAACACCATGTATTATACAGTAAGATTTGGTCAGGATGTGATAAAAATCACCCTGACAAAATTATGTATATTGTATATAGTTCTTTGATGAATTATCTCAGTTGTTCAATTTTATATTAAAGGCCACAGAAATCTTGATAACTTTTCAATTTTTAATGCATTGGATTGAGACAATGAATTTATTAGGTTAGAAAATCATGAAACATAATAAGTAAACATAAATGAACTATAACTACATTAGAACTATTAACAATAAATGTATTTACAACATCAATTAACAACAACTCCCCCCCCCCTTTCTTTCAAATAACTAAATATGATTTTTTAATCCTTTTGTAACAAGATGTTTCTGTTCTGCTTAAATATTAATGTCAATATTTTGTTCAAATAATGCAACATGAATGCTCTAAACTCTTATTAAGTAGCAATATTATGCTAGCTATTAGTTGTGGTGGTAATGCCGGTTGGAATCTGACTTTCTGATGTATTCTTTGGTCGTTTTTATGTTGCATATCTTTTGGTCCATTCCTTAGCTACTCTGTCATGTTCTGCTCTGTTAGTTTGGTATTGTGTTGCAATGCTTCCCACTAATGGATCATCTAAAATGAAAAAAGTATATCGATAGATTTTTGATAGATTTGTCTATATTGTTTGAAACACAGTGAGTAAATGCATCAATCACTCCATTATTCCATGAGATCATGAAGATCACACATATCAATCCATATTGTCTTAAAAGGTCAGTCAATATATGCATCCATCCTCTATTTTAAGATCAGTTGACTGCGCATCTCACTCCACATTGCTTTCAAGATCAGTGATACCTACCAGGATTGCAGTCAGTCAATAAGGAACATATTGAAAGTAGTACTTTTGAGATTGTCAATGCTGGACTCCAACTATCTTTGAAAATATCCAAACATATTTGACCCTAAAAAAACAATATATTTAAGTCCCTTATCAATGGTATTTAATTAATAAGCAGATAGAATGACTGAATGCTCTCTTCTGGTTCAGCAAAGTATTAATTTACCAGGATAAATTGCCAGTACCACTTACCTGACTGTTGATATTACAGTGATAAATTCTTGTGCGAAATGTCACCTGAAAATTATTGAAAGTAACAGTGAACTCACACATATATACAGCATTGAAATAAAGAATTCATTTATAAATTTAAATTAATTCATCCAATTTTATTTTAGAAATAATAAATTCTATGATGCATGACTAAACAGGTTTCAGACAATTTGACCTTTACCAAGTGCATAATCATTTATCATTCACTTACGAAAATCCGGTCGCTGTGGAGCGTAATTTTTTTGTTATTTTTTTAACGCTAAGAAGTTGAAATTTAAATTCAAGCAGAGATTTTTGCGCAGCAAACACAGACGTAATTCAGTAGTCGTTTTCTTTCGCAGCCGTTTTTTTTAATCCACAGTCGACTGGTTTAGTGAAGGAGATGACAAACATTAATTCACTCAGCACAGCACGAGGTTAACCTCTGTCCACAGGAGGTCAACATACCGCGGTTAAAAAACACAACTTTTAACTGAACACTTTAATGAATAATTTTATTTCTATTCATGGCATAGAGTCGCTTCGCTATTTACATCCGCTCTCAGACTGGTGAACATTATAGAAACGAGACAAAGTTAATATTCATGTCAATGTATAACCAAATAATAGTTGATGAGGGGTCAATATCACTCAACAACATGTGAAAAGTAGACAAAAATATTTCACTGGCCTTATTTCGCGCACATTTTGAACCATTTTTCGCTTATTACCAGAGACAAAAGCATCCATTATCGCTCAAATCTGCACGACAGCAAGTGAGCGTAATTGAAATTTTATATACTGGGCAAGAACAAAAGTCCTTTATATTGAAAACTAAAAACTTATGATATAAATAATCATCCTAAAACTACTCTCAGTCATATTGAATGGGGAGATATAAACAAAATCAACAGAGATTATAAAATCATTGATTGTAATTAGTTTAAGAACTAACTGCATGGTAAACGGAAGGTGTTGCGTATTACATAGTCATTTCTTGATTATGATTTGTATTTGGTGTGGATATCTAGATAAGAACCGATGACCCTTTATGTGTCTGTGGTATTCTAGGCTTTATATGCCTTATTTGTATGGCCAACTTTGTCCAATACGCTAACGAGCGCAATCTAATTGTCACAAAATGCGTCAATATCTGCACCGACTGCACGTGTCAGTGTAAGTATGCAGACAACATCTTTCAAGAAATTTCCACACTTTTCTTAATCTTTATGAAGTATTTCGATCGTCTTAGGATATGCGCTCATCCTGCAGTCTCAAGTCTTGACTGTTTTTGTCGGACCAGAACATGAGAGTTCATGGAACTCTCACTTAGTCACTTGCCAATTTGAAGAATTCACGTTTGCCTTGGAATATAGACTGGTTCTGCTGAACGCAATTCCACACCTTCTGTGATTATATAATCACCAACTTTTCTACTTAAAATTGTCATTTATCATTCACATTAAATGCCGGGTTTGACAGGCTTTACTGTATTATAGTTCACGGGATTAGTTGAGATTCCGAGAGCCATACCGTGAACAATCCAGAAAACAGGGACTTGAAACGCAAGCTAAAACGCGTATGTGTCATCTGCCACACAGGTGTAGAAGATAGCACACGTGTGTCTTGTGGTTATCTATGTATATCGCCATGCATCATATAGGCTACCAAAATCAATTCCTACCTTCGGTGGTTTGTATGGATAATCTGGAGGAAAGTGAATATCCAGAAAGAATACTCCTCTTTCATACACCGACCCAGGAGGACCCATGATTGTCGATACCCATTCGTAAATATTGTCGCCTTTTGGAGCAGCGCTGAAGAAGAAACAAAAGCTGATGTTGAGCGTTTGCTTGATTTTACATGGCCTTACAGTAATTCCATTTTGAGCACAGTTAAAACACTCTACGAAATAACCAACTGCTGCTAATACCCGTCAGTCTGTTGCTTCAAAATCTCATTGTCATTCGGCTGTCGTTTATCGGACGAAATCAACCTGCCAATACTTTATCATTTGAGAAGAAAAGCATTGATCAAGAGTGCGCGTTCTTGAAAGACGTCCCCTTTAGTTCGGACACTGATGAAATATGTCAGAACAAGAGTGAAGAAATCAACACTTACGCTCGGACAATGGGAAAAGCTCATCCCAGATAACAAATAGCAGCTAGGTTAGGGAAATACAGCCTATATACTATTCTATAACCTATGCACTTCTCGTTGTGGATGAACAATGAGTTTATATAGCATTCTGGCATCCTTGATTTCCTATTGATAGCTTCCTCAATGAACTTATATCCAGAGGACTCTCGTGAAAACTCTTTTGACAGGAGAGTCGACAAAGGTGCAGTTTTAGTTCTTTGACTTTGCAGGTCACTGCATGATGAGAGGCATTTTCTCTCAAGATGTAGGTTTGTTCACATCCATTGAATCCTAGTTGTCATCATGGTAGCGCGCATAAACTTGTGACATTTCTTGCGTGATCTATTCTTCCTAAGTTCAGTGCCCGACACGTTGTGTTTGAGAGGTTATAGGCAAGGAATTTGCCGCTAAGGTTCAAAATTTCACGCCAACTTGCGTTGGTTACTCTATTCTGACGCGCTAATATTTATTGCGGTTTAGATTTTAATTATCACTTTCAAATAAACCTGAAATCTGAAGAAATTACGGGCACATCGCTGTCAGACTTCGGCTGAAGAACTGTCTAATTATTCGCAGATAAAATTCCACTTTTTGAATAAAACGATACTTCTACGGGAAGCAAAATATTGTTCATTTAATAGTGCCACATAAAAACATGCATCTTTTAATCAGATAAGCACGTGGATTAATTCGAAATATTAGTCAATATATTTGAAGTTATATACTTCAAAGATTATGTCGTTGTTCGTCATAAATATCTGGGTATCTTTGCTTAATGTTTCTGCTTTTAACTCATTCATACATTTACGCGAATGTGAGGGGTTGTTTGGATAAATTATCATCTCTCAGTAAGCGGACGTCTGTCGCTGTCAGCTTTCATTGTTCCGGGTCTTAAAATGTGAAATGATTTTAAGTACTTTACTTTTCTTTCCATAGTCAAAATATTCCTACCTGCAGTTAGGCGGTGGATCTAGCGTTATATCGGCCAATTCCCTTTGAATTCTAAAGCGAGAAAGGCATACAGAATGCTAAAAACACAGTGACTACATGATCACTAATATAAAGAACCAAGTAAACTGTTTAAATTCAATAAACGTGTCATATGCCGAGTCTCGTTCAAAGACAATGGCGACATTTGGACGGTCCAACTACACTCTCGCTTTTCTCCCGTCTCCTCGGGCCAAATATCATCAAAATACAGTCAATTGAAAGAGAAATGAGAGCTCTAAACAGCTGTCATATTTGCAAAATCTTTCTATTGACGATATCGCAGTACGAAGAGTTTGAAGTTAAGATGCAAATGAAGCCATACGAGGGCGTCATTCTTACTGACTGGGAGGGCTTGCATGTGTAATAAAGTGTTGAGAATCAGCTCTGCTTGTATAAGACAAACACTGCGATACTCATCAAAAACCCGCTGATGTTATTGGAAATGAAGTAAAGCTTTAATGAAGCTTTACTTCAAACAAACCCTCCCTTCAGATACCTTTTAGCAGCAGTTGAACGTGTCTTGGGTGCTCTTGAGGCACTTGATTTCGATTCCTTCTTTATAGCAACAGCTGCTCTTGGCCCTGTACTGCTGCTGGCTTGTTCCTCATTCGATTCCTGATTACTCCTTGAAGGACCCTGGCCATCCAACATTTTCCTTACTTAATTTAATATATAGAAATGTGGATCAGAGGATTTCTTTAAGAGGTCAAGCAGTCCTTTGGTTTTGTCTTGTCTTGGTCAGACACTTTATCCCCTCTCGTTGATTGAAGCTAGAAAACTTTCTACAATCTGAGCTGAATCAACTGTCCCTATTCCTGAGTACCTTTCTTCAGCAACTCACCAACTCTTCTTTTGAGGAACAGTTATTTAATGGACTTGGTTTGGTCCCTTGAATTAATACCTCACTTTTATTAATGAAGGTAGAAGTGAACAGACATAAAGATATCAGACCTTTAGATCAAACCGAAAATAACGAATCCTGTGGGTTTGAATAGCTGCCAATTGTAATGAGTTCCCGGGAAGATTTGAAGAGACGAAACTACGGTGTGCTAATATTCGTTCTTGTGTGTATTACTTCGCTTACTAATTGTGAGTTTGTCACTGACCGCGAGCCCAATCTCCCAGCAGCGACGTGAATTTCTGTCAATTCACTATGTCATCAAGCAATGGACCAATTACCTAAATAATGACATGCATGCCCGAGATATGAACACTATTATATACTCATATTATGATATATCGTGTTCTTGCCCATCTCGCTGACCAATCCTGTGGGGCGATAGACAAATATTGAATTAATTTCTGAGATACGAGTGTCACTTTACACTTTAAATTACTTGAATGTGTTCCATCTCGTAACGACGACGGTTCAGGTTTGCAAAGAAAAGTTTCATTGCACTTTGTAATCCTTTCTAATCATGCTTCATCTGCAAACTTACTAATATTTCATGCTAACATCAATCTTTCTTGGAATATTTTTGTATTGAACATACAGTGCACAAATATATCACAAAGTTGGCGTAATTCAAAGAAAACACTACGTGTTTCAGTATTTAATTTATCGTGTTTAATTTTACCTCAATTAGCACGATCTTTAGTATAATTCTAAAATTTAATAAATAAAGAAAGAAAAAGTTTGTCCTGATTCTAAACCATTTAAATCTGTTTTTAATTAATTCTTAGAATATTACTATGAATGATGTTTGATAAACGACTTGCATTTTTTTTACCTGAAATCTGTTGGCACTCTTTTAGATTAGTAGTTCTAAATGCACGCAAAATCTAAAAGAACGGAGAGCCAGGGCCCAGGAGACCGAGAAACGTTTTTACACACGCTAAAGTCCGAGAGAAAACAAAATGCCAAATAAACAAATAAACAAATTCTCTGGTGTCAACAACCAGCCACCAATCCCCGGACGAGCAGACATGCGTTGATTGCGTTCATAAACAGACAAAACACCCGCGTGTTTGTCGCGTGCTGTAATTAGAGCTCGTGAATACCCGGAGGCTTTTCGGATGGTATTCGTTAATTAAATCCCTTTGTACACGTTTTCGAGATAAACAAAAATAATCCAGTTCAGTTGTAATATAAAATCAAGACATTTTTAAATAAAATAGTATTTGCTTATTTTATAATAGCTGTTGCTGTTGAAAAAGAGATAATTTGTAGATTTTTATGCGTTGAATTGGGCCGTGTAGTGCTCGCAAAACAAAAAATAAAGAAAGAGAGTGTAGCTATTAAACAATGGTTTCTTTGTAAAGGACCATGAATATGAAAATGTCTGTGGTCATTGACATGATCAAAGGGATATAAAAGCTGGCTTTGTTCCCATAGTAATGTGTCACTTAGCTGAACTATTCGAATAGAAATTACATGGTAAATCAGTATTTTACATAATGGAACGGAAAGAGCAAAACGTGAAACCATAAAGACGTAAACTTCGATTAAATATAATATTTTATTGGATACAGCTTATTTTAAACTATGAATGCGATTGGTGTATGTTATCTCTGCTTTCCCTTTGTTATTTTAAACCTTTCGACAATACTTGGGTTTTACTACGATGAGACTGTATCCTACAACGACTTTGGAGCCGGTGATGGATGTGATTCTGTGCATTGGAAGTTCATAATGCCTGCAACCTGTCCTGCTCTATCGAAATATTTCCCTTCTGGCAAGTTACTATACCAGGTTGTTATAGACGCTGGAAGTACTGGCAGTAGGATTCATATATTTAGATTCAGTCATACATTAAGAGGTTAGTTAGTTCATCGTAAATAATAGGGGTTAATATTGTCGGTGATAATTTTTTTATTGCCAGTGTTTATTGTTATAAATATATATTACAGTAATTGCCAAATTATTTAGACAAATGGTTTGCAAAGTAGTTTGGTGTGATTAAGTAAATGCAGTCTATTTGAAGAATAGATAAAGAACTTTGACCTTTTGGTCTTTCAACTAGAAAGTGATTAGGGTTCTACTATGAAAAATTGAAGTTTGTTTCACAACTTCAGGTGGCTTGTCACATCAGGTTTTACGTACATGTTACAATGTACGCCTTTAAAAAATGTAAAATATTTCTGTGTTGATATACAGTTATATCAACTTAAGTGGAAATTGAAAAACAGAGATATAAAATATAACTCTAGAAATATAGAGTAACTTTTGGATTTGAAGATCGCAGTCAGGCTCCTAGCCAATTCAGTATCCAGAATTTACAAATGCTATATTATAAACATATATGTGAATATGTTAAATATTTGTATGTCAATACTAATGTGTAAACTATTCAACTTGCCTAAAACATTCATAACTTTTAAATAAGCTAGTGCATAATGCAATGCACTTCATATATTCAAAGGCTAATATGTTCTGAGCTTCATTCACATTAATTGTCAGCCTATCATCAAAGGCTCATATTGTTGTGAGAGTAGGCTCAGTGTTCACCCTTGCCTTTTGCATGTTCCCTATTCTCAATCAAAACAGATGCTAAGTATTATCTGGAGCGTTTATGAAATGCATATATGTACATGTTATCTAACACTGCCCACAACATATATATATATGCTGTGGAAATTTAATCAAAAGGTCTTGTCTTTTTTAAAGGAATCAAATTAGAAAATTCAGACTTTGAGGAAATTGAGCCAGGATTGTCCTACTATTCAACTAAGCCCGAGAAGGTGAGTAAAAAAATCCTTTAAAAAATCCTTCTTAGCCATCTCTCTATGGGCCATCATGTTCAATAATTGCATACCTGGTTTTATTAAGGGGGTGTACTCTGTCAGTGGTCTCTTAAGAAAAGCATTAGATGTTGTACCAAAGAATAAATGGAGGTCTACACCTGTCTCTCTGAGGGCTACTGCTGGGCTTCGTCTTCTACCTGATAGTGTGGCACATAATATTATTGAAGAGGTATGTGATCATAATTGACTACCAGTAATTTTTAGGGTCTGATAAGTGTTAATATAAAATATAATAGTAGGACCCGTTTGTCCATTTGTCCCTTTTTTTCTGTTATATAGGTGCGAAAATTATTGATTGTGTCACCATTTAAAAAAAGTGACTCTGATTTCATCTCAATCATGAATGGAGATGATGAAGGTATACTAATTTTTTTTTTCACTGGTTTCACTTCTTTTTTTAAAATCTTCACCTCAACCGCTTGTAATTTTTTTAAGGTATTTTTGCATGGACATCATTAAACTTCCTGACAGGTAGGTAATTGTACATTAATCTGCATATTTATAGTGTGTGCATTCTGATTGTGTGTATACTCTGCTCTGCCAGGTAATCTTGTCAAGTCAGGTGAAACACTGGGTGCTCTGGATCTTGGAGGTGGATCAGCACAGATTGTGTTCAAACCAATGTCAAAGGTGATTTTGATCATTCTGTAGCCAATTTTATGCAGTTACACCCTTAAGTATTTTACTCCTCTTGGAGTATTTTACTGCTCCTAAATCAAGCTTGTTCATTTATCTGTTTAATGCAGTTATTTTCATGTATCAGGTCAGCACTCCTATTTTTCAGCTCTCAGAGTCTCAGTTGCTATAATAACCACTATATATCATAACAATACAGGAGACGATTCTATCAAGTCCAGAGACACATGTGAATACAGTTAAAATATTGGGGACTGAGCATGATTTATACTCCTACAGGTATATATTCATGTTGATCATAAATGAAGGATACTAATCAGGACAATTAAAGGCCGAAAAGAATAATTTGTTTCATTTTTTTGCAATGCTGTATGAATTGTCACCATAACTGTCTTGGCATGTATCCAAATGATATCAAGTTACAAGCACCACAATAATGATTTGATATATTTTCTTTAGTTATCTTGGTTTAGGCCTGATGTCTGCAAGACTAGCTGTGCTGAATTTTACTGTTTCTGCCAATAACAAAAATGGTAAGCCTGTAAAGCTATAGTTTTGTCTTTCCAACCCACAGTATCACACCTCAGTTACATTTCTCATTGCATGTACCAGTATATTATGCAGCACTCCACAATCAAACACTTGATTTTTGGACTGTATTCTTGCAATGAGCGATTCTGCCCAAATGTTTGTCATGAGCATCTCACTCTAGCTAAGGTAGTTGAAACAAATAACTGAAAAATTAAACAGTCTTGTTCTCGACCCTATCTTGGAACATCTTACTATTATTATAGGTAGTATCAGCTCAAGTCCATGTTTATTGCCATCGTACTATGGAACTTGGTCCTTTTCTGGGAATGACTATGTTGTCCAGTAAGTGTAAAACCATACCTCATCGATCTGCCTCACAATGTTTGTTTATCGAAAGTGTGAGAAGGCATATTGGTAATTTTTCAGGGGCAATATGTCATTCAGCTATGAAAACTGCCTACATTACGTTGAGAAGATTGTTACAAATGTTCATCAACCAGGTAATGTACCAAGATATTGGGCTGGAAGATGTGCTGGAAGGTCCCAGACCTTGTATGAAGATATTTGTATATATTTGAAGATACTTGTATTTTTATACCATTCTACATCTTCACTATAATTGTTCTTGATCAATTGAAACACATTGTGGTTGTTTGTTATAGCTGAAATTGTGAAGAGAAAATTTTTTGCATTTTCATATTTTTATGACATTGCAGTATCTCTTGGCCTAGTAGGTATGTCCTTGATCACAGTATCATTTTTTCTTTTGCAAATTGAAAGGATTATCAATAAACAATCACTTGATTTTTTACTATGTTGGTTCCCAAATTAGCCCTGTATTCATGTTATTGCAAATTTTAAATTTTTCGAGCACCAAGCCATAATTCATCTGATTTTCTAGATGAGGCTAATGGTGGATTACTTTCACTTGAAAGATATATACAAGCTGCTAAGAAAGGTTCGGTCTAAACTTAACAAGTTCTGAGTTGATTTATTAAATTCAACCTCCTTTTTGAAATAATCACTCTCTAATAAACTTATCTCTAAGGTGCCATACCTTACAACACTACTCTCTAATAAACCCCTCTAATAGCCTCTCTCTAATGATCCACTTTGTAATAAACATTTTTTAATCCAATTTATGCAATAAGGTTGATATGATAACAACTTGTTCTTATACTTTAGTGTGTTTGATGGGAAGTTATGAAAAACTGGACAAGTCCCCATTCCTTTGTCTTGATGCAGTCTACATAACAACTTTACTAAGAAAAGGATATGGCTTTCATAATTCACAATTTCTACAGGTGATTAAAAAAGAATCACTGCACAAGATCTCATCACAATCAACAATGTAAACTTCACTTTTGGAGGTATATTGGTACATTGAAATAATTCAATGTTTTTTTATTAGATTGCAAGAAAAATCAATAATGTAGAAGTGAGTTGGGCACTTGGGGCAGCTTTACATATGCTTGAAGAATATGCATAATATTGAGAATGGCTTGAAAAATGCAGTTGCTTTGGAATAATGCCTTAGAGAAGGCCACTTCAAGGTAAAGTCCAGGGAGAGTGATGGTGATATACCCAGCACTTATAAACATTCGGGAATATTAAAGTGCAAGACTTTTTGTCTTCTAACATAATGGTTCCTGGCATTCAATGTGATTTTAACTTAGAGAAGGTGTAACAGTGGAACCAATAGACTTTTTTCATGACGTCAAACGCGGAAAGTATGATGTTATACAAAGTTTAATTGGCTCAATAGTTTTGTGGAGCCAATAAAATTTTGTGTAACATCAGACTTTTCACGTTTGACTCATTATAAGAAAGGTCTATTCAGATATTTATGTTTGCCACTTGGTACATTCCACAATAGGTTGAAATGTACTGCAATTGCTAGTATCTGTAATATATTTTATAAAGCAAATTATCAAAAATATAAATGGTTAAATGGATAGTTAAAGCCTGCAATTGTGTGATATTAGTATGCAAGTATACAAGGTTGTGCATAAATCTCAAGATGTTTACACCTCATGGTCCTCATCCAAATGGTGCAAATTGTTGAGGATGTCACTCATGATAATTTGGGATAGCATTATGGTAAAAAACACAAAACCACATGTTTCTTTTATTGACATTTTATTGCCAAACAAAGCATTTTACAAATTCAAGTAAGTGTTAATCTGTCTTTGCTTGCTGATCATCACTTGTGATGCCATTCTCAATGAAACTAGAAATGAGAAGGTGAAAAAGAATTTTGTGGGGATGTTTAAAAGTGCAAGTTAATGCAAGTTAGATTTATGATCTTCCAGTGTGATACATGTATTTGCAAGCTGCTGTTAGGCATGTTATAATCCTTACCTTTTGGAAACCAATGTCTTTAGCATACTGCCTGAAACACTGACGACACATGTTGATGCCATACTTGCGAATTAAACCATGACGGTTTGAGCAAACCCGACTATGCAATGGAGAAGCTTACTTTAGTTCATGTCTAGCACAGTTGTTCTCACATAAGGTTAAATGACTTGTATGCATCTGCCGTGAAAATATTTTATGTCTACCCACTAAAAGAATCAATCTAGGCTGACATATCAAGTATATAGTTTCTGACTAAGCATAAGTTGACAAAATCTTGGAAACGAAGCTCCTACCCCTGTATCTAGTTTTTATAAAAAGGCATATGCAATGAAGTAGGAGTTTTAATATCATACAGTAGCCTTCCACTTTTAAAGTGAAATGAGATGTATGCGGTTAACTTTATTGCATGATTTAAAAACTTTAGCCTTCAATGGTTTTTAATAAAAACACAAACACGTGTCAGAGTCGCCATTTTGAAAAATTGGATCTGTTCAATGTGCATTTTTCGAGACGATTTTTTAGAAAATACGTGCCTAGTTATCAGTTCAATTGCATTATATAGGAAGCGTTCATATTCGATTATGTCTTACCAGCTTCTAGAGCCCGGCCCGAAGTTTCTAGGATGACTAAACCACAAGTTTTGGTGACCCATTTTAGATTTTTTGCTGTAAACTTTGTAGCAAAGATTGAAAAGAAATAAGAAGGAAGCTTGCACAGAATTGTGGGAAAGCAAAACCTCGACCTAGTCTTCCGAAGGCTCGGGCGTAGCTTCTAATTAATTAATGTCTAAATTAAAATTAAAATGATTAAATAGTCTAATTAAGAATACTTTTATCTTAATGAAGTGAAAAGTATGTCAATTTTCCCTCGGGACAAGGGTAGATTTTGAGCGAAAATTAAGCAGTTTTTGTTTTTCAGACATCTTCATGGATATTTTTGATATAAAATAAATAAGATAAAGTTTCGTCAATGGAACCGCAAAATCCTGAAGGGTAATGATTGCAGACTCGTGGCGGGAAAATTTTGATTTCGATTTTGTGGTAAAGGCAAAAGCTAATTGGGTTCTAATTTTTACTTTTTTATTGGAATATTTAAGAGTTATGGAACTTGGAAAGCATTACAGAGAATGGAGTCGTTGGAAAAGAAAAGTACGCCACAGATGAAGGTAAAATCTATAAAGTTGTCGATTTTTCGTAGTTTTAAAGAGTGTTGTTTCACGTATGACGTATGTTTATATGTTCAATTATTCATGAACCGACCGCATCAGAAACAATACAAAATGGTTTAGATGTTAATGACGGCCTTTAAATCATATTTGAATATTAATTTTTTATGTGTTCTTGGTCTGTTTGGGTCAGTATCAAAAATGGGTATTGGGGAGAGGCTGAGAGGGGGGGTGTGAAACCTCCCTTTAATTCCTTGATTTAGAGTTTTTAAATTAACCCCTCACTATGGCACTACCTGAAAGAGCCTAGGTATGACCACACTGTGGTATGACCCTGTGGTATGTTTCAAAACAAGACTTTAGAACTGTCATGGGTGACAAACATTGCTCACCCAAGCCGGGTCCAAGCTGGACAACAGAGGTCAAAGCGAGGTTGAGGTAGCCTGTGGACCAACATAAATAAAGAAGACATATACGTCTGTGTAGTAGTGCAACATATTTCATGTTCTCTGTTGTATTGTCGATTGAATTGAAAAGTCGATTGGCTCACAATTCTGATTTTGTAAGTTGCAATTCCAGTATGGTTTGATGTCAGCCAATAAAGCACACTGCCTAGTTTGGGTACTGTAGTGGAACATAAAACCTTGCAGTAATTTGCACATGTATATGTTTTCTTTAATTATGTCTCATACAGGCTAAAGTGTGGAGGACAAATAAAAATATGCAAGCTGTCTGTCAACCTCATTCCCAATGCCAATTGCCATATTTTACATCTATGTGCTTCACTACATTCCCAATTCTTTGACCATTCAATGTTGCATGTTTAGGAAGAGGGAAGTCATGAGATGATTGTATGACAAATTAGTATTGGTAATGATACAATTTGGAGACCAATTTGAAAAAAATCTTTCACAAGAAGTCATTGGAACTCATATGATTTTTTTATTCATTCAAGGGCTGGTTCCATTTGATATCTTCAACACACAAAATGAATATACTGGAAAAATATATCTTTGTTCCAAGGCAATCAGGTATGATAGCTTTCTCTAACATCCTGTCATAAAATTAGTAACTTAGGCAGTTGCTGGACTTGTTTTACTGGGAGATGATAATAAATATAAAAGGCAAAGTTGGAAAGTGCAATTACATTTGCAGGTGCAATATAATCCAAATGTTCAAGGGATTTTTCTATATCTATATATTATTACTTAAACAACCCAGGATTTCATCAAACATGTGTTTTTTTCAACTATATTCTGAATTATTTACAGACATTAAGCATAATTAACTATGCATTAAGTGATGAATAATTTGATATACAACTTTTTCAAACCCTAAACTACATTAAGCCAGTTAACGTTCCAAATTTTTGGATACCATTCCAATCTTTATAATACATAATTGCTTTAAAGATAATGTCCAAACCTTTTTTTCATATTTAACAAGACTAAAGTTCCTTCAATTGTTCCTTTCAATAATGAACAACTATTTAAGTGTGAACTATATTTCACCACAATTCTTAATATGATTTCCTTTTGATAATCTACAGTGAATTCTACACTATACATAGCTAATATAATGGAAATCTGATAAATTTCAATGTATTTGCACATATAGTTATATTATATCTCTTAAACAGTAAGCGAGGGTTTCTCAATGTTTACTTGCACTGGGTCAACATCTTCATCTCGTGGTTTCAGGATTTCAAATGGCTCGCTCATTGCAATGAAGCAGTCCTGTTTATAGCTGAAGTAGCATAGTTGAAACAGCCCAGGCTCTTCCGGAAGACAATCAAAGAGGACTGCGCATCCGTTCTCACCATACTCATCACCATCTCCAACGGCCCATTCGTACATCTCGTAATCTGTGAAATGCTGCCAGCCCAATCTGTATAGCCCAATCCAATCCCAGCTGTATGGCTTGTAGTCTTTGACCACATACACGCACAGGCCATCGTCGTTTCCATACCAAGGCATGCTATCAATTTCTAACTTCCACAGAATTCTCGACTCCTGGTTTGTTTCAAAACCATCAATACTCACTGTGCATTCGGCACTAACCGGCTGATGATCACTTGTCATGTGCCGCGGGTGCGATGTATAGCTTGTAACAGTTGCATGACCTTGGGTTGCTTCATGCCATAAGATTCGGTCACACCAGGCTGGCTTCCTCTTGAGATCACTGGCATCCCAATCGTTTGTTCCAAGACAGTACTTGTAGGTGGGTTGGAAGCTTATGTCGGCCTCGAAAAAACCTTTGTAGGTTTCCTCCACTAACATACTTTTCATCAACTGGTCGTGCTTCTTCAATGATACAAGATCTCCATTTGAGACCTTTGCCTTCACATCTTCAATAGCAACCTCATCAATGCGATAATTGAGATCTCCGAAGACTGTGACAAAATCGTGTTCCATCACCATGGCCGCTTTCACATCAGCAAACTTTATGTGCTTAAGTACACTTTCAAAATTTGAGTTCCGTTGCTTAGTCCCATCAAGATGAGCGGTAAAGTGGCAATTAATGAAGCAGAACGACTGTCCGTGCAAGAGGAACCTGATAGCAACAGCTCCCTTCGTGCCAAGCCAACCCATAACCGCCGTTCGGACAAAGCCCGTCTTAATCTCCCGTAAGTATGGCAGGTGCCTCGCTTGGACGGCTACGATGACAATCATACCCAGCATACGTAGGCTGCGGACACGCACTAACCCGTAATAACCGAGATAATCCTGCAACACTTGAACCCAACGGTTCTCCTGTATCATTTCGACAACAAACGAATGCGGCTTCACCTCGACTTCTTGTAAGCCAACGGCGACTACATCTGGCAACGGTTTATCATCTTGAAGGTGTAAAATCTCCCTCAAGTCTTCCTTTGGCGGCGAAGTTCCGTGAACATTCCAAGTGCAACAAGCTATTTTCAAAGTGGACATGTTTTCAAGTTGTCAAATTCGCGTGCCTAAGTGTCTTGTATGCCCAGCCCAGAGAAGAAAGTATCTATGATTCGTTACATCCAACGCTTCCCTGCCTTCGTTTTCAAAACCTGTCAATATTTCAACGCATTTGAGTTTAATTTTAAGACAGCAGACAAAAGATAAACAGCTTATTGCAGATGTTCATTATGCAAACATTATATTATGTAAAATGTGAGAAAAAATTTGATGTCTCACAAGTCACAACCGGATGTTACAAGTGCATGACTCTTGTGTTCAATACTTCAATATTCAATAAATTCAATATCATTGGATGTTGTCGGATCGTATTCGGAGCCTGCCTCGGAGGTAAACGGCATGTGCTCGTTGTGAAAATATGGGCGACGTTTTTCCATGATTATCTCTGGGTGATTATTGCTTGATCGTATAGACCTTTATATTCTGTAAGGTCTTTGGGACATGAAAAAATAACATACAAACTACAATCCTAATCGATCTAAACCTAAATGTAATCGCTAGTTCATAGCCTAAAACGACTGATTTAATGCTGTTAATCCCCTTAAAACCAATCCTATCCATAACAAAGTGCACCCAACCCTTCCTAGCTCGTTTCTAAATCGCAAACTCTTTCTGTTTGATTATCAGTTGTATTTGCTACTAAAAACTTTGATATAATTGTTTGTTTGGTGCCATTGTTTAATTTGTTTTTGTTAAATACTGGTTTACCGCAAAAGAAGGTGTACAAGTGGCCTGGGGTAGGTAGCATTTAACCGACAAATCTCGTAATGGAACGGGATTGTTTATAACCGTTGACAGACCAGACTTCCCTGTTCTCCGTGTTCTGTCGATACCAGGCATTTTTGCTAAATTCCGTTTGTTGGTTTTTTTGAATTCCTTTTTTTTTCAGGCAAGGCCACTGTGGCAACGGACCTCATTAATATTTTACGAGAGTACCCAGCTACCTGCAACAACTTTGTCAAATCTGCGCAATCATATCGAATTTAATTGGTTGCTTTTGCAGGTTGCTGTGAAACAACCACAAAATCTTCGCCACAACATGCCGAATTGAATTTTATACCAGTGGAATATTGGATGCGACGTTTCTTTGCTTAGTGATATACTAAAGAAATTCTGCTCTGATTTCAGAAGAAAGAATCACAGCCATACGACATACTCCCGCGCTGTCTGCTGCACGTGAGTATCACTCTCTGTCTCTGAGTATCACTGAAGTGCATTTGCCCTTTCAATGGCTTGTGTTCAACGCCATGTGAATTTTCAAAGTGATTTTAAATGCTATTGATGTCCGTAGTTGTAGTCGGTTTTCTGTATTGAAAATTCACTCACTAAATATCGTATGTCTCACATCTATACTGCCAAAAAACAAAAAGAACCCACATTTAACCTCATCAAAACTGACTTGAGTACAATTTTCTCGACATACAAAACAATTTGAGAAATACCCTATTACTAATGTAACTCACCCCAAAATGGAAGCGGTATAGAATGCTTTGCTTCCATTTTGGATAATCTTATCTATCTTATTTTTGGAGAAACTTTGGTCTGCGCTTGACGTAGAATATAGCTACATATACTCTTATTATCTACCTCTAGAGATGGCGCGAAGTATTAAAAGCCCTGTGTGCCGAATTGCACTTCTTTTGTTAATGTACTACGGTACAGTTATTGAAACAAGAGATATCGTGTCTGAAAGATGTGAGGATCAACACGGTGCTAGCCTGAATGGTAAATTATCAAATTCATAAATTTTAAGTTCTACAGAATTTGTAAGAAATGAGGTATTGTAAATGTGAAGTAATCATTGCTAAGCAATCTTTAAATGCGTTTAAAACTGATCTTTATTGTGCAAAAACTCTACTCAACCAGAGTGATTCAACCAGATTTAGTATAAAATTATTGTATTTTCCTCTTGTCGTGAAACCATCAGTGTTCCTCTGACGGAACTAATGTAATCTAAAATCAACTTTTTAGAGAATTTTGCTTTAAACAAAGTTGCCACACAAAGCAGCACTTCAAACAACGGCGTCGCTAGTCGCCTGGTCGATGGAAATCGTAATCCATATTTCGGAAACAACAGCTGCTCAGAAACCAACACTCACAATGACGTATTTTGGAAAGTCGACCTGGGGACTGAGGTTTACGTCACTTCGGTAACCATAACAACGCGTGCTGACGATTATTGGCTGGCGAAGAACAATTTTTCCATCCAGGTTTTGGACGCTTCTGGAACTCGTTTGTGTGCGTCCGGCTTGTTCGCACATAACGGCGAGTCAACCACGTACGCTTGTGAGAACGTTGGAAAAAGTAGTGTGGTAAAAATCATTCTTGACGGAAATAAAAAACAACTCTCACTTTGTGAAGTCGAGGTTTACGGATATCCATCTAATTTTTATGAAAACGGAGGTAAGAACGATGGATCATCCTTCACTATGTTTTTACCAACACTGCAGCTCAACGTAACTGTGTTTGATTTTATGAAATTGGTTAGACCGTAGGCAGCCCTGACTTTGAATTGCACGTGTGGCGCTCGCGCGTCTTGAGAACGAGGTTTTGCGCTTGTCTGAAAATGAAACCATGGCTCGCAAATTCTATGAACTTCACAACCGATTAGTTTACACTGCAACGAGGTAATTTTGCGTGCTATATATGAGGGAAGAGACTCCTTATTTTTAAATAGCAGCAATTTTTAAAAAAATACAACCTCGCAAGCCAGGTTTTGCAAAAATGAGTTTTGTGATGCCGTGCAAACTATACTTCAGTCTCTTTTATTAGTGTTCATGGATTTTTGCCATGTTTTAGTGAACTTTGCGTTACGACAACCGGCGAAACAGTCAACGATATATCAAACCCATGCCTCAGCACCCGAGGTTGTCGATGGGATACGGAACACGGCGTACACATTTGGATCCTGCACCCATACCACTCAATATGGTGGAGACTGGTGGTCTGTTGATTTAGGAGTACTTGTTGATGTTAATGCAATAACAGTTACTAACAGAGGTACAGTAATATGATGTATATGTGATGGATGCGCAGTAGATTCTAGATTCCCTATCTCATTTCCTCTTCCAAAATGTCCAATTTCAGTACACCTACCGTTTTTATTTTCACATTTGATATTTCAATTTTAGACACTTACACTTCAATTTTAAAATTGTTTGCAAACTAAGAATAAAATTGTTTACTTTTCACATTTTATATTATACCTTTACGCCTTCAACATTTCCATACGTCCCTCGAGAGAGGACCCGCGAGACAATTTTTTTGTATTTAGTGGTGACTTCACGTGAGAGGGACACCTATACACAGGGGCATGCTCACGAGGTACCGCCAGGGGGGGATATATTAGAACTCGAGGCATCCAGGGCTAACGGTCTTAATTGTTAATGAGGCCCTTTTTTCTTCTTACAAATATTTAAATTATTTTTGCCTTCGTTATAACAATTTTTATTGCAAATTTACAACATTTAGTTTATAATAACAATCCTTAATAAAAGTTCACAGAATTTAATGGGCCGCCTATACCAAAATCAGTTACTGATCGCTGGTCTTTTTTGCCAGGTGATGCCGCCTCTTCGACTCTGGAAAACTTTGATATTCGTATTGGAAGAAACTGGCATCCTTCGAAGAACCCAAGTTGTACCAAGCATCCAAACCTTGCAACGGGAGAAACACGGGCGATTTTCTGTTCGCGTCCTATGCGTGGAAGTTATGTAGGAATTGTACAAAAAATAAAAAGCGCTTTGCTTTTTTGTGAAGTTTCTGTACACGGCCGAGAAGTTAGTGCAATAACTGCAAATGAACCGGGTAAGTTATTAGAAAATACACCGATCGTATATACAGTGTCCGTGTACTTGTCCAGGGACGTCTCAAAATTTTCTCATCGTATCGATCAGTACTCTATATATCATACAGAATCAAGCTGTACTACTTGAATAGCTGTGAAAGATTAGATTTGATGAAAACTGATCTTATGAGATTAATTATAAAACTGTCTTACACTGCCAATAAGATTGCTAAAGGTGTTAAAAGTTGATTTAACCACGGTTTAAGACATTTGCCATCGATCTTGGACATCGATCTTGTAGTTTGTTTCACCCCCAGTATATCCACTAATAACCACTAATGTTCTTTTTTTGTAGTTTGTTTCCTGACCCTCAGTATATCCACTAATGACCACTAATGCTCTTTTCTTGTAGTCTGTTTCACCCCAGTATATCCACTAATGACGACTAATGTTCTTTTGTGTAGTCTGTTTCGCGCCGAAACCACTCGGAATGGAAGACCATACTATCCTGGCTTCCCAGTTAAAGGCTTCATCCAGATTTAATCCCCTGACAGATGCAAGTTACGCGAGATTAAATTCCATCCCTAATAATGTCCATGCTGGAACGTGGCATGCCTCCATGAGTGACGTCGTACAGCCCTGGATCCAAGTAGCATTTCTCTGGTTAGCTGCTGTCATCGAAGTTCAGACTCAGGGAAGAAATGGTTTTGCGCAATGGGTGAAAAGTTTTCGAATTTCCTCCAGCAATGATTTTGTTCGCTACGAGCCGTACTCGGTTCATGGTTCAAACGGTGCAACAGTAAGTAGACGCCATTTTTTTGTGAGACTTGCATTTGATATGAATGTGAATATGAAAGGTTCATCCCCTCGATTGGGTCCCTCAAGAACACAGTTTAAAAAGAATCGCACGACTGAAAATGTTACAGTTAAACTAAATTTAAAACTAGGAAAAATCATCAGCATACTAGACCAATACATGGGCTTTCAAATACGAGCATTTCAAATTTCGGTGGCGAAATACTAGGACTTTTTTTTCGGCGTAATACTGATTTTTACAGAATTTGCCATACTTCACACGGCGATTATTTCTCACGGCAATTTTTTTTCCTCATGATTGATATATTTATTCTCAATTTCTTTATTTTTATTTCATCATCACCATCCAGACTTTTCCTGGCAACTCAGATAGCGACACTGTGGTTTCTCATCGTTTACAACCGGTTCGTGTTGTTCGTATTGTCCGCTTAGACGTTCTGTCTTTTGAATGGGCTCCTACTTTGCGCGTGGAGTTTGTCGGCTGTTACTACAAGGATACAGGTACACTTATATATAGGATACAAGTACATTGTGTCATGCCGGCCGATCTTAAAAACATTTTTAGCGAATTTAATTGCAGTTAAAATCATTCTCAATAATGTTTGTTATGTGATCACACCGATTCAGCGACTGGTTTCCTGGCACAAATTTAGTTCCTTGCATGGCATACTGTCCTGCATGTTCTTGTCAACAAAGGCAGAACTCTCTGCAAGCGAAAAGAGAGCGACATGTTGATATAGTAGACCGTATGCATAATGACGTATAAGCCGTGACGCCTGCAGGGAATTCTGTTTTAAAAAAATTCAAACCTCAAAATTTCCAGCCGTGACTACTAAAACCAGAATTCCCTGCAGGTTTCACGGCTTGTTACGTCATTATGCATAAGGTCTATTATCAGGTTGCAGGCACTTTCGCAGAATGCGACCTTTATAATCAGTTAAAAAAGAATTACTTTACAGAAACAGAACCTCGTCAAAAGATAGTCAATTCTCATGCACTATAAAATTATACTGATCTGATGTAGGCATATAAAACATTTTATCATTACTATAAGAAAGAAAAAGATTTTTCTTTTAATATCTTTTCTATTATGCCTTTTATGGTGAGTTAACCCGCATCAAATTAAATCATATGCCCTTGTTTCATTTCTTAGCGTTTCCTCTTCCTCAAGCACTTGGAATACAGAGCAAGGCAATTTCAGACTCTCTCATTGACAGTTCCACAGAACTAGGCCCAGGCTACGGTCGAAAGCTAGCGCGTCTAATGGGTCGTGTGGCATGGATACCGGCCAGCGGAGACACAGATCCTTGGATACAAATCAATTTTGTCTTAATGGTGACAATCGTGGAGATTTTAACTCAAGGAAGATCGATTCATAACCAGTGGGTGAAAAACTATAAGGTTGCGTTTGCACAACAGCCGACCATCATTCGATTTTATCGAGAAAATGGAGTGGAAAAGGTAAATCAGGAATTTCATATTATACTGCCTCTCAAGTGACATATTCAAAATAGGGATCTTGAAGATTGTTTAAGGCGGGTTTTCACACAGGAGAATTGGACCGAAACGGTTCACTTGACCGATCAATGATTATTTCTCTGATAGAGTTTTCTGTATTAGTAAAGTGTCTATATGGCGAATTGGAGATTCCCTTATTGTGTAGTTACCTTATATAAGATAGGCCTGGTTAAAAATCATTGTAAACTTAAAACTAACCAAACATACAACTCTACTTCAAAAACAGCTCTTTCGTGGAAATACGGATAGGGACACCGTTGTAGCAAATGCCTTGTCTCCAGCAATACGTGCCCAGTATATCCGTATCTACCCCAAAGAATATAATGATCACCGGGCGATGAGATTGGAATTTATTGGTTATTATAAAGGTTAGTGTAAGTGTGTTATACTAATAGTGTTACTATCGTTCTTGCTATGTGAGTATGTATCATAACATAGTGGTCGATGCGTGCTGTCGAATTTTATATAGATTAGTTTTGTAGTGTGAGATCTGTATTTGAGAGGTAAACATGTTGTGAAGAGTATGTAATAGGGAAGTGTTTGTATTAAAGACGTAACTCTATAGATTACAAAAATTTGAGAGTGTTTATATTTGGGGGAGGTGTATAAATTAGAGAGGTGTTTGCCTGTTTGCCAGTGCGGTCGAAGCTGCTTTTATCTACTCACGGGGCCGTGACGGACTTAACAGCAAATCAGACTTAGCGCAGGCGTAATGGAAAATTGACATATTACTCTACAAGATGATACTATGACGGGCACATGCGCCACTGACTGCTATATTAAACTAGACACACACTCCTGGGCTAACCTATGGTTTCACTTTTGCATTTTATGGTTATTATTCAGATCAGGAGATCGGACCTCTTGGCCTTGAAAATAAACGAATACAAGATGATCAGTTAAGTGCGTCAGCGTTGCACTACTCCTCACACAGCCCAAACAGGGGTCGTTTATATGACGATAAAGGCTGGGTTGCTGGCTCTAAGTCAGGAGAAATATGGCTACAAGTTGACTTCTTACGTCTTGCAAAAGTATCAGAAATTTGGACGCAAGGGCGAGGAAATTACGACCAATGGATTAAGACCTTTCGTGTACAATACTCTATGGACACCACACAATTTACTACTTACAAGCCTTTTGGACGTGATGAGGTAATTACATTTTTCAACTAGCCCCATTTTTGTAAGGTAGATAAGGTTTGTATATACAAGAAAAATATAAAATAACACTAGACTGTACAACGTAATGATTCGCCATCCAGGCTAGCGCGTCCGGTTGTACTAGCCATGCAGGTACCGGCTGCATATTTATCAAGCTCGTTAAGCTTAAACAGGGCATGGATAAGTTAAAATAGAACAATACCCTTACGTCTCTCTTGAGTGAATCAACTTGTATATTATGCACTGATTATGTGGTTGTAACTTGTAAACAGTATCGTTGTTTTAAGGTTAAAAGTATGCTTGTTGAATAAAACGACAGAATTGCTCTCTATTTTGAACTTAGCCACCGTTTAAGCTAAACGGGCTTGATACAACCGGCCCCTGGTTGTTCGAGTGTGCATATAACACTGTTGATTAGATATTGCTTTCACAAAGCCATCACTGATCGTAATAATATAAGGTGAATGTTGAAAATTAGGCTTTCATATGTATTTCATGGGCAAGAATTAATGTTTCGCAGATTTTCGTCCCTATATTAGATCATAGTTAATGTAGTGGGATCCGTCGGTCCGGCATGTCGACCTTGGCGGACGGCACGCCTGTGCGCTCGAACCGCTGCCTGTCGATCGTGACGGTGCATGTTCGCACACACTACGCGCATGGGATGCAAAATGCCATGCACCATCCAACGGCGCTAAACCTTTTTTCAAACAACTGCCATCTCGTATCTATATTATCTATAGATGTGGAGCGAGGAATTCAGTGAACTATTTTGAAGAAGCGCTATGCCAGTAGTCGAGCTTTTTTGATTTGATTTTGATCACCTATATCATTCTCTGTTTGTAGGCATTAACGGCCAATACTGACCGTCATTCCGCAGTTTGCCAGAAAATTTTGCCTGCTATCGAAGCTCGAGTTCTTCGCATTCTTTCTGATCAAATTCATAGCTACCCTGCTCTTAGGATGGAGGTTGTTGGGTACTATATAACGTACGCAGGTATGTCTTCGCGGTTGCTGAAACAATCTTGAGTTCTAATTTCAGCAGCAGCGGTCATCTTTAAAAATCTAGCATTTGCATTCGAAGCCTCTGGGGGGGAGAGAGCAAAGTGGCAGCAACTGGTTGCTTCAACAACAATGTCTCGTTAACCGGGGACTCAACTCGAGCATTTTAGCCGTGTAGTTCATAAAGTTAAAAGCAGGGGCCGCGGGGGAGGGGGTAGATATTCATATATTAGTGTAAGCAGAGCGTAAAAACAAAAAAATTCAAAAGAAACTAATAATGCTTCATGAACGTAAATATATGAATATTGATCGCCCCCCCCTTCCCCGCGACTTCAGGTTAAAAGCTAAGCACTATTACGGAATATACACTGTAAATATGCGTGATAGATAATTCTTCACTTTCCAGTTGTGGTCTTTTAGTTTTATCCAGTCTATGGCAACCTAAATGCAATGAGCGGTACATGAAAATTTCTCGCTTCAAATAACTCAATATCGAAATATTCTTACTATATTCAAATTCGATATTCCCAATATTCGGTTTCAAACTTACGTCAGAGAATTGGGGGGGGGAGGGACAGCTGTCTCCCTTACCTGTCTCTACGACCTTGTCGATATGATTTACCCGTTTTCATTCATGAAATATAAATGAGTTCATAAATTAATTTATGAATTTATGTTATTTATGAATTTATGTTTTTTCTTTTTTAGCCTCGTGTTACGTCAGACCATTAGGCATGGAAAGCCGGGAGATTTCAGATACACAAATCACGGCATCTTCATCGATTAATGGTCATTTCCTGCCCGGCGGTGCTCGCTTGAATTTCATAAATGCCGGTGCTCCAAGGAAAGGTTGGCGCACTCTTCCTGGTGATCGCAATGCTTGGCTTCAAGTTGCCTTTCATCAGATGGTTGATATCGTTGAGGTTCAAACCCAGCCACGTAGCAGCATTGAAATGTTCTACAATTATACGTTTTCCTACGGGAATAATGGTGTGAATTTTACAACGTACACCCAAGATGATGTGATTAAGGTTTGAATTCCAATGCAAAATCACTGTATTCCGATATAATTTTTTGGTGATCATGATCGTGTATATATGCAATTTTTCACAGGTGTTTCCAGGTAGTCGTGTTCCTGGGACCACTATTCGTCATTCCCTCTGGCCATATATAACTGCTAGGTTCATTCGTATTAACGCCGTATCATCTACTGATTCGTGTGGGATAAAGGCGGAATTTATCGGTGCATATCAAGGTAATGGGGGACTTGGGTGTACATGAATCATTAGTGAGAGGAACGAGGGAACTCAGTTGAAGATGTAGCATTAGAGAACATTTTAAAATGGAGAGGTATTTGTTTAATGGACATGTCAGTTCAGCGGTAGCAAGGTGTTTGTACTAGAGAGATGTTGGCATTAGAGAGGTGTCCGCGTTAGAATGGTGTCTGAGTTAGAGAGGTGACTGTATTGTATATGTTTTAGGTATTCATGGACCTGAACTTATTGATCCGGAATATGTTGAATTTGAAAACACACTATACGCCTCCTCTTCGAAGGATTGGTAGGTGGAAGTTTTTTTGTTCAGTTTTTGTGTATACTACTTTTTTTTTCTGTGTTGATTCTAAAGATAATAATGTAGTGAATATTTTCGTGGATAGATTTTCGTTTGACAATTCCTTCTGCGTTGGCCTCCATTACAAAGTGCAATCTCAGCTTGTTTAATAATCGCTCATTAGGAGGCAGATAGAGCTGATACTATAATACATATTTTCATATTCATAGGAATCACCAGCCACAGCATGGTATTATCTCTCGTCATTTTGAAACAACAGCTTGGTCTCCGTTGAAAAAGGAAGAAGGACAGTATATTCAGGTATACCCTTACACTACCAACCTTTTTCTCAGGGTCACTTCTGACACTACTATATTCTAATATATATTGACGCATTCAACAGTCTTTAAAAACAATACTTTAACTAATTGCCAAAATTCAGTTTTGGAGGCGTGCTATGAAACATAGTTCCTACTCTAATGACGGGATATCATCGATAAGACTGTTGTAAATTGGTGATATTTTGCTCATTAGTTGTGGAAGTGTTGTAGTTCAAAATCGGCCAAAGGTAACATTCCTTCGTGTTTTGCGAGAGAACTTCTACTGAATTTAATAAAAGCATCCCGTATATTTCATGCAAAGTAATTCAATACACTACAAAAAGGACAACGCTGGTTGTAGCTTTCCGCTCATATTTTCGTCATTGAGACTATTTCTTTCCGATAATTTCATTCCAGATTGATTTGCTTCAATTGACGACGATAGCTGGTGTTGGTTTTCGTCTAGCCGGTGACCGGATGGCCGATCATTATACCAAACTCATGTTGATGTACGGAGACGTCGCAGATTCAATGAAGTTTTTTAGAGACAACGCTGGCAATGTGAAGGTAAATACACTAGGTTTGGGTTATGCAGAATTGTACCCTGGGGTTTGGTTGAAAAACATAATACTTTGCATTCAGCGACTATATACAGGTCAGCTGGGAAAAGCGAGTGCGCGGTGGTGGGTTATACGACCCCGAGATATTAGGACGTTGTATTTATTCACCCCTCGGCATTTCTTTTGTTCACTTTGGGTAGCCCCTCTAGCCATTCCTCAACCTCGCACCCCGGAGGGTGGCCATTCTTTTGTGGGTCAACATACCTGTAGCTAAATTAAGGCGCTTATTTTTTAGCTTTTTGATACAAGATACTGTTATAGACGCTTGGAAAGACGTGTTCTTGCTCGCTTCGTGCGATTTAGTATCGATAGCTGGGAAACACGTCCTGATTTCAGATTTCAACTTTACGAGACAACAGGTACAGAGAACTCAATCGTCTTTTCCATGCTCATGAACTATAGTCACCATAATAGTTATCATCATATATTCCATAATCCAGGAATTTTGTCATAGTTGAGGGCTATTGTTTAAAGTGTTTATTTCTTTGTAGAATACAGCGAAGCCGGTGCTGGAATCGAAACTGGCAGTATTAAAGATCATCAAATGAAGTCATCAAATCACCCTAATGATCCCTTTGCGGCCCACGAAGGTCGCCTGAATGCCCCCAGGGCCTGGTGCGGTAATCCGTCGCGAAAGAAGCTTTATTTACAAATTGATTTTATCTGGAATTTCGAAGGTAACTGGCCGTGAAAAAAGCTTTCATATTTTAGTAAATGATTTAGCAAATCGTCACATGATTTAGGTAACGAGTACGACACATAACGTTTGCCATCACATTTGGATTATTGTATTACAAAGTTAGGATCAAAGATTGCATTGAGTGTATTACCTCGATTAGATTTAGATTTAGACTTGGATTTAGATTTAGAGTATTTAGATTTAGGTTGTCGGTATATGATTTAGTACGGAACAAATTAGTTATATATTCAGTCATATTAAGAATTACAAAATATAGACTCCATCTTTTATAGTTCACGCTGTATCGACTCAAGGCAAAACTGTCGGTGTAATGATGTACGTCACGAAGTACAAATTATCAAGTAGCTTAGATGGCATTTATTGGAATCCGTATGAAGAAGAACAAATTGTTAAGGTTAATAAATTGATGAAGCCTGTTTTACTCTACAATATAATAAACGTGTGAAGAGTTTTTTGAGAACTCCTCAGTTCCACTTGAAAAAGCGAGTCTTTAAGTTTATTTTTTAACTTTAGATATTCACTGGAAACACCGACTGTCGGTGCATCCGAAAAAATCCTGTTCAGCCATTCCTTGCTCGAGCAGTAAGATTTCTTCCCACGGCCTGGAAGGATGCGCCGTGTTTGAGAGTGGAAGTTTTCGGCGTCTATAAAGGTTGGCATTTTGATTTGAAACAGACAACATCGTGGTAACATTGGATCAATAAATTTCTGAATATTTACAAATCAGTGATAGTGAAAGCAATTTGAAACTTCCTATGGTGTCGTGAGTTTAGTAAATCAAGCACGATTAAGCTGGATTAACCCCTGTATAGAATTTGAATAGTAATGATTGCTCTCAGTATACTTCACAAAGAATTGATGGAGAGCTTCCTTATGTAAATTAAACGCAATCAGAAACTTAGTTTTCCCTTCACCACACAGTTTTATCCCTCGTGTAGGAATTCTTCGGGTTCATGCACGGTCTGGTGTTCTGAAAGGACCAAAAGAAACAATTGTAACACGGAAGTGTTCGATCAAGGTATAAATTGAGACTACGATGCGATGCCAGTATATATTTTATATAGATCTCAATTTATCAGATAACCAGCCGCATAACAGTGTATCTTTATAAAATGAAAATCTCCATGGCACAATGTCATTTTTCAGTTAAACGGGAAGGAGGTTAGTCGACAGCTGCCAGGTTATAACGTTGCTGTTGTAAACCCAACAACTGGCTCTCTCAACTCCTCGAGATCGGCAGAAAAAGCTTCAGAATTAAACAATTTGTTGATGGGGATCCCTGATGACTCTATCGTAGTGGTCGCCACACAGAACGTTACCCAAAGGTAAATTCAACACCCTAACTATACTTCGGCATTCTGTTTTTATTGTAATCTTAAACGTAATTGTTGTACTCTAGCTCTCTTAATTCGTCTTATTCACTAAGTCCATCTAGCGTAAACGGTGATCAAGTTCATGCAACATAGAAGGAAAGTCTATGTGTGAAGTAAATGAACAACCAAACGTAACAAAACGATACCGTTCATAACTACATATTTTAGTTGATCGTTTATAGAAGTGCATGTTATTTAACTTGATACGGACGCCTCAAGATTAGCGAATTCTGCCTTTACTGTAACACGTCGTTATAACTTTTTCGAAAGTTGAAGGCGAGGAAGAATAATCTTTTTCCTTTGCTACCTAATACCGATATCTACTGTTAAATTACGTCTACAGGCCACCGAATGAAACTCTACACCTTCTCGAAAGTGTTGGTGCAATCGCATTACGATACTCCATTGAATCTGATCACATGATGTTCTTACTCGTTGGTTATAAAGGCAAGAGAAGGGTGAAGTGGATTAAAGAGAAATTAGGAACAGCTAAAGATGATATCATTAGGATTGCTGTGCCAATTAAACTCAATGAAAGTAAGTGTGTTTTCTCATACAATCTCTTTGTCCCTTGACCTTTTATCATAATAATTGTGGTAGCACCGTGGCTACCAACTGCCTCTTTTATCTTACCAACTACGTAGGTGTTTACTTTGTAGATATCCACACAGCTCGTAATGAACGATTTATTCCTCATTTATACCTTTTTTGCAATGCAACCATCTCACACTAAATTCTTTGCCCTTTCAGATGAGGTGAAGCCAGAAATTGATGAACAGTTTGTCAATGCGAACAGCAACGAGACAACTGACTCCATCTCGCTTTCCGGGAACAAGGCATACATCTTCCGTAATGTAACTGGAAGGTGCGGGGATAACAATACAAATTGTGAAATGGGCTTTTCTTTGGCCATGTGGATGAAACAGGAACCAATCGACTACATGGAAAACGTAGAATCACCTCCGACCTCAGGTACGTCAGAAATGATGTATAGAAATAGTCCCTTGTAATCACCATTTATCACTGTATTGTTGGTGCAGGATGCATGCAGAGTGTACGTGTGTTCTCTGGGTGTGCTCGGTCGTAAGGGGTAAGAGAGGGTGGTGGCCTCTGTGGTATATCCACGCTAAAAGCGCAATGGCTGGAACTTTTAAGGTCTGTCCACACAATCCAATTTTGTTGGATCCAATTCACTTCTGATGGATGTTTTATAGTCTGTTGCCTTGTCATGTATATGAGCAGTAAATCAACTGAAGCCAATCCACCACTGCTTCATCAATAACCGACTATATTCCATACGTCAGAAGTGAATTGGATCCAACAAAATTGGATCGTGCATGTGAACCGATCTTCAAGCGGCTCATTATCTGCAGGAGCCGCCACCAACCGGCACTACAGCAAGTGGTTGAATTGTATCTTCGAATAATTCTGGTGTTCTTCATTTCAGAACGCATCGACTTACAGTATTACTCAAACGGTTACAACTACATTGTGTTGCCTGATAAGAAAACATGGAATGCGGCAAGAAGGTATGACCTAATAGAACTACGCCGCTTTAAAATTCAACACTTTCCTCCGTCGCACGTTTTTTTAATATATAACTAGTATAATGTAAATATTTAAGAAAATCCCCTTGAATGACAGCATTTGTTGAACCGGGCAACCGTTGTAAAATAGTTTAAGAGCACTAACAACATGTTCATAGGTATTGTCTTGGTATTGGTGGGACACTTCCAGTGAATCATTATCACGAGTCGCTGGATTATCTTCTGGCTCTCAGCAATAGACTAGTTTTGGGCACGTTTTGGTTCGGTTTGACCATTCACCCTTACGTGGCTAGCTATCCCGAATGGATGGACGGATCACCAGCTGTGACTACGAAATGGAAACTAAACGAGCCATCTGGGCTCCCTGAAGCATGCGCGGTAGAAACATTAACTGGTTTAAACGATGTAGTCTGTGAGGATACTGGCTACCCGAGAACCGTTATTTGTCAACAGCCAATCCAAGGCAAGTATCTAAAGCCTGTATTCCATATTCTACTCATCGCAATGCGTTGCTTTAAAGTCGTTAGGCCTTTTCGTGATCTCAGAAAACAAAGGAATATGCTTCGGTACAATGCAGCAAACGCACGGAGTAAAATGTTCAAAATCTGAAAACCTTGTATGTGCTTCAAGTTTGTCCCCGAATAACGTTAAATAAATTCATTTTCAAGTTTCAATAAAACTTCAGAGAAATTTAAACGAATTATCCGGTCCGATAATAGCAAATATCTGGCCGGTACCGGATAGTATCATTTTGTCACTATCAGACTGATTACGATTACCGCTGCACGCTTGTTCTACTTTTAACTTGTAGCTCCCAGATAAGAATTTGCAATTTGCAATTGGTGATTAATTGCGTTTGGCGACCAGGGGCTGGTTGTTCGAAAGGCGTTTAGCTTAAACGGTGGATAAGCCAAAGTTTAAAAATACTCTCATAGATCTTGGGTATCGCTGAACGTGCGTCTTATGCGTTTAAATTGTACCTCAATTGAAAATGAAAGTATTTACATCGAAATATTTCAGCTCAGTTGTTCAATAAATAGATAATATGGTTTTCTATTTTGAACTTATCCACCGTTTACGCTAAACGCCTTTTGAACAACCGGCCCCTGAATTTTAGGCATCTTCCAACTTAAGCGCAGTTCAATGCTTGGCTATTACGAGAGTGTTGTATATGTAGCGCAGTCGACGTCATCGAATCATATTCATTATTACCCTACGCATCCATACATATCCCTGCATATCTGGGGCCGGTTGTATCAAGCCCGTTTAGCTTAAACGGTGGATAAGTCAAAATTAAATAACATTTTTACATCTCTCTTGAATGAGTCAACTTGAATATTATGCACGGAATATGTAGTTGTAAACAGTATCTTTGTATTAAGGTTGAAAACATTTAGTTTGCTTATTGAATAAAACGATAGACTTGCTTTCTATTTTGAACTTATCCACCTGTGATTTCGTTTTAGATTTGCTCGGTAACGATATTATTTTCCCCCTCGGCATGGAGGCGAGGCTGATACCAGATGCCAGTGTTACAGTCTCAAGTGCAGTTGTTGGCGCACCAGGAGGTTTTGGTCGCCTTAACAAGAATGGGAATCCTTGGTGTGCGTTGGACACTGATGAGAATCCATATTTTCAAGTCGACCTTGGCAGGTTGACAAGAATTTGCGCAGTAGCCACACAAGGACGAGGGAAAGATACATCGTATTTACAATACCCCGAGGTCTTCTGGCTGCAAATGACAAACAATAGTGTTAACTGGACCACCTTACAGCACCACGATCAGATAAAGGTGATTTATTTTAACACTTCTCTCTTCTCTGAAGAGGTCGTACAGTACAACTGCTGATAATAGGGGATATGTAGGAGCACCTACCGTGCATATTTCCGATATTCCCTGCTATGCTTTCCATATCCGAGGCAACTATCCTCAAGAAATCGCATTTTCTTTCTCCTTCTGCGTGACTTTTATACTCCTAACCTCCCGACCTCTCTTTTTTAGTATTTTCGTGCAAACTACGACAACTACGGTGTGGTAATAAACCGATTTCCCCAACCGGAAATAGCTCAGATGATTCGCATCAATATCCTGAAATATTTTGGCGCTAAACTTTGCATGAGAATTGAGCTTTTTGGTTGTAGCACAGGTAAGATAAATATTATAATATACACTTTAGCTGTAGAAATCTCCATCAAATGTGGTATAACAGAACTTTGGCCGGAGAGTTAACATGCTTTATAAAGCTTAGTCACACTTGGTCAAGCTCGATTTGAAACGGGCAAATCTCACATAAACAATTTAACAACAAAAATTCCAAGCCAGCATTTTGGTTCCTCGATAGGATGTTCCATGCACGAAATCAAAGTTTTCAAACCAAGCCAATTCTAAAGTTCCAATTTTATCCTATTTATTAGTAATTCTGATTCCGTTGTCCAAGGGCTGGTTGCAAATCAGCATTATCCACCTTTTAGAACAACCGTCTCCAGGCATCTTAGGCTGCGTTCAGACTGAGTGCCCAGCACCAGTGCCCAAAGTCAAAACTGGTTCATAAAACATGCTGAGCATAGTAACTTTGTTGAGACAACCGTTCTTGGACACCCTGACCAATTTCATTTGGAAACATCATGTTCAATTTAGGCACCAGAAAAAGTGCCAGGCGCTCAGTCTGAACGCAACCTTACACTTATACAACATGTGGTCTGACTAGAATACATTTCGATGTTTGGACTTTATATATACACTCTCTTAAACACAACATTAATACCTCGTTTTAGGGCCCAGCGAGAAACAGAATATCGACCCCGTTCTGCCGCCTAAAAGCATTCCGGGTAAGCGTATGCATGGAATTAGATGCTGTAATTTCTTTTACACATGTGAGCTCGTTACTGTGTTTACCACCATGAGAAGGCGTGGGGTATTCATGTGCGGTGGGTATAGCATATGAGTAAGTTTATTGTGAAAAACAAGGAGGAATTTCGTTTTAATTAAACTAATCGGCAAATTTGTTTGCATTTTTCAGGCAAAGCACATTTAATTTAGGGAGATTAGGCCCTGTAAGAGTTAAGAGATAAAGCATTTGAGAAAGGAATAAGCCTTTTAGAGTTGACGAGAGTGTATTTTGAGGGAACGACTTGGCCTTGTAGAAGAGGGTGTATTTGAATTGGTATAGCCATTAACTTGTTAAAATTTCATTTTTCTCTACAGAAGATACGCCACGAAGCTGTCTTGATGTTCTCATGCGAGGTAAAACATCGGACGGTGTCTACATGATAGATCCTGACGGGAGAGGTGCTTTTCCAGCCTTTTGCGATCAGTCGACAGATGGTGGTGGTTGGACGGTATTTCAAAACCGTTTTGATGGCTCTGTTGACTTCAACAGGATCTGGGATGAATACAAATGGGGCTTCGGGGATTCGTATGGAGAACATTGGCTTGGATTGGAGTACATCTCAAGGATAACACATGCCTACGCAGTTGATTTACAGGTGAATTTGAAATCCGCTCATGGGTACTACCTGGTGAATAATTTTCATCGATTTACCATCAGCGATGAAGCGAGTGGCTATACATTGAGTTATAGCTCTCGCCATGGAGCAAAGAGTGATTCACTTGATGTGCAAAAAAATAGGAAGTAAGCAATACATATTTTTCATATACGTCAGTTAGAACTTGGAAACGGCTCGTTTCACTAATACTAGCCTCTAGAAGGCCTTCCTTCAAAAGATCGTCATAAAAATTTCCACATCCTGGGCAGACTAGGGAACAATGTTCTTGTATATTTGCATGGTGACAGTCGATAAGTAAAGTATAATAAGATAAGTTAAGATAAGTAAAGTAAATTCATTAGTTAAGTCGATAAGTATTTATATACTACAGGCTAAATTACTTTAGGAAGCATTTATTTTTGTTCAAATAAAAAAATTCTTGCGCAGTAAATATATCCAGTTTTGCTATAGCAAATAATTCGCTTTGCGATGAAAGAGAACCAGCTTTTATCGAATAATCGCTTATCTATTCTTTCAGGTTTGAAACGAAATACAATCACGGACACCACAATAAGCCAGCACTTTATGGAGGGGCCTGGTGGTATGGAAATGCTGGCACGCATTCAAACCTCAATGGAAAATATCAGACTATCCCATCAGTTTATTTATATACAAATATGTTCTGGTATAAATGGGAAAATTTTATAAGCATGGTAACCACGAGAATGATGTTGAGAGAAGGCAGTTCAAGTAAGAGTCAGTTGAACGAAGTTGTTTTTTTTTGTTGTTATCGTTTCTTGCTTCCGTGAGAGAATTGAAAATCATGCTTGTGAAAAGTATTATAAAACAGAGCATGTCGATTGCAGTTATCTAGATAATGACTTGTATCAAAAGTCAATTAGTACAGTCCGGAGAATGAATTGTTGGCGTCATGTCAAGAGGTTTTCCCTCGTCAGTTTAACTCAATGAAGAAAACCTAAGTTTTGAATTGTCTGTTATGGCGCATCAATTTAGTGAGAACTGACTTTCTTTTGATTAGTTTTGCTCAACAAAGCAGTACGTGCTACCCTGTTGCTCAACAAAGGCACAATATAAAAAACTGTCTAGTTTTACCATAATAATAAATATCCTTATTGTCTTGAGTAAATGGTATAAAGTTATGAAAATCCTTTTTTTAAAAAAAATGTCATGTTTTTTTTATCTCTAGTTTAAATTCAATAAAACTAAACTTAAATTACTCCAACCTGAATTCCATCCATCAATATCACTTTTTTTATGCATATGCGCCTTGATTGTTTTGGTCTTCGCCGGGTTTTGTCTGATTCCTAGGGATGTTATTTTGAGCAAATTAGATGAAAAGGTATTTCTTTCTACAGGTATTGGATCCGCTCTTGGACTGGAATATCACCAGGTCATACAAGATTATCAAATAAAGTCGTCGTTCGTCGACAATACTAGGCCACCAACTGCAGGAAGGCTGAACCATGCTAGTTTTTGGTCGGGGTCTGATACGGCTGGGCAATTTCTATCCGTCAATTTCATTTCTCCTCGACGTATAACCCACATCTCGACCCAAGGTGGAAGTGATTTAAAATATGTGGATTTGTTTTCCGTAAAGTTTAGGAATCTTGATGGTTCGATTGCTTCTTATGAAGAAAATGGAAAAGAAAAGGTTGGTGTAATACTCAAGTTTTTGTACACTGTGCTGTAAACAGTCTGCACTACACTGGACTGCACTCACTGTCATACAATACACTGTGCTGTAAACTGTGTGCACTACACTGGACTGCATTATTCACTGTCATACAATACACTGTGCTGTAAACTGTGTGCACTACACTGGACTGCACTATTCCCCGTCATACAATACACTGTGCTGTAAACTGTGTGCACTACACTGGACTGCACTATTCACTGTCATACAATACACTGTGCTGTAAACTGTGTGCACTACACTGGACTGCACTATTCCCCGTCATACAATACACTGTGCTGTAAACTGTGTGCACTACACTGGACTGCACTATTCACTGTCATACAATACTATTTTACCACACTGCACCTTCCTTGTGTAGCAATATCATAATGATTGGCTTTTTTCAGAAATTCGAAGGCAACAACGTTGCATCAGTGGCAAATGCAAGTGCAATCGTATCGAATTGCTTCAAAGAACCAGTGGAAGCTACAGAGATATTTGTTTATGCATTATCCTGTAAAGGAGGTGGCTGTTCTCTCAGAATGGAGTTATACGCTTGCGAAAACAGTAAGTTCATCGTAGTTACCACACGGTAGAATTCTCCAAAATTGTTTTTTGGCTATGGTGGTGGGTAAAAAGCTTGCTCAGTATTTCTAACCTATACATGGCTAATCTAATCTTTACTATACATGCATGTGCCCAGTAAATTTGATAAAGTTCTTTCTCAGGGACCGGTTGTTCAAATCTAGGTTAGCGCTAACTTTGGGTTAGATTATATTCCGAAGAGTTTTAGTTTACGTGCTTTTGAACCGCTGTTCGTTGTAAAACGTTTAGAAAATATTTAGACTTCTATCGGTCCTGAAATTATTTATGACAAAATTATTATCAACAAGAGGTTACAAAATTAATGTAAAGATTTGCTTTAACCCTGGGTTAAGCTAACAGGCTTTTGAACTGTTGGCGGCCCCATGCAGGAATCTTTAAATGCACCACCAGAGCGGAGTGATTTTCTTTCCGCAAAGCGTACCGGATTGCCCCATTCTTGTGTAACTGCAACGCATATCTGATATGGAAAGTAATTTGGTACACTACTAATCTGGTATCGTGTAACTGCGCCAAAGTGATACCATTCTAATATTTTGGCTTTTTTAGCTTGTTCTGCCCCAATTGGAATTCAATCTAGTCTTCCCTTGGACAAACTTTCCTCTTCGGAATCGACTTCACCTATGGATGATTTGCGTCTGTTTACATCAACCCCACCTTGGAAAGGTGTCCACTCAAGCGGCAGTAAATATGTTGAAGCAAAGTTTCCCGAGCTCTTTAAGGTTACCACAATAGCAACACAAGGCGGTGAATACGTTGATGGCAGTGTTAAAGGGAGCTGTTATGTGTTAAACTATTATCTTATGTATTTAAACGAGCAAATGAAGTGGGTCACCTATGGTGGACGGAAGCCGAAGGTACATACTTTATTGCATGTCGGTTCATGTTCATAGCACGTGATTGCATGTCGGTTCATTGCACGTGATTGCATTGGCGGATAATGATCATAGCAAGTAATAATAATTGTTCATGTCTTTAGAAATTTATTGTTTTCACAGTCAATGAACACTGAAATATTAGCATAGCAGGACAAATTGTCAGGCTGGCTACGCTACTATAAAAACTCGTGTTGATTTTCAGTCTGCGTAGTGCACGTTTCTGATTGGTCAATGGCACTCAGTTGACCAATCGCAAACCACGTCACAGCACCGAACTAAACGTCCATACACTCAAACATTCTCGGGTCTTTTTCTAGATTTTAAACGGGAACAGAAATCGCCGCTCAATTGTGAAAAATAAGCTTGAATCACCCTTTCTGGCCCATGCTGTACGCGTCGTTAGAGTGAAGGCTTTTAAACGGACATGTCTAAAAATGGAGGTTTATGGATGCTATCCAGGTTAGGTTTAAACAAAACGCTTCAGCTTGAACAATCAAATAAAATAAGTTAAATAAAAAAATCAGTTCTTGGCCTAAAAAATTATTGGGCTTGATAATCACTTGATACATTATGCCTCATTCAATGTGGTTAACGCATTTCCTGCACAACTGTCCCTAGAAATATAGTTCAACTTATATACCTGTGTTTAATAGATAATACATCTGTCTTTAATCTTTTATCTGTCTTTAATAGATAATCCTTCCATTGTTCTCCACACCGAGACGTTAGTTCCTGGTGAAGATTCAAAAATTACAGGTGTGTGCACGATGGCGTGTGTCTGTCTGTTTTAAATGTGTATAACTAACTAACTATACCTTTGAGCAACAGGCCCATAACAGGAACAAGCGTTTATCAAGTGTCTTTCTCCCCCTTAACAGGCCGATACCGTTATTGCCCAGACTGCGATAAGTGTCCTGGTTGTATAAAAAGCATATGTCTTCGGGTCTTTGATAAGAAGTATCCTGTGGCTGAATACTTTGCCCACGATTGCAATTATCAAAACTTTGATATCCAGGTTAAAACCTCCGTGACACCTGGGCGGCACAGAGTTTACGTAAGTGACGATGAGTATGTTATCTGATGTACACTTTCAAAATTGATTATTTTTTCAACAGCTTCCACGAGATTTTTTTAAGAACTATTTTTGAATGTATTCACCGAGGTAATGACTGACTGATCAGCATAAATAAACCAGGGGTCATTATTCACTGGATAACGATTTTCTCAAATAAACTGCAACTCGTTATCAGAATTTTTGAAATTTTGTTTTGGGAAATGCTTTGATTTAGTTGATCGAAAGTGAGTACGCAAATTGTCAAACAAATAAAGCTGCTAACGACGAACGACTTGTTGGAAGTATATATGTGAGGAAAGGTAAGAAACATATCTATTTGATTTTTCTTAGTTGGATCTATTGTGTCGTGAAATTTTATTGAATTATGAAATTTTATTCAATTGATATTATCCCCTTGGCTTTGCGGAGCATGCAATAAAGGACGTGTGCATGCCTTTCATTTTTCCGGAAGTTGCTTTAACATGGCCAATGATGTGTTTCTTTCAACTTTGCTTTCTGTATATAGAGAAAATCTACGACATTTCTGAGCAAATTACTGTAAATTGTTTGTATAATTATTGTGTTATACAGTCAAAAAACTGACGATAAACCACTATGTATTTATCTAAACGGCGTGATGTCTTAGAGAGGAGATAACCTTCGCTGATGATCGTTTCTACCTTTAGAACCCTCGAACTGCCTCGAGTTACTGTTGGCCGGAAAAACGGACAGCGGAAAATATTTCATCGACCCTGATGGAAAGGGTTCATTCGAGGTAAGTAAAAATTTTCAGTCTTGTCGTTGGTCGTATATTAGCGAGGTTCAGATTTAACTGTTAGCACCACCTTGGTCTTGGAGGAAACATCAACCAATCAAATGTGATCATTATATCAGATTAACCAATCAAATGTGATCATTATATCAGATTAACCAATCACGAGCGGAATATGTCAACCAAAGGTAACGTTTGTGGAAATCAAAACTGAACCTTGCTATATCGTCTTGCATATCACACAAACTCTTGCATCATTCCTCTATTTCCTTCATCATCGTGTGATCTTAATTCGTAAAAACCAGTTATTTTCGCAATCCCTAAAAATGAGCCGCGTCCGGCCAAAAATAGATACAAAGCTACTGAATGGGTCTCAGTAATCTTCCACTGATCCCAATCTATCTATTTCAACTATCATATACGTTTGCACAAGGTGTACTGTGACCAATCGCTGTTTGGAGGTGGCTGGACTGTTTTTCAAACACGCGAAACAGACTCGCCAATTTTTGAACCCAACACTTGGTTAAAGTACAAGTCTGGTTTCGGGGAGCTTGATGGCGACTTTTGGCTTGGTAATGAAATGATACACAGATTGACCACTGAAAAACAAGAACTTTCACTAGAGTTGCAGGCGAATACCCAGGATGATGTAGATTTTGTGCTCTATAAATCTTTTCAAGTTTCCAATGAGGAAGATGGATATAGATTGCACGTGGCGGAGTATGAACCTGGTAGTCCTGCTGGTAAGTCAGTCGTCCATTTGATCGCTTCTTCTACCAGGGTCTATTACTGATATTAGATATTATTATTGATATTAGATATTACTGATATTATTAGATACATGTAGATACCAGTATCTACCAGCATCTTACCAGTCGATTCTTTTACCAGTGTTGGTCAGTGTCAGTTGCGAAAGGTTGTTTGTGCATGGTCTGTCGGTACCGGTAGTTAATTTGGTATCGTAGTTGGTTAAGTCAAAGCATTCATATATATGCATTTATATTCATGTATACCTTTCTCAGGGGACTGCTTGCTATTGTATGACGGAGTGAAGTTTTCAAGTAAAGACAAAAACCATGATACTCCCGGGTGTAAACGGGGCTTTGGTTGGTGGTTTAAAGGTTGCAGTTCCTGTAGACTGAATGGGTTAACTGACCCATCGCAAACAAAGCCTGAGCGAATGAAATACATTTCATGGAGTAATAAGGCGTACCTTAAAAGGGCTAAAATGAAAGTCCGCGCTAGAGAAAGTAAGTAGTTATTTTGTTATTGGACTTAAAAATGCTGCTTCCCTCTTGTGGAAAAAGTCCAAATCATTCATTCTTTTATGCTTAATTCGTGTACGATCTGATTAACAATACGTGTTGTCATTGATCCGATAATACACTGAATAAAGCAAGTATATACCAAGGTCAAAAACGAAGAAATGTTTCGGAGAATTGTTTAAAAGGAATGAAGACATCAAGCGATATCTCTGAATGTAACAATGTATATTAATGGTTTGCACGTAGTGTGCACAACGTTCAAAATTGTGAGCCCAAATCATTGCCCGAAATGAAGGTTTTCCTTGCTTTGAGATCCTCGACAGTCCTTGAATTGATTTTTTGATGAATTGGAATAGACTGACATCATGGATTATTCTTTCTTACCCAATGGCTTCGTTTCCATAATTTAAATTTATTCTAGCATGCCAGAGGAATAGACATATTCCATGATTTTTCTTTGAACGAATTTGCTTCTTCAAAATCTTGATAACAAAGCATTATTCATTGAAACGTACTGACGAAGCCTTACTTTGATATATTCTAGCGGTTTTCTGCAATGAACATTACTGTTATTACCTGCTAAAAACGTGGAAGAATTGGTTTGAAGCAAGTCCGGAATGCCGAAGATTTAATTCCGATCTCGTATCCATCCGTGATGCCACAGAAAATGAATGGATAAGAAAGAAGATCCTCACGAAACTAGCTGTGGAGAAGGTTCACATTGGTACGTACAAAGCAGGATATTTGACAATTATACCACGAGATCCAGTTGTATATATAATCTGATAGCCATGAAGGCGAACCTGGGTATAATAACGAAACGTGCAAATTTTTATAAAATTCCTAGTCAGTAGCTATATGTTATAATGAAACTTTTACCAAAAGCCTTGGCTAGTATTTTCGTCCGGATTTAGTGCAGCGACTGAAAACATGGTTCGCATCATAGTTCAGTGCTTTTAATCTTGTAAATGATTTTATGTTTGAAGGACTGAAAAATACGTCGTGGCTCGATGGTGGCTCTTTTGAGTTTCACAATTTCTCAAGCAATATGCAAAGTGAATTGTGTCCAGTTTTAAACAGCGACGGAAGCTGGCGATATCATGACTGTGCCTTAAAAGCACGTATTCTTTGCAAAAGAGGTACGTTCGTTTGCAGTCTCACCGCCCACGATCAAGTTATTGCATTTTATTCGTGTTATTAGACCTTAGCTCTAGCTCAGCTGATAAGATCGCTTTCTACGATTTTATATGGGATTTTCTTCTTTTGGTAGATGTGAACGAGTAGTAAGTTACGAATGATCTGGTGTATATGAGTTCCTATTTGAACATCCGTAACTAATTCACTCGTTCACATCCATAAAAAGTAGAAAATCGCACATTAAATCCCAGCAAAAATTGCAAGTGTAAACGGGCCTTTAGTCGACTTAACCACGTTCGTATTTATCGTCATGAATAGGTAAATGGTGTTACAGAAATAGATGTCATCTCTATACAGATAATTTCGTCGATATCGACAAAAACGTGAAATATTGCCAGGACATTGGATACAAGTTGTCAAAGATTAGAAACGAGGAGGAGATGGAGTATCTCAAAATGATCAACTTTGCTTCCACTGACGGCTCTTCCTGGCGGGAAGTGTATTTTAGTAAGTCTGAGTAGTGATAACTGGCAGGTTGGATAAACTTCAACCTTCAACGGCATCACGATTCATCATGATTCTAAGAAAGAAAGATAAGTGTCCTGCATATTTCATCCTGCTTTTTGCACGCGGTGCTGCGCTGCGACGCGCCAGAACAAGATTAAAAACTCTTTTATATATGACCCCTCCTAACCGCTGTCGTCAAGTGAAACTCTACCTCCTTCCAATCAGAACTCCCTCCTAAATTCTGTAGTCTTTCGTCGTCAAGTGAATCCCCACCTCCTCCAACGAGAACTCTTCTAAATTATGTAGTCTCTCGTCAATGAGACCCTTAAACCCCGTCGTTCTCTCTCAAAAGATATATTGCATGGTTAAGTCGGCCCCGGAGATGCTTGGAAGCTTATCAGGACGGGAAAATATGGTTTAAGGCGCCTCTTTACGAGTTCCTTGATACATGTTGTTATATTTAGGTTTAAGTTTGGATTCTCTTCGTCAACCCTACTGGCGCGACGGGAAGAAAGTGCGCTCGACATTTTGGAGGGGGAATGAGCCCGACGAAGTTAGCAAAAAATGTGGAAAACTTTGGAGTGATGGTTGGGCAGACGCAGTCTGTAATTGGGGAGGGAATGCGATTTGTGAAAAAGGTATAGTGTTGTTGAGGGATGAGGAACAAAATCTGATCGTGTACGCGGACCTTAAGGATGTCAACCATCATTACACTCGTGTTTCCTCTAAACACGAGAGCTAAATACGTGATAACGCGGAGAGATAATAGCAATAATCTTGAGGTTCTGGAAAGTTATTCCAGACAGATCAGTTAAATCTTCAGTTATCAAAAACATTACCCTTGCTTTCAATTTTCTGGAAGAGATTTTGAGAAGACGTTCTTTTTTCATGTCCTTTGTAAAACATATTAAACAATTATCCAGTTGCTTCCAGTCAGAACACAGGTATACTGTTATTTTATAATTATATTTGCTTTCAGTTTACAAAGAGCATCCATTGGATTGTTTGGACCTGTTACTGTCTGGCGGAACAACCAGTGGTATCTACACTGTCGATCCTGACGGCATGGAACCCATCAAGGTGTTCTGTGACCAGGAAACATTCGGAGGGGGGTGGACAGTTCTTTTGAGACGGATCGACAACTCTCTTAACTTTACGGATAAAGGATGGGAAGATTACAAAAATGGTTTTGGTGCACTGGGAAACAACTTTTGGCTTGGAAATGATAATAACCACAGACTTACTAAGGTGAATCAGAGAATAGTATTGTAATACTATCAATATAAGAACTAATATAACCAGGGAGCAGCGTCGCAGCGTCTTCAAAAAACCTAGCATAACGAAGGCCCTCAGGTCGAAACGTCGAGAAGAGCTATAATATAATAACTAACCTTTCGCTAGGTTTTTATTTGACTCTTAGTGGGATATTCCATATTACCAACCTAGGATAAAATCTCGAACCTTGTTATTTATTCAGTCAGCATATCAAAGAAAGATCACATCATTAATTGACCCATGTTCCAGTTTAAGTCACCTATAAAGCATTACTATCATATATATGTTTCATAGTAATGTGTCACATATCATATAATGTAATATGTTGTAAATCTTTATCACAAAATCTATGTCATCACCAAGTCTTCCTTTTTCCTATCAGCTTAAGCAAGAAGTCCTGTTCGATCTGGAATCCGATAACGGGGACAATGGTTTTGCTTTGTACAAAACGTTCCAAGTTGCCGATGAAGAGAACCTGTACAATTTAACAATCAAAGAATACCAAACATCATATATTGGCGATGCAATGGCGGACAATAATCTAATGGCATTCTCGACTAAGGATAGAGATAATGATAAGAGTTCTGACGATAACTGTGCTTTAGAAAGACTCAGTGGTTGGTGGTTTAATTCTTGTACGCAAGCACTTCTCACAGGTCAATATTTGTTTAGTGAAGCTAGTAAGATGATCTCTTGGAAAACATGGGCCTCAAACCATGGAATTAAGACAGCGGATATGAAAATTCGTAGCTCATCTGGTAAGGAAATATACAAGGCCTATTTTAGCATGCTTGCATGGGCCAGTTATGCGACAGCTCGATAGCGCTATCCATTCATTGGATAGTTTTTTTTCCAATCCCTCTAAAATTGCACGTTGTTCGGTAAAATCTGAACAGAATTTAGGATGTCCCCGATTTTCGGTTTTAAATCTATATTTTGATTCTGTTATATTCCATTTTTTTTTGTTTTTCTAAGCTAAAGTTGCCTGAGGTGATCATTGATAATACTTTTAATTGTGATAAAATTCCAATGTAATCTCGTGAGTACTGTAATCAAAATATTTATCATCCAGGCACATACTCACTCCAGTTATACTCATTCTCGTTTCAGCGGTCACCTGCAATGACAAATTCTGCTACTACTTGACGTACACAAAGAAAACGTGGCGCGAGGCTCTTCGGGAATGTCGAAATTTCAACGCAGAATTACTTTCCATTCATTCCGAAGAGGAAAATGTTTTGATTTCAGGCTTTATTCAACCCCAAGCTATCGACTCTGTGCATTTAGGTTAGTATAGCGGTCCCTATGGAGCCTTCGAACTTACCTTTCTTTGTTCAGGGTATAGGTGCTACATCCAGTGTTATCAGATCTGTGTACCAACAGGCATTCACGGAATTCTTTCTTTCTATTTTCCTAGGACTGATCGCATCTGATTACTGGAGCGATGGCAGTCCCGCGAAATTTAGCAAACTTTCTGCTTCGCTTCCTACCGGATCATGCGGCTCGTTGGAGCCAAATGTTAACAACTGGCAAGTGGATGATTGTAATGAACCCAAGCGTGTTGTTTGCAAGAGAGGTATGTTCACTAGAGAAAAAACCATGGGGTTACTCAATGTTGAGGCTACCGCAATGGTTAGATTGTTAGTGGTACCGTTAACGTGCAGGGTACTTAATCAATTCGTGCTTTTAGAAAAATTCTAAAGTTGGAGTTAGACTAGTTATTTGCTGAACTAGTCGAAGTTTTGTGATAATATTTAGTTATAAGAGCTATAGCTGTGACAGAGGTTTAAAATCGAAATAAAGTTGCTCTAACCGAGAGATGGATTGTTATTTGACAACTAGGTATTGTCCTGGTTCTTTCTGGCCATTTTAGAGCACCAGTACTAGTCATAGCGCATGTCATTGGCTGAAAAGAAAGCTGATATAATGGTCTGTTATCTAATATCACCACCTTAGTGGATTTGGATGACCAGAACCAGAAGCTAATATTCTTTTATATTTCGTCTTTCAGGAAAGCATTGTTTTAAAGGAGATTGTTATTTCTCTGCTCCTGTATCGACTCCTGCACCGGTTTGGTCATTGTGTGAAACGTATGGTTGGAAGCCAGTTAAAGTCTCCAGTCGAGATGAGAAGGAATATTTGTTGAAACTCGTTAGAGAATATACGGCTGATAATTCATTTCCTTGGCCAGTCAATGGTAAATTGATCCTTTCCCTGCCTCACCTTGCCTCACCTCACCTCACGTCACCCTACCTTACCTCACCTCACCTCACGTCACCTCACCCTACCTTACCTCACGTCATATTACCTTACCTCGCCTCATATTACCTTACCTCACCTCACCCTACCTCACCTCACCCTACCCTACCTCACCCTACCTCACCTCACCCTACATACCTCACCCCACCTTACCTCACCCTACCTTACCTCACCTCACCTCACCCTACCTCATCTCACCTCACCCTACCTCACCTCACCTTACCTCACCCTACCTTACCTCACCTCACCCTACCTTACCTCACCTCACCCTACCTCACCTCACCTTACCTCACCTCACCCTACTTTACCTCATCTCACCTTACCTTACTTTACCTCACCAGTTCAATTTGTGATCAATATATATAATGAAAATGCTTGCTCGTTTTTTTAGGTCTAGTTTATAGCTCCTCAGATCAGGACAGGGTGTGGCCTGATGGCACCATGTTAAGATATAATGATTGGTGCTGTGGCGAACCTAACGGTGGGGGAGGGGGTGAAATTTATTCCTGTTTTAGTACCGCAGGATTTTATGACGTTCCGACTGCTCACCAGTGTGTACCATTCTGTGAGAAAGGTGAGAAATATTTTTTGTTTAAAGTTTTCTTATATGACACAATATCAAACCAAATGAAACTAAACTATGCATCACTGTGATACACCGCATCTTACTGCATGGCATCAACCCAGTCTTACCTTTAGGCCGTGTTACACGCTGCATTTTTCCTTGTAAGACAGTGTAATCAATTGCTATAGTTCATTCTGTTTTACCTGTCAACCAATACCAAAGCTTCCGTTCGTACATAGGTACGTACCGACCCAGAGCTTTCGAAACATATGTATAAGAAAAGTTTCGTAGTTGCGAAATTTACATCACTCAAAAGTAAATCAACACTAGAAGTTGCAAAAATTTGATAGGACTTTATATTGTGTTGTTTTATCTTCCTGAAAATCCCTCCTGATCGACTCACTACGTGCACAATTTGGCGTTCAATTATAGCTCCTACCATCAAATTCTGTAACGAAGTCAAACAGAAATACGACCGCTCTGATAGCGGTGTATATGCTTACGAGGGCAAAGACTCGAAGACCTTCGGAGTTCACTGCGAACTTGGGTCAAACGATGGTCCCTGGCTTGTATTTCAACGTAGAGTTGAGAAGGAACCCCCCACTGATTTTGCAACCCAATCGTGGACTTCATTTAAGAATGGTTTTGGCACCAAGGAAAGTAATTTCTGGCTAGGAAACCAGTATATTCACGAGATCACATGGAACAATCCACACAGACTCAAAATTGTCATATATTCATCGGATTTTAATGTTTACGAAGCTATTTATGAGGACTTCTACCTCGGAGCTGAAGATTCAGGATATGTCATAAACTTTGGCGCTTATTCAGGTATGACTTGATAGATTGTTTTCGCATTAGGGTTAAGACAAGTTTTTATAGATTAGTACCGCAGTATAAAGAGAGAACTGCAGGGCTGTAATTTTATACTTATCAGTTACTGGCTGCTGTAAGTCAGCTCAGAGTTCTGATTAGCTGGAAAATGCTGTGAACGTTGTAATGCCAAGCATAAAAAGGATTGTAAGAACTCTTGTAGATGTACCATTTCCCTATTTCTGGTACCTCTCAGTACTAATACACAGAAGCTATAGAACAGGGAAATATCAAGTGCGAGACCAACCGTTGACGACAATGCCGGCATCATCCTTCTGTAAAAGTCTTAACTTAGCATTCAGATTTTCCTCGTTGTAGGCAATGCAGGTGATGCGCTCTCGAGGCATCGTGGGATGCAGTTCTCAGCTACTGGAGATGATCGCAGTGCCTCAGGTTGCACAACATCACATCCTGGTGGTTGGTGGTTTGAGAACTGTCTGGATTCCAATCTTAACGGAATATTCACAGAACCAAGCAATGCCGAGGGCAAAATATTCTGGAGAACTATCAGGGCTAATATTCTTAAGACAGAAATGAAAATACAACCATACGATACAAAAAGTAAGCGATTCACAAATCTCAGATAAACTACGAAGTTTTGATTGGTTCGTTTGTTTTGTCGAGCCAATCAAACTTCATGTAATATCAGACTTTCTGCGTCTGACGTCACTTTGAGAAAGGACAATATAATGACGTTATCGTCTTTAAGGTTCTCGGGTAGCACAAACAGTTCAAGGACAAACCACTTCGCTAAGCCTGACTTCAAAGCAGGACTGGATGGAGGTTAACCTACAAACACCATCGCAACAATGGATCGCCCATGTTCTTCATCCGGGGCCTTTCCCGACGCACGTGTCCATCACATGGGAGGAGAGTGCGTGTCTAAGATATTACGAAAACGGGATAATGCTTGCCGAAGTCCCTGCAATGCTCCACGAACGGCCTGGATACCAATACACGTCTCTTTCTGTGTTCGTTGATCTGCCGTATTTATGGTTACAACGAATGAAATTGTGGAATGAAAAGATATCGTCATCGGATGCTTATAGTGAATACGGCATGAGTAAGTTTTACAATACTACATCAATACGTTTTTTGTATAGAAAAGTACATTTCTCAGGCCTAGATTAAACGTTGCATTTGGTCACGTCGAATACAATTCACATGCGATAGATCATATGATGATAAACCTTATTAAGCTTCATGATCATCTCATAATCTATTGTTCGAATTGCATTGACGCGACCAAATAGTGTGAGGTATAACCTAGGCCTCGGATATCTTTCTCTTCGGCCTTTTTCCCCATGAAGAAGACAGCGATATTCTGTTGCTTTTCAACACCTATACTTTGTCATTTTTAGCGGAAATCACATTCGACAATGAGGAAGGATTGGAATGGATACACAATAGAACCTCAAACTACGTCTGGGAGATTCGACAAACGTGCACACCAAGTAACAAAACCGGAGCTTGTGGTGACCATACCTACCACAGAAATACAGGTCAGCAGGGTTTCAGGCTTTTGCCAATTGCTTCTCTTATCTTCAGTTACATTTTTCTGTAGTTTGTAAAACTTCGGATATATTGTTGCCAGAATTCAACAATGAAAGCAATGCTGTTTGTATTCCTTATTGAGGTCGAAAAAATACAATTTTTCAGTTTAGTGTTACTTGAAAAGGATTAAGATTTCAAAACTAGCTTGTCTGCTATTCCCATCAGTTCTAAACCTTTCGCCTCAGATAAACTTTAATAAGTTTACTAGTTCAACTAGTAAATCAGCTTGTAGGTACACCACGTAAGTATTTATTACTGCAAACCTTTTGGTCCGTTAACCCGGGCCTTCATCAGTGCAATCATTCATCTCATAAATATTTTATTCTCGCAGGTTCTTTTTTCAACACCGAAGCATCATGGCCAGCATATCCTGAGGACGTAGCAGTCATTGAAAGTCCCACCTTTTCATATCATTACAAATGCCTTTTATTTTGGTATCATTTATACGGTCGAAGGATGGGGACATTGAGTGTTTATGCGAAAACGAACAGCCACAAACGCATGCTTCTTGTTGAGATTAAGGGGGATATCGGAAACGAATGGAGATCGATGCAGGTTGATCTTGAAATAACCGAAGTGTTTAAGGTAACTCTCTTAAATGACTATCTTGAATGTGGATGGAAGTTAGATTTATGATTTTTCTGCAGATCAGCGCCTTCAACGTCCAAATTTATATACTGCATTTAGATAATATTTGAAGCAACACGAGGTGAAGGGTATCAAAGTGATGCTGCTATTGATGATATTTCTCTGACGATAGAAATCTGCAAAAAAGGCAAGTTTTTCAATATTGTCTTCGTTGATTAGCAAATGGTTGCTGAATTGCTGACTAGTCACAATAGCATTGTCCAACAGTTATTTTTCATTTTTTCTTGTTCTCTCTTTCTTTCCGAATATTAAACACTGATTTTTTTTCAAAAGAACTGTTTGGCTCATTTTTTCAGAATGTGATCCTCCATGTGATCCTGGAAAGAAATGCAATTATTCTTCTCTGCAATGTGTATATGACGGTATGCCTTTCATAATGTTCATCCACGTCTCCTGTTTACCCTATGTTACCCTCACAGGGATCAGATGGGGATATTTAGAGACATAGAAAATGTATACACTTGCATATATGCACTATAGCGTATTTGTTTTAGCACCGCCACGGGTATTAGAATGGAATATTTAATTGTCATTCTGCTTACAACTTACTCTGTCCTTTCCTTGAATGGTGCCAAGATTCATGAACAGCCCTTCCAAGTTTCTTCTCAATTTTTCTTCCAATTATATAGGAATTTATGATCACCTTTGGTCTATGGACAGCTCGATAAAACTTTTCGATGATAAGAGAGCCTTTCAATCGTCTGTTTCCAACCTAATTCAGATACCTGGGGTGGTACATAATGCCGTTGAATACGGCTCAGGCGGACTCGCTGTTTTTAGCGATAAATGCTTTATGGGTATTTGTTTTCCAAAGTACACTCTATCCTTTTGGTTTAAGTACGATTCCTGGTCAAACAACGGCGATAACATTCTTCTTTCCTTTGGTGAATATTTTAAATGTTTTCATCGAGCTGGTGTTCCCGAGGATCACTTGATTGTGTCGACGTTTGTTGGTTTGACAAGATGCGAATTTGAAATATTTGCCCCGGCAAAAATATGGAATCATCTTATTTTTGTTGTCGGTGACGATGGAAACTTTACAATTTATCGTAACGGACAGGAGGTGACAAATTTCACTACCGCTTGCACTGAAAACCAGTACGGTCCCACTTCGTTATTAGGTGCTACTAATGTGATGCTTGGAACGGGCGCAATATTTGCGAGAAATTTTGCCATCGATGACTTGAGATTATTGTTTGATGCGCTTTCTGTGGAGGACACACTAGAGAATTACAAGATAATCACAGGTTTGATCTTTATCTAAACTGGTGATGTCATATCACATGACGTCATCCTATGCAATCATTTGAGATGACATCATGAAATGTGATGTCGTCAAGCGTGATATCAATCATGGCGCATGACGTTTCAATGGATGGCAATTTTCTTTATAGGACACAATCAAAGCATTTGGTTCCAAGTCAACTTGACGACGATTCCTTGGTCGGAGGAGTTAAGTGATGATGAAAGAGATTTGTTCAAAACTACTGCTCAACATATCAGCGACAAGGTATGTTAGAAATTTAGGGAAAGCTTTTATTTGCGACCTTCTAATCCTTCTCTTGGTCAGATACAAACCACGCCAACTTATTATAGAATACTATCCACACAGATTGTGGGACTACCACATTTGAGATATCTTTCTTCAGGTAGTTCAGACACAAACCACGACAGCTTATTGTAGAATACTACCTACACTGGACCACCATGTTTGAGATATCTTTTTCAAGTAGTTCAGACACAAACCACACAACAGTTTATTGTAGAATATCCCAGATCATTGAGTCACAAACTACGGAAACGTTGTGCCGTCATCTAAGGCGAACATGGCACTGTCTTATGAGCTGAAACTCTTAATGATATCTGTAGGTTATGGCAACATTACGAGAAAGATCTGACATAAAGAGTGTTCATGTGCAAAAATTTAGGTAAGAATCTGCGTTGAACCTTTTATTTCGAATATCTACCAAAACGATTGTAGTACTTAACTGAATATAGTTTATACAAGCATTGCATGGTAGCAATAAGTCTTATCTCGCTTAAGCTCAAGAACGTAATACATATACGTTTATTCATAACAAGCGATGTTTTGTTACAGTCATAAAAGCACTCTCGCTGAAGTGGAAGTTCTCTACGACAAAGTGTCGTACTATGATATACTCTCGTTAGAGGAAGCTATTCTTGTTAACAAAACATGCGATGGCTTAGAAATGTATGGCATTGAAGTGAACTCGACATCTGGTGGGTAACCTGTTTCATTATTTGAATCGATAACATAAATTTGAAAATAATGACACTTTATGTGAGAAATTAATTGTTCACCGCAGAAATTGGTGTTTATGAAGTTTCAACCCGAATATCTAATCATTGTTTTCCAATCAATTGTACATTTCTGTATCGCTATCAAAGAGAATACTATTAACTTTAAAAAGTTCCGTTTTTCTTCTGAATAAATAAAACTTTTATCGTTTATACCTCAATTTCCTAATTGTTCTTGTGTAGATCAGATCAGATGTAAATTTATATTTCCTTTCTCTAATATTCTAGTGCCCAATGTCCCTCCACAAAATTTCACGGCCGTCGCCATAAATACCACAGCTATATCAGTTAGTTGGGCACCGGTGCCTTCTTCAAACCTCAACGGAGTTTTCCAAGGGTACAAGGTGTTGTACAGAAAAACTAATGAGAACAACGGTTATTCAGAATATCTGTCTACAACCATATATGCAGAAAATAATAAAGAACTATTACAGGGCCTTGATATATTCACGAATTATACTTTAAGAGTTCTTGCCTTTACACTCAGTGGGGACGGATTTCCAACTGATCCTCTGATTGCGAGAACATTTGATGCGGAAGGTATGTGAAAAATATTACAGGTTTTATAATAGGGTCAGGGATTTGGGTGATTTTCAGATTACCGATTAATTTGACACAGACATCTTTGTGGCGCGTAAGGTATCGTTGGACAGTTCAATAACAAAAAGTAGTTGTTTTCTAAAGCTCGTTGACTGGGAGACTATAGCCAGTATCATCCAACCGACTTCACCATTTATTGGGAGACGAGTTGATTAACGAACTCAAGGAATTCAATAGCAGAACTGCTCACCTTTGAAAATCTTACCACTGACTGAAGAATAGTATCAAAACAAGGCCCCAAAGCTTGCTATTCTTTCCTTGTTTATCAACAATTACTGCTACTTTCTTTGTTTGTTATAGTTACTGAGAGTCCTAATATGACGGTCACAAACATCAGCTCAACAGCTCTGTATGTAAACTGGACTATGCTACCAAATTCGACAGTGGACTACAGGCAAATGCTTGGCTATAAAATGTTTTATTGGAAAGATGCAGAGGAACCCGAAGTGTTCAATGTGACATTCCCTCCGAATACCAGACAAATGTTGTTTGAAAACTTGGAGAAATGGACAACGTACTGCTTCACAATTGCTGGTTTTAATACCGCTGGGGCAGGACCAAACGATACGCAGTGTGAACGCACGTTTGAAGATGGTAGGTCCAAGCTATACGATTACATTTGTATCACTTCATAACACTGGTTACATTACTATAGTTTACACACAGCATTTACACATGCAAAGATACTCAGTAATGGTTACTTACACAGCATACACACAAGATAGTCAGATGTCTTGGTCATATCCACACAGTGTTGCGAGGAAAGTGCTTACCACGACCGTTAAAAGATAATTTCTTTGATATTTAGCACCAGAACAGGCACCTCTGAACGTGTCAGCAGCACAAGTGACAACATCATCAATACAAATCAAGTGGTTTCCACCACCAAAGTCGGCGGTGCCTGGGATCCTACGTTATTACAACATCAGCTATCGTGTTCTTAATATCAGCGACAGTGAAGTGGTTGAACTGAGTGTGCCTGTCTCCACCACGACGCATTTGATCGAGGGTCTTACTGGTCTTCTGTTGTGTGAAATCAACGTAACAGCTTATACTGTCGATGTTGGACCAGTTCAGACGATCAGAGTAATCACGAATGAAGGAGGTAGGGTCTCTCAGAAATTACGATATACTTGGATGCACAGTTCTTAAAACACTCTAAAATACCAGTAATTTGTCTGTATTGAAATACAACAGGACAAGTCTGGTCGTTTTTACCGTGTAAAGGAAAGCACCCAGAGAAAGCTCTTGCATCCAACATATAGGAAGTGTGAAAGGTTTCGTGCATACAGGAAATGCTTTACATTGTGTGTTTTCTCTAGTTCCATTGGCGGCACCAAACATAACTCTGGTGAACACCAGCTCAACGTCCATCGCAATGAATTGGACAGCGCTTCCTTGGGCATTTCACAACGGCATTTTACTGGGTTACCGCATTTGGTTATTGAAGGAGGAAACAGGCGGCACTTTTTCTCAAACTGAACAAACATTCTCCACTAATGAATTTCACAAACACCTGGTGAACATGTCCAAATGGACAAATTATTGTGTACGAATCGCTGGGTACACTGCCGTTGGTGATGGTTCTCAATCAGCGACACCCGAATGTGCTCGAACGTTTGAGGATGGTAAGTGTTGATTTTGGTGTGCATATGTTTTTGGTTTAGTGATGGAGTGAGATAGATTTGGACTGTGCTGGGTTTTTCCAACTCTTTGATCACATTTACATTTCTTTATTTCCTCTTTCTTCCTGGTATCAGGTGAAGATATAATAGTGAGGCTTCCCTTTCGCGTGAGTTGAATTGAAGTGCAAGGATTTATTCTGATTGGTTAAAGTCATGAGTATGATAAGATATGCTTGATAGTGACATCTTAATATATTGTTAGCATGGTCAAATCTATACTTGAAAGCTATCTTCCCGGATTCTCAATCTTTTTCGTGGAAAAAATTTGGCTTGCAGATCTTTTCTTCTGTCCACCGTGGTTTCGTAAAGTGATGTAAATTGACTAAATCTATCAATCATGTCTATAATTACAAATTTTTTTAACTAGCTCCTGAGGAACCACCAAATAACTTGGTCGCGCAGGATGTAAGCGTAACCACTATCCAGGTGACGTGGAATCCTCCACCAGCTGTCTCAGTTCCGGGTATAATCCGATTCTATAACGTCACGTACCGAAATCTAAACTACACCAGGGAGAATCTGACGGCTCATCAAATTGGCGCGAATGACCGCCCGTTTATGCTGGCCAACCTACATGGATTGACTCTTTATGAGATTAATGTCACGGCTATCACCATTCTCCCTGGTCCGTGGAGAACCCTGCATGTCTTGACTCAGGAAGGAGGTTTGTAACAGGAATAATTGTAAACAATTCGAGAGGGAAAGGTATAAGGCAGTTGTGAACAAGCCTATGTGTTTTTGACCTACAAATATTATCATATACATTGGCTGGGTTTGCGTAGGCTTTCTTTCGGTTTTTCTCCAAGTTACTGCCATATATCTTGGCAAAGTTGGAAATGTGTAGTTGTCAGCTTAAAGTGCATTCTTGGATCAGAAAATTTTATTGTTAATTTAAGGTGTTGTGATTGCTTGCAAAATTTATTTATTTACTTTCTTTTCATCAAAACTCAGAAATATCCATTTTAATCAATATATTATTCAGACTCCACGGAGATTGCTTTGAAATAACCTGTAATACATATATTACTAGTTCCCGTGATCCCTCCGGTTAATATAATGTGGCGAAATTTAAGTTCGACGTCTCTCAATGTATCATGGAATCCACCGCCTCCACATCTGTGCAACGGCATTATCACTGGATATAACGTGTCCGTTTGGAAACGCTCTGAACCGCAAGACGTCACGAATCATACTTTGTCTGCCAGCGAGCAAGTCAAGCTCTTCGAGGGTCTCGAAAAATGGACCTTTTATTGTGGCCAAATTGTCGCGTTTACGAGGATTGGCGAAGGTCCACGATCGCCAGTTGAATGTATTCGGACTTTTGAAGATGGTAATTATTGTTCTTATCTCAATTTTTGCTACGTAAATCCGCTCACACTCGCATTATTTGCAGCGATTTTCTTCTTTTGATAAATGTGAACGAGTAATCAGGAACAATTGATTATTTGAACACCGGTAACTAATTCACTCGTTCACATCTGTCAAAGGAGGAAGGGTAAACGGGAAACTTAAAGCTTCTTGCTTCTCCTTCCTTTTCGTCTATATCTTCTTCAAAGATTTCCTGCCCCTTTCTAGAGCCTGAAGTCTCCCCTCGCAGCATGAATGGAACGAACGCAACCTGGACATCAGTTTATCTTACGTGGGATCCAATCGATCCAACGTTCATTCCTGGTGTATTGAGATCGTACCGAGTGACATATGAAGTACTGGATCCAGAGTATGAGCAATTTAACCACAGCTACGATGGCTCAATATTGGTCGACGCTCAGGCGAACTCTGTCAACCTCACAGGTTTGATAGGGTTGACCAAGTATAAAGTGACAGTGAATGGTCGTACTGTTAAAGATGGACCTATCGTTCAGGTTAATTTAAAAACAGTGGAAGGAGGTGAGACAAGTTGTGATTAGAAGGAAGGTTAGCCCTTAAAAATGAAGTATTCCTCATAGTGTTTATACCTAATGGACTTCATGTGAAAATGTTAGGGGTAGGCTTTCTATTCAGTAGTGAAGTCATACGTAACTTGAATGTAAATTATACTGGGAGGACTAGAGATGTAGTTTCGATTTTGTTTGAGATTTTTTTATGAAGCATAGCTCAGTCTTGTGTCATCTTTAGTATAGGCTGGAAGTTAAGGCGGTTTCCACGTAAATTGACAGTTCGTTTACAGCCAATTTTTCACTCTTCCTTTTCCCAACAGTACCAACATCACCTCCGGAGGAAGTCGCCCCCACAGATGTGACACCAACAACAGTATCTTTAACCTGGAAAGATATCTTTCTCCCGGAGAGACACGGCCTTATCAAAGGATACGAATTGACGTACAGGAAACTAGAGGAACGAAGCAAACGAGAAGCTGATAAGACACTCACTTTCGGTGCAGATGTCCACACGGCGTTTCTGATCAAACTTGTTCCGTACACTAACTATAGTTTTACCGTGGCTGGATATACTGCCGAAGGAGTAGGCGCGAAGAAGCATTTTGTTATCGAAACAAAGGAAGGAGGTAAATAAAAGAGGTTTAAAGAATTACTTTTAAAGGAATGTTGGGGTTGCGTGATATGGTAGGATAAGAGGCTTAATTCTCGCAGGAAGATCTAACTAACTGTAGCAATATCTGCAAAAATTTGGGTCTAAAAATTTCATCTAAAAAATTTGGCATAACTTTGCCCAGGAACAATCGAAACTGTTAATTTTAAATGTTAATTTGTTTTAGTTCCAAATGTTTCACCGAAGAATTCATACGGTGTAAATTTTACTGGACCCACAACAATCTTTGTCGGATGGGGTTCTCTCACAAAAGCAGAACTCGAAGGACGCTTGGTGGGCTACGAGGTCAGGTACAGGAAATTCTCGGTTGCAGATGAAATTTTACAAGACCCCGCACCAGAGATGGTCAAAGTTGTTTATTCAGACATCAATGGGATAAAACTGACGGGGCTGGAGACATACACAACCTATCAAGTCCAAGTCGCAGCTATGAGCGGTGGTGGTCGTGGTGTCTGGTCTGATATTTTGTATGTTGGTAAGTATGCTGATTGTATGTTTATCTGTGATATAATTTTATGATTGTAAAATGATGGGTATACAGTGGTCAGATGGTTGTTTGGTTGTAAAATGTTGGTTCGGGCTATGATTGCATAATGATGATGGCTTAGTGTACACTATGGGTTGGGTGGTGATAATGATGGGTAGATTATGGTGATTCTATAGTTCGATGATGATGTTGAATGATGGTGGTTGGATGATAATGATTGGATGGTGATGGTTATATTGCGATGGTTGGATGGCATAAAGATTTGCAGATAGTTTTAATGCCAATAAGACGTTAATAACATTAGGGTGAACCGATCACTAAAGCTGCTTTTCCCTATTTCCAGCAACATGTCGCTGTCACAAGATTTTGACCACAAATTACTGGAACTTCAACCCGTACACGAACGTCTCGGTTCGGAATTCTTATTTCGGTTTCATTCCATACCTGCTGGACATGGTCACTTTCTCCTGCTGTCAAAACTGTCTTGAACATGGCACTTCCGAAGTCGACTACTTTCACGATGGCCAAGGCAAAGCCCCGGCGAGAGACTCTGATATATCAGTAAAGACGAACATCACTTTGAGCACAGACTTTAGTTTTCCAGTTTACGGCTTTAAAGGACAGACAACGTACATGAAGTATTACGGTTATGCTTCTATCATTGAGACCGTGGGATCAGTCTTCTTCACTCTTAAACCAGATTACAGCTTGACTCAAGGCGGGGTGTTGTTTGATGCTGTCCTAACCATCGTGCCATTCCTGGCTATCTCAGTAATATTTGCGTACATCGCTGGCGTGATACTATGGGCGTTGGTGAGTTTTTGAACAGCAGTTTGCGTGGAATGTCAAACCTTGGTAGTTTAGTCGAGCTGTAAAGAGACAACTGTGTGTTATGTTATAGGTTCCTTTACTAAACCCTGTCTTTATTTGTAAATTTTCATAGGAATGCCATCATAACGAGAACGAATATCCGCCAAGGTTTTTTGCGGGGGCATCGAATGGTTTTTGGTGGGCTTACATCACAATGACTACAGTTGGGTAAGATCATAGTTTAAAGAACTTAGCATCAAATGTGGTGAAACAACTGCCTAAAATAGACAAAACACTTCTCGACGTTTCGACCTGAGAGCCTTCGTCATGAGAGTTAGTATAGGCGATAGCTATTGTCGGTGAAAACTGAAGGATAAAACGCTTTGTTAAATTTTCTTGTCACCGGCCACCATCATCGCCGAGTGTAGATCATTGAACCAAGTCTAAATAACCTTTTCATTACCGCTCGCAATGCAATATCACAACGAAATGGCTTCTCCCTGAATTGCTGTTCATGCACTTAAGTTATGTTAGAGAAGGTTTGTATTACAGTACTTTAGACAAAACGTCTCTGTTTTTTCTACCAGATACGGGGATAAAACGGCCCGGACCAAAGCTGGTCGCGTTTTTGCAGTTGTTTGGGTTCTGACTGGTCTTTGCATCTGTTCCCTGTTGATTGGAACGATATCATCAGCTTTTACGACATCCACAACACCACCTGAATCCAAAGACATCAGGATTTATGGCTCGACGGTAAGACTCTTTAAAACGTCTTATGATGACAAGCTAATGAAATGCCGGCATGCATGGGTTCTACATTTTGCATAGTTAAATCCTAGTTAACTCAGAAATACACGAATCTGATTGGCCTATTCTGTCCCTAATTACAGTTAAAAGTTAACTAGTCTTTTATTCACTTGACGACAGATGTAATAGCCTGCATGACACGCGATCTATCCCTAAAATCGGGATATAGTGACGACCCCCAATATCCCTATATTATCAATATGTTTTTCTCAGATTGCAGTGTTACAAGACTCGCCGGATCACAAACTTGGAGTACGAAGAAATGCCAAAGTAAATACAGGTACGCCTGCATGCAAAGTAAACAAAACACCTCTGATTATTATAGGATTCTTAGCGTCCACAGTCCATGGGTCACTGAAGGTCCTATGATAAGGGTCACTGGAGGTACCTGGTCCTAACCACAACAACCTTTAACTAGAGCTTTTCTCCAGGTAACAAAAAGTACACTTCAGTGGAAGAGCTTCGAGATGTCCTGCTCAGTGGAACTGTGGATGGAATCTTGGTTGATGCGTACGTCGCAGACGCTCGAAAAGATCTTTTTTCCAGGTCGGAGTTCTTGGTCAAAAAAGTGATTGATGTTTCCTCAAGTTATGGTGTTGTTATGGGAACGGATGCTAAGAAGCTAAGGAAATGTTTTAGCAAATTTTGGAAAGATAATTCGGCAGTCCGAAGCGATTTTATTGCAAATAACTCAAGTCCTGTCCAGGTAAGAATGAGATATTACTTGTACTGTAAACGTATGTTATGTGACTTATAACTTATTTTGAATGGCCCTACGTCTTTTAGGTGACAGACGTTTCAGCCGAAGATATAACCAGTCAAACGTACAATCCTCAAACAGCTTTATATCAAATCACACTTTACACATGCGGCGTCGCGCTGATTGTTTTATCTCTCTGCGGGTGTGTTTATGAGATTATTAGAAGAAAGCGAATCTCAGTGAAAGTTCATTGCGAGAAAGGTATGGTGTTTCTTTGTATTCTTACTGCTTTCTTGATCCTGGATGGGTAAAGTTTGCTACCAGTTTGCTGAAACAGTTAACATCCTCAAGAACTATTTGTAACTTTTATATCTTTAAGCTGTTAGATTCCTTTCAGAAATTCTACACTGGGTGTGGGAGAAATTATTGCTAGAGCAGTCAGTTTAGATTTTGCTTCAGGAAAACATTCTTCTAATAAACTGCATGAATCGATTGCTCAAATGTTGAGGCCTAAACATTCACAGCTGTCATAGGTCAGAGATTAATTCATTTTCTTTCCATTCCTTTATTACTTTCACCTCTTCTTTTTCATTCCAAATAAGGTTGGATGATTCCGACTACAAAATATAACCTCTTTATTCTGTCTATAATATCTTTTATTGCTATTTCTCCGACAGAGTCTGCAGGAGTATGCAATGATTTGCTAAGTCAGACGACTGTGTTTGCCGACGAGATACAGAAGAATATCGCTGATCTCCAGAGAAAACAGAAGAAAGAAATATTAGCATTTATCAAATCACAAAGAAGCCAAGAGCAAAAAGGTAATGACGATGAAGAAACGCCTTAAACAAACATTCAGTTTTAAAATGACAAGATTGATCGCTAAGGTCGATCTTGAACTGGATAGCGGAAGTTGCTTTACGTTAATAAAGCCAATGACGGGTGTGATGATTCGCAAATTCACTTACAGTCAAGGAGCTGTTGAGTGATTAGTCTACGCAACTGGCTGCTTTGAGTGCATGGTTGCCTTTTTAAACGGATTAAGGAATTTCACTAGATACCCTATCCAGTTCCTGTTTCAGATCTGTGGTGCTATATAAAATAACGATGGTAAAATGAAAACGATAATAAATATATAACAATTATAGAATTTGTATAAGTGTTTAATGTCTTACTTTTAACGAAACATGTATGATATATACCCAGTTGTTATTATTAATTAATATTATATTCAAATTGAATAACAAAAACTATAGCAAATTAATTAAGAAGTAAATAATAAAATAATAAAGATGGTAATCCATAAAAAATTTTGTGTGATCAATAGATAATATAATCTAACCGAAGACCAACGCTGATCGATGATTACTTTAATTATATAGGCGGGTTCAATATGTATTATCTCGTTACACATAACTGATAGCTCCTGCTAAAAATTTAATCTGGAAAGTACATATATAGATTATATGTAGTTTCCACTGAGTTGTACATATGCGAAAAATATTACAGTAAGCTTTTAAAATAATTCCCTTTAAACCATCTAAAACATTTTTATTATTTACCTAAATTTCTCTATATCTATATTAAAATGTAAACGGTTTTTTATAAATCGCATCACGCATTGATAATTTCAACTTTGATTGAAAACTTATATTTTGGCTTATTTTAAAAATTCGTTAAAAGTACACCTATCTATTTGTATTGTACGCATGCAGGTAGATTCTTATTTTATTGGTTTTTTCACGTTCTTATACTGATTTCCAATCTCGCGTTTTTTGCACGTAAAAGTTTAAAACCATTTAAATGATATTTATGAAATCAACGATTGAATAGATGCATAAAATGATTGATGACTTGGTGTTAACACAAAATTATACACAACAAAGTTTTAAGCTTTTACGTGCGTGTCATGTAGGAGGAAAAAACAGGACGGTGGAAAGCAGCTCTTAATAGGCTTCTTTCATTCAAGCGGTTTTTATAACACCATATACGTGCGTAAGAATCTAAATCCGTTTATATGATGTGAGAAAAACTAAGTGCCAATATGGAAGGAATGTTTCTGCGAATTTGGTATGCGCTTGTTAAATTAGATCTTGTATATTTAATATTTTATAGAAGCATTTCACGTATTTTTCCTTTGTCAACATCACCTGTGGCGTGCGGTATTGGAAATAGTGTGCAAAGTTGCTTTATCTACTGCATTCTGCACCTTTTGTGGTCACGTCAATTTCACTGTTGTCATGTGTAGCGAGCCAGCATGCAGTGGCAAAAATATGATCTGGCAAGGCGCTCTCGTTCACAAATACAAAAATAATTTATCCTGTCCGTTGCTGCTATTACTTGTATCACTGAAATCTTGTCTTTCAACGAGCATAGGTCATCCTGTCAATCAATTTTCTCGCGCAATTCCCATTCGCCCATTCTCTCTTGAATTATCGCGCCGAGATAATAAGATCAACACGTTCATTTAAAATGAAATATAATCTAGATCGATACACGTGTGTACCGACTGCGCTATTTACAGTCCAATTTTCCGAACCCATAAATATATCTGACCATTGTCTGCAGGCTATGCTCAGTGTTTATTCACAGCTGCATACTGTTATGTTAATACCCTGTGCTCTGATATATATATATAATTTCCACAGACATCTGCTACTTGAAGTCTGCCTGCATCTACCGGATGTGTTCCACCTCAGTTGTCTTAAGAATGGCGCTCGAACACAAGCGTGACCGCCGCGAGTCCATCTCGTACCACATGCATCTAGTTGTGTTATTATCTATGTCCCTATTCTCTCAGGTCGACGCATCCACTGCAGAAACATGGCCATGGTTAGCATATATTCCGTCGCTAAACTGTACCGGCGCAATAGTACACAGCAGATGGTTGCTTACCTCGTCCAATTGCTTCAGTAATGAAACAATTCCTCAGGAATTACTTATTCAAGTTCGAGAAATTGATTCTACGGGAAGAGTTAAAGGTGTCAGATTGGTTTATGTCATCGACTACACGCGGGACCGTGGTTCAAGAAATGGTTTCACAATGTTATACCTAGCACAGACTTCGCCTTCCCTGACGAAAAACGTGGTATCGATGCGCGCAGTTAATTCTAATCAGAAGAATGAAACCAGCATCGTTTTGAGCTGGGACATGGATCGCGCAAACGACGCAAGAAATGTTAATGTATTTGCCTTGTCTGTTGACGTTAGCCCCTGCGTCGATGATAGCACTCGACATGTTTGCGTTTCGTTGAAAAAACATTCTCCGAGCAGTTCAAGTATTCTTCGGTATTGCTCCCACACGAGCCTTGGCAGCCCTTTGGTTACCATAGACGCCAACGGTTTGGTCTCGTTAGTAGGGGTTCTACACCAGAAAACGGGATGTCAAACACAAAGAAACCTCGTTGGTACGTTTTCTCGCATTGATCATGGAAGAAAATGGATTCGAAAGACATTCCGTATTCAGGGTATGTATACGAGTATATTCTAAACGCAAAACCCATCAGTGTCGTTAATACCTTAATGATATTTGCTAAAGGTTCCTTTCACTCAACACAAAAGCATACTCACTGCTAGTTCTTACGTTTAATTAAATTGAAACCTGAGTTATTTATACTGCTTGATAACACACGCTGTAAGCTTGGAAATTGGTCTTTGCGAGGTGTGAAAAACATGGAGCTGTTGCTTGCTTTGATTTTGAATCATTCCCACTGCTTGTTCAAACCTCGATGTGTTGATGAGTTGTAGTGTGTGAATATGAGATAGATCAATGACATTGACCTTAGACCTCAAACCAATTTAGCGATTGTGTTTTGATCGATTTAGAGGATAAAATTCTTTTTATTTTCAACTATTACTACTCATAACTGACAATTTGACATGTGAATAGCCGGCTAAAACTAAAAGCATAGTTTCCATTTGGTGTTTGCGTGGCGGACGTATACGAATGTCATCGTATCTCAGCGATAAGTAAAGAGTGATTTACATTTCTCGCCCAACAACAAACAAGATAAACTTAGCTATTTTACATCACCCTCTTGTTATGGTAACGACAGACACGATCCAAGTAGCAACTAGACTGTTTCCTGTTGAGGTAGTTTCAGCGCTTCTTGATCTCGTTTTCGAAGACAAAATATTAAAGAGCAGGTCAATGGGAAGAAAGTTATGGGTTAAACTTATCTCGTTTATGCACACTGTTTTTTTATTCAATTACATGAATAGACTAAAACACACCTTTACTCCATTAGTACGGCATCCGTTGATGCAGTATTAATCGCCAGTTATTACGATCAATTGAAAGATTTTACCTTTAAGTCAGATTAAATGAATTAGGTAGATTAAAGACATTGCGTTGTAAAAATAGAGAAGAACGTAGTTTGTTTGTTTTTCTTAAGTCCGGCAGAAACGTTCCCACGAAAGAGGTCGCCTGTTACAAAAAGAATGAAAAGGGATTCAAGATGTGCTTTAAATTCTTTTACCACGAAACGAATGAAGTTTAGGTCATGATGGTTCACGGCGTAAAAGGATGAAAATTCTAATTCGATTTTTGGATTAGTTAATTATACAATTAATAAGAATATTCAGGCCGAGGAAATCAATTCTCACAAAATTATAAATAGCATCAACTGTAATCTCGATGTATGGAATTTTCGCCGGAATATTGCGGCAAGGGAGGATGTTGAGAGGGATATTGCATTTTCGTGTAATATTGTTTGAATGCTCTCCTATTCACATCTCTTTATACCTATTCCTCGTTGACTTCTCTGAGACTCAGACAGATTTTAATAACTCTGACTCTGTCTACTGCTGTACCTTGACTGTTACATGACATTTACAACCGTTTGTTTCCATATAAAGCACAATGGAAGGTATTAGTGTTGCAAATTGTAACCCTGTGTATATTCTGTTCAGACCATCCCCAATGTCAGCCGAGTGTCTACCGAACATTGGACGACCCGTTACGAGATTTGAGCAAGACTCGTGAAAGCTATCTTTGCGACACTGAACTACCGCGTGCATGGTACAGATTTAAACTGGATGGTCGACCAGCAGAGCTACCAACTGTGTGTCCAGCTCGTAGTGCGTGTGGTACCTCTTCATCAATATGGCTGCCTCGGGCAGAAAATATTGAGCTCGGAAGACAAGTGGAGATCAAGGCATGCGTTTCGTGGAACGTCGGAGCTCGTCGTCTTTGTTGCTCCTGGAAGCTGTCCGTGTTTGTTCGTCATTGTGGTGATTTTAAGGTGTATAGATTAACACGAACGGACTTTTGTCCAACAGCATATTGTGCTAATGGTGAGTATTAACGATGTGCAGTCCTAGTAAGGTGACAAGAAAATGCCTGTCCGAGAGCCGTTTCAGCCAGAAACGCGTGAACTTTTGTTTGCAGAGCCTTGTGGCTCTAAGAAACATGTTTCCTTAAAGTGATATATATAACACGCACACACACAATCCACAATATTTTGATAAACATCTAATGCCATCCGTATATAACCCCTTTTTGAGTAATATTTGGACAATTTTGGGTATCTTAACCGCATTTTTTCAATTTTAGTCTCAAGGGGTGTCTGTGGACCTGGGCAGACTGGTTACAAACCAAACTGCGTAGGTATGTGTCTATCACAAGTTCTCGCAGATTTTGAAACTTAGCAGAATCCCAACGCTGATATCTACTTGTGAACAGGCTAACGTACGTTAAATATTCATTTCCAGAATCGTATCCAAATCTACCCAAAGTTCTACAGTTTTATCCGTTACACGCTTACCAAGGCAATCCAAAGCGACCCTATATTTACCTTCGCTGTTTACTGCGTGGCGCAAGGGGAGAAAATACAATCAGATATCTGTTTTACCTGCACAAAATAACGAAGCGAAGTGACGGGAGGATTCTGAAGACGACAATCCATCGGACAGAGACTTCTCGAACGTATTTTGATGTACGGCTAATCCCTGAGAGAGTTCCTGTTCGACTTGGTGATACGGTAGGAAACAGTCCCTCCAAAAAATTCTATTGTGTTTAACGACTTAACTATTTAATATTGACCGTACATCAGACCGTTTACCTTCCCTTATCTTCTCTGCAAAGTCAACCACCTGACTTGATTTCCTTATTCCAGAAAATCCCCGAACCGTCATGACAATGTCTACAACATTTTTTGGGTTTTTTGTACAGGTAATTTGTGAAGCTCGGGCTTTTTTCCAAGCGACCAGGAACACCAAAAGCCCAGCGTTAAGAAGTCAAGATTATCACCTTGGAGTGAAGGTAGTGTTTAGACTCGCAGCAAGGCTACAGTGTTGTGAATTGATATCATATTTTCATCACTTTGTAGGTTCACCCTTCATCCACATCGTTGCTTACATATCCCAATGTCGTCACAATCACATTCGCCATAACCTTACCTGTTTTATGCCGTATAAGAGACCAGAGTTGTTCTTTGACAATACCACTGAACACCTCCCTCACAGGTAAAACTTCCAAAAATTTGTAAACATAGCTGTATCGGCTTAAGAATGTTTTGAACAGAATATTGTAGAATTAGCACGCTGGTGAAAGTCTTCACTGCTGAGGAAAAGCCTCTACTTTCAGTGCAGTCAACATTAGATCAGTTAAGCCCCGTGGTTGTACGCCCACAAAACTAAAGATGGTAATATTTTGTTTACACATGATCGATCATAGATGCCACAACCGGGAAAGCCGTTTCCTCTGGATCTCACTTCTCTTTATCAAAATGTTCGCTGGTGTTCACCACTGAGCCTTGCAATCGCAATAAAGTCATTTGTGGTAGAGACTCGCTTCACATCCAAGCTGGAAGGAACTTTGAAACGTCTGACCGTAAATTGAGAATTAACCTTGGACCCATCATCTCCACGGGCTCAGTGTGGACGAACTATCGGTTGCCAGTTGTGGAAGTGCGTTGTTGATCATTCCTGGCAACTTGTTTTGTACCAGATAATTTGTCTTTCATTCATTCTATTCCCAAATGCGAAAATAATTATTCGTTTCCAGTGAAGTGTAGCTCTAGCCAGTATTGTGCCTGTTATCACAATTGCTTGTCACCTTGAAATGTTCAATCATGTTTTTTCCCTCCAGGTAATTTAAATGAAGCCAAGCGACGCCACGTTTTTCCTGCTATTCAATGTCAGCCTCGAACATAAGAACGTTTGAAGGAAGGTGAGAACTAGATTCATATGGGACAGATGGATTCTGTGTCTGTCTAAACAGCGCCTTATAAGAAGAATTATAATCAGACAGCACCGCATAACATGAAACGAACCCAATAACTGAAGAAAAAGCACAATCCTTGAGTACTAAATCCTTTATAAATCGATCTTATAGTTTCTACAAGCATCTGGGGAAAGGTACCTTTCTGTTCTACCGCAGCAACAATTCGTCGACCGAGGTAAGTCGTAGTTTTTTGTACTTTTTAGCAGGTGTAATTTGAACCAATGTTCGCTTTGTCTAGGTGCATGTACGGAAATGGCATTGTGGTGGTGTATCTACGTGTGCGTGCGCAGTCGCAGTACGTGAAGGAGGTGACGTCATTGTGGCTGATATGTGTCATGGTCAATACAAGCAATCAAGCTTGAGGTTTTTCATACGTTCCATGTTGCCACTGCATGAAGATACCAAGATTATGGAGTCAAGTAATGGACGATCATTCTCTGTAAGTGACAATGAATGACATAAATAACTCTGTTAAGAGATCTGTTTAGAACTCTAACTGAGATACTTATTATCTAGTTGTGTTTGTGGCTTTGTTCCTATTGGCCACTTGTCTTGATTAGCCTTCATGGTTATAACAGGAGGCCAGCACTTCTTTTTTTGTAAATATTATCTACCGATTAATCTTATGTAACAAACAAGTGCAAATATATATATCTATCTGTAATTCTGCGTTCCATTTCTTTTCTTTTTAAATGATTTCTTTTCACTTTAGATCAAACTTCCATCAGGCTCAGAAATCAAGATTGAGGAATTTTATTGGGGTATAAGCATTTATCTTTCGGTCACAAATCCTGGTGAAGGTTTGTGTCGTGGGGCGACTCCGTCAGCACAGAAGACGATGACAAGGTACATGTACAAAGCTTGACCCTTTTTCCTTTTGTCTTGTTCCCCCCATGTCTTGCTCCGCCAACATACATACAAACTAACTTGTCCACCCAAGTAGGTTGCTCAAAGTACTCTCATCTTTCATCAGTTTCTTCAACAATTTTACCGGACATTCCGAGCCCGCAGCCACTGTGACACCTCAAGATTTTTGCTCTTGTTCTGGTTTGGAATCCCTGAACCAATCAAGACAATCTTGTCAGCCTTCACGTTCCTCGCCCTCACCTGATGAAGCACTGGATATCACAAAGAAAATCATAGATAAACAACCTGTATTGCTGAAAGGATTTGGTTCGAATAATGGATTGCATTCAAAACACGAAGATAGTTTGCAAGCTGACGCACCAATTCAATCTTACGAAAGAAGCGAGAAAATTTGCCATAACATTTTAAACACGTCGGACCCGCAACACGTTTGTAAAAGCGTTCTTGGCTCAGAACTTTGGAGAAAAATTCTGCAAATCTGTATGGATGAAACCCAGGTATGACTCTTCAAGTATCCGTCAGAATATATATAGTTCAGCTTTAGTTTATGTCTGGTCGTATTTATACCTGCTGCATTAGACCAGTAATGGTTGACGGTAGACAAATATTTGTGACAATCATAGGAAACTGAAGGAGATTAATAGGTATACAATCATGAGTATATTGATATACAATCATGAGTATATTGATATACAATCATGAGTATATTGATATTACAATCATGAGTATATTGATATACAATCATGAGTATATTGGTATACTAACATGAGTATATAGTATACAAACAACAGGCAATCTACAAGCTCATGAATATTTGTGTTTAAGGAAGGTTTTGATATGGGTTTGCTGCAAGCAAGTGGCCAGACTGTAACTACGCTTTGTAAAGAGAAGATTGAAAACATGAAGGATAATCAAACTCTGCTGAGACGTTGGAAAAATGAGCTTTGTGAGAATCGCTGTGGACAGAATGGACATTGTTATCAAGGCCATTGTAAATGCGACGAAGGTATACGTCCTCCTAGAACGGGAGGTCTCTGGAAAGAGCTTTTAGAAAATAGTGCTTGTTCATATGAGCAAGTTGCTTTAAAGTAAGAATGATCTCTCATTCACTGATCCAATGGTACTGCAGAGAGAAGCATATAATTACCTTGAGTCATTCCCAACTCGTATTGAAGTTCTCATCAAATTTTGAAAAGGGCCAGTGAAAGTTGGTGATGAAATCAGTTTCCTACATTCATTTTAGGCTATGGTTCAGTCGACTGTTCTGTCGATCTGAAATCAGCACCGCTGACGTTTTTGCAAGATCGATTGTGTGATGTCCGTAATGAGATGTGTGATGAAATATTTATCTCAGGTTCACCATTTTTGAACTTTGGATCACTCTCGTGCTCATTTACTCCCGTTAAGGTACGCTATCTCGTCAATTTTGTCTGAAATGACTAAGATGTTAAGTGAAAAAAAAATTAGGAGAGAATAAAGGTGATAAAGATGAGGTGGGAAAGATTGTGAAGGTCTATAAAGAGGTGAAAGAATGGTGTGGGAAAACTTGGAGAAGATAGTAAAGTGGTAGATTGGGGGTGTTGGAATGTAAGTGTGATGGCAAGTGGTTGTAGATTACATGAGTGGCCAAGAAGATCAGTAGGTGGGTAATTCATTGTAGGTGGGTAATTCATGGTAGGTGGGTAATTCATGGTAGGTGGGTGTATAGGTTGGTTTGGTAAATGCGTATTTGGTAGGTTGGCAATGATGGATGAGATAGCTGTTATAGGTAGTTAGATTAACTAATTTGCTCAGAGATCGCTAACATCACTGTAGAAAAGGGGTCAAAAGTGGATAGAAGACAGACATGGAACATTCACGGCAAAAGCTATATTCTACAGCCGGCGTGGAGTGATCTGTAGAATTCCGGAAAATCGACGCTCAAGATTTACGAAATCAGAAGAGGCATTTCACATTCGAGTGTCCAACAACGGTTACCTGTGGAGCAAGGCTGTATTGAGAGTCGGCTACGACAGTTTCTGTAAGAACTGTAGTGGAACTGAAAGCTGCACTACGAAGGTAAGTGTTTAAACTGAGGCTTTTCATTGTCCTTCGACCTGGATACTCGGCGTTCACAGTTGCCTTGTCCAAATTCAGATCGCATGTTTTTGTTGAGTCACCTCGGTATCTTGCTGTAGTAACGCTGAACCAATCAACGATGTCTTCAAATTTGAACTCAAAGAAAAACTGACAGAGTTACTGTACAGATCTAATGCTAGATTACGTGGACTGTGAATTACAGCCAGGCATTCTTTCTTCTAGACTGGAATGTGTTCTATCGAATCTCGCTGTTTCATAAACGGCGACGTTTCTCAGAAGATTCCATGTCTTATATGCTCTTCTGTGGATAACTCTGATGGATGGACCACACGCTCAGGTAAAGTGAAGTTTCTCGAAGCTGCTTTGATTTTGGTGAAATTGCAGTAGCATTCATATCCGAGCATGAATTCATGTCTGTTTCCATTTTAGATAATCTTCCACCGTTTTTCACATCTCCCACGGAAGACAGCATCACCATTCTGCTAGGAGACGAAATCTCGTTTCTGGTCAATGCAAGCGACCCTGAAGGTGAGCCCTTGAAAATAACTCATGACGTGCCACAGGCTCGTATCGCGTCTGACGGAGAATTCCGGTGGAAACCCGACAGAGAAACGACGCAAACGATCCAATTATTAGCAACGGATGAATGCGGTCGCACGGCGTCAAAGTATTTGGATGTTGTAGTCCGGAAATGTCCCTGTAGGAATGATGGAAAATGTGTGAAAATATCAAAAAATGAGTTCAAATGTGTTTGTTCCGAAGAGTATGAAGGTGTTTATTGCGAGAAGATGGTATCACCTTGTGCCCCAAATCCTTGTCATCATGGCAAGTGCGAGGAGATTGGATCCGACTTTCGATGTATTTGCGGTCATGGTTACCATGGCAATTTGTGTCATCTTAAAGCTCCTGTCTGTCATTCGAGTCCTTGTCAACGCGGGAACTGCCAGAAGTCAAATTCGACGGATGACGGATTTCATTGTAAATGCCCGCGATATTACGGTGGTCGTCTTTGTGAGATTGAACTCAGTGCTTGTGCTAGGGATCCCTGTGTACGTGGGCAGTGCCGTAGCAACAATGACGTATCGTCCCATCATAGCAACAATACCAATTCATTCGAATGCATTTGCCCGCCTGGTTTCCATGGAAAACTGTGTTCGAGAAGAACTACCGCTTGTCGACCAAATCCGTGTCTTCGCGGGCGCTGTGTCGATTTGGGATCCATGAACATGCGTTGTTTATGTCCTCCAAGTCATCATGGGAAATTTTGCAATATCACTGGACTCTATTGTGGAAGCACGCGCTGCATAAACGGCACCTGCGATAGCAATGGTGAGAAATGTATTTGCCGTAAGAATTATATAGGGGAACGATGTGACACTTTATGTAATATTGACTGTGTTAATGGTGCGTGTTCGTTGACTTCTCGAGGGTCGGTGTGTAAATGCGACCCGGGGCACACAGGCGCTGACTGTGGGACTAAGATTCAACCATGTGATTCAAACCCGTGTGGACATGGGATTTGTATTAACACAAAGTCGGGCCATCTGTGTCATTGCTACCCGGGATACAGCGGTTCGTCTTGTAATACATCAGCCTGTTCCATGGTCGATTGCAACAACGGTACTTGCATCCTTGTCAGTGGAATACCGGTTTGCCGATGTCTCACGGCATACACGGGCCAATTCTGTGAAAGACGAAGACAGCCCTGTGACACATTTCCCTGTCTGAATGGCCTTTGCATCGCAACCGAAGCGAACTCCTTCACTTGCTCCTGTAACCCTGGCTTTCAGGGCGCTCTGTGTGGTGAAAGGATTGATCCTTGCTTATCAAACCCTTGTGGTGATGGTACTTGTAAAGGGAACTTGAATGGTACGTTCTCATGCAAATGTCCTCCTGGTTACGTCGACAGGTTCTGCAAAGAAACGTTAGGAGTTAAATTAAAAACAAACCCGTGTGATATGAATCCTTGCGTTCATGGACAATGCGAATCAGTTTCGGATACAGATTTTCGTTGTAACTGTCAACGGTCATACGTGGGTCGCTTTTGCGAGAAGCGTTTCGATATTTGCGCGTCTAGTCCGTGCGTGCATGGCCGTTGTTCATCCGTGCTCGAAGGAACGTTCTCGTGCGCGTGTGATGCTGGTTTCTCCGGCGCGTTGTGTCAGATAGACCATCGGCCGTGCTCCAAGAATCCGTGTTTTGCTGGAGTGCGCTGCAGCAATATCGATGACCTAAACTTCAGATGTGCGGATTGTCCGTCTGGGTATGTCGGGGATGGAATCCAGTGCAGTATTGGTAAGATTCCAAGTTGTGTTATAGGGCGTCTCTCTTAAGCCTAGGAAGAACAGTCTGGAACTCATGTTTCAGTTCAGGTTTCGTTTTCGACAGAAGAGATGATCTTTACTCACTTGACTTCCAGGAATAACAGTTTATTTAGAACTGATACGCAGTGTACATAAACTTTGCATAGTTTAGTTTAGTTCTCTACTGTATTATGATGGATCAATAAGCGACTCTTTCTGGATCTGTGGGAAGAACAGTTTAGCCAGGACTGGTTGAATTATCCAGTTAAACTAATCTTGATCTTTTATTTCCATCCTAGTCAAAGACGAGACGAAAAGTGTTCGTCGTCCATGTCCCCGTCAATTTTGTTTCCCTGGTGTTCAATGTTCTATCGTTAATTCCCAGATTCACTGTGAGGCTTGTCCCCGTGGTTACTATGGCAACGGCTTCTACTGCAGAGGTAAAGTGTTCGACTTGTATTCTGGAAGATTTCATTAAGAAACCGGTGAAGAGAAGATAGAAATATGCTTAAATACATAACCAATCCAGCGGCAGATATTGTTTTTTAGTGTTATGTGAGCTCCCTTGTAAGAACGGTGGGACATGTGTAGCACCTGGAGTGTGCAGGTGTCGGCGAGGGTTTATTGGGGTAACATGCGCGAGAGGTAGTGTACTCTTATGTATATACCTTGTTCTATTGTTTCACATTCGAATGTCGGACTGAAAAATTGATTATTGGAGATGTGTTGTAAATTAATGTTTCATTAACTTATAGCATTCTGCAGGAGAAGCTGTTTGAATGGAGGTCGATGTATCTCACCTGGAAAATGTCGCTGTCCCCTGGCTTTCTATGGTGAACGATGTGAGAATGGTAAGAATTATTTCATGTTACTGTGGGACCGATCAGGCAAGTGACACCACACGTCACCATAAATAAATATTTACTCTTGGTTTATCATATATTTGTTCATGATAAAGTACCTGGCTTGTTTGGGGAATCTTCACTCAAAAATTCGCTTCACTTCAACAGCTAAATGTAATGTGAAATGCCTGCATGATGGAAAATGTATCCCTCCTGGGAAATGCCGCTGTCTTCCAGGTTACACCGGCGCATCCTGCGAGCAAGGTTAGTTTTTTCACTACCGTTAACGTTCAAGAGCGCTTTTATATAGTTCCAACGAATTCTGGTCATGCTAACATCCAGACAACAGCAATACTTATTTCACATGTTAACCAAGCTTGAATGCTGTCATTAATGCAATCCATGTTCCATTTTAGCTGTTTGTCCATTGGGATGTCTTAACGGAGGACAGTGCGTGAGACCAGGGGTATGTCGGTGTTCACCGGGATACTTTGGGACTCGGTGTCAGCAGGGTAAGGCTGTATCCTAACTTGAAATTATCCATAATGGTTTTGGTGGTTTTGGAATTATGACTTGTTTGTTTTCTGTGGGTGTCCTGTCAGTTCAGCCATTGTCAAACTTACCACTTTCTACCCTACAGGAACCTGTTCTCCGCAATGTAGAAATGGTGGGATTTGTGTGAGAAAGAACGTGTGTTCGTGTCCCCAAGGCTATCGAGGCACTCGCTGCCAAACTGGTAAGGGTACGTTTAAAACACCTTTCGATTTCTGCCGAATCTTTCCCGCAAAAAGTCCGCAGCTTATCCAAGCCAGGAAAATGAATAGGATTCATTGCTTCGGTTTAAGCATGTTTGAAGCAAACAAACAATTCTTTTTTAGCTGTATGTCAACGTCCATGTCAAAATGGTGGTCGTTGTTTCAAGAAGGATCGCTGTTCTTGTGTGTATGGTTACTGGGGAGATGTTTGTCAGCATGGTAAGAAATCTCATGATCTATGTCTGTCAACTGTGATAACTGCAGGTAGCTAAGGGTCTTTTCACACGATCCAACTTGGTCAGATCCAATTCTCTTTTGACGTATGGAATATAGTCTGTTATTGATAAGGCAGTATCGCATGGCTTTTGTTGATTTGTCGCCCATATACATTGCAATTTAGCCGACTACAAAACATCCACCGAAAGTGAATTGGACTCGACAAAATTGAATCGTGTGAACAGACCTGAACAGGGGGGGGGGCGTGTAGTTGTGGCGGATGTAGTTGTTGAATTGTTGTAGCCCGAATAGGGGGGTTGATAACCGTCACGGTCCTGCATCCCCTACAGCACCACACTACCCAATAATCATGTAGGTTGGTGACGATCGCCCACCTACATGAATCGTCTTTGTCGCCTTTCCGAAATGAATTGAAGCTGTAAAAGATGTTACCCAAATTGATGCGAGAATGGCGAAAAGACACTTGAAATCTTTTAAAAAAGACTTAACGAAACAGAGGTTGCGTTTATTAGCACTAAACTAACCTAGACATATCTTAAGAAGTTTATTTCAGGATTGCGTTTGAGGATTTGTTTATTTTTCTTCATATAATCGGCTTTTCTTCATATAACAGCAGATCAAAGATTTTGAAATTCTGTCTGACCACAACTTTATCCATGCCGGCTTATGTTTTTGTTCTATGGTTTAGATGTATGACATACAGGGCTCGCATTTTATGGCTCCTTTTCCTTCGTGCATTTTTTTGTGATCTTGAATACCATCCACCTTTTCCACATTGAATTTTTTGTATAGCTCGAAACATTATTTACCTGGAACTTAGTTTACTGGATCACACTTCATTCACGCTTAAAAATTTAATAGGACTCGTAGGGTATTATGACCCGGAAAAACCTAGGCTGTCAGGAATGTCATTCCCCGCATTCCTGAAGAAAAATTCAAACCTGATTTAATTCACGTATCTCTGTTTTGCCCCCATTTTGGATTTTTAAACACGCGTGAGACACTGTTTCTTTGACCAGTCATAATGCGGCGAGGAACAAGGATTGCTTTAAACCATTCTAAACAATTTTTTTTTTTTCTAGTTCATTGTCTTCGTCCATGTTTGAATGGAGGTCGCTGTATTAAGCCAAATGTTTGTCTTTGTCCCACGAATTACGCTGGGGTTACCTGTAACTTCTATGGTATGTTTTTCAAGAGTTGCTATAGCTATATACCTCTGTTGGTAAATTTAAGAACGTGATCTTTAACAGGGACCGCGGAGCGTTTTTCGTATTCGTGGGGCTCGGCACCGCGCGCCTGCTAGGAGAGTATGAAATATATATAGGTCTCTGAAATCGCCGCAAATGCCTCTCAATTTAAGGATTAATGGAAAATAATAGATAGTATGTAAAGTTTCCAGCATGTTTGGCGCTCATAACAAACATTAAACAATATAACCTTGCTTTGGTTATGATGTAAAATATTTTGAAATCGATGACCACGCTGTGTTTTAATGATCAAATGCTTGTCCAATGTAAAGTTTCCAGCATGTTTGGCGCTCATATACAAACATTAAACAATATAACCATGCTTTGGTTATGATGTCAAATATTTTGAAATCGATAACCACGCTGTTTTAATGGTCAAATGCTTGTCTTTTGCAAGGTTTCTAGCATGCTTGGCGATCATATGCAAACATTAAACAATATAACCATACTTTCATTGCTTTGGTTATGATGTCAAATATTTTGATATGGACAACCACGCTGTTTTAATGGTCAAATGCTTGTCCAATGTAAAGTTTCCAGCGTGTTTGGCGCTCATATACAAACATTAAACAATATAACCATGCTTTGGTTATGATGTCAAATATTTTGAAATCGATAACCACGCTGTTTTAATGGTCAAATGCTTGTCTTCTTCAAGGTTTCTAGCATGCTTGGCGATCATATGCAAACATTAAACAATATAACCATACTTTCATTGCTTTGGTTATGATGTCAAATATTTTGAAATGGATAACGACGCCGTTTTAATGGTCAAATGCTTGTCCAATGTAAAGTTTCCAGCATGTTTGGCGCTCATATACAAACATTAAACAATATAACCATGCTTTGGTTATGATGTCAAATATTTTGAAATTGATAACCACACTGTTAATTTCAGGGAGTTAAATTAGCAAACATTATGCATAGATGAAATAGATGACCACGCTGTTTTAATGGTCAAATGCTTGCCCTATGTAAAATTTCCAGCATTTTGGCGCTTGTATTGCTTGTAAATTTGAGCGAACTAAAAAATATTCGAAATTAAAGACTAATTACGGAAAAATTATTGGTGGGGCTAAAGCCCAGCGAGCCACCCTGCTCCGCGGTCCCTGTTTAAGAGAATTGTATATGCCGCACATATAAAGAGTAGTGAAGTGTTTTGTCTAATTAAGGCAGTTGTTATACCACATTTGATGACAATTAAGATATATTTAACAACATCTATTATGCTTTTGTTTAGTCGGGTAAAATGATGCAGTTGTGTTTTACCATCGCTGGATCTCAGACGAAATTGGTCATGATGAAATACATGCAGGTTGTATATGAAAGATTTTATTGATTGGGGATGTTTTGTAGAGAAACCAAATTAGCATTGTATGCGAACAATATGAATTGGAAAATTTTCCAATCTATGGTGACGGTAGTGAATTGCGCACATATAAAATACACCAACGAATTATTCCACGTGCAGATTATTAGACAGCTGTTCGAGCAAAGTTTTGAGACGTTAAGCAGTATATCTATAGCTATACAATATAAATTCATATTAACCATGCAGAAAACGGTCGTCCAAACTAGTCGAAATTGTGTAAGAATGTTTAGTTTTGAAAACTATAGTGCTGCCAAGAATTTGAAGCCGAAGTAAAGTACATACTATAGCGCTGCCAAGAATATGAAGCCGAAGTAAAGTATATTCCAGAAATGGAGAATAGAAATTTATTTTAAAGCAAGCCGCAAGGCCAAGCATGCAGTCCTTCCCCGAGATTTAATATCGCCTGGAATCTGTTGCGCAAAATAAGATTAGTTTTATTGTACGGGATTTAATCTCCCATGTTCCTACGGGTTTCCAGTTTGCTGCGCTAACGATTGCGTTGTTTAAGCAACGGGGATTGGTAGCGAGTGTTATCCAATTTAAGTGCACGGTATGTTTTCGTGACGACGAAGCGGTTGTCATGGAAGATGCGTTTCGATTCTATTTAAGAACCGTCCTCAGAGATATGAAATATTTCATTCATATTAATCTCAGATTAATATGGGTGGAGGTGTTTGAAAATGGTTTCAAATCTTAAGGCTGGTGTGAAAAATGCGAAAAGGGTTTCGAAACCCAAAGCTGCGAGTTTCGATCCTGCATGCTGTGGACGCAACGAATTTTACAAATTTCTGCGATGTCATGTCAGATTACGATAATGTGAATTTTCAGAATACCAGAACGCTTCTGAATTTTTCGTTTCTTTTAAGGCTAGGGAGATGGAGAAGTTTTTGAAACGGATATTGAATTCATATCGGAATTGTTTTTGGGTTTGACCTATTCTTTCCGCCAAAATAGGAAGCGATCTGAATGAAATAGCATTAAGAGTTCATAAGCTTTTTTCCGTTTTCAAGAGGTTCAGTAGGTTTAAGGTACTTTATTTTGGTCTTATTAACTTTAAACTGGTCCAAGTTTTGATGAGAGCTCCCTGCCACGCGCATTGTTAATATGATCTACCGTAATGCAGAAAAGTCTTAAGCTTTTGTTTTTGAAATTTTGGACAATTATTATTACCAGACTATATTATGTATATATACAGTGATACCAGCTTGGCAAAGTTTTGACAATATTTAATGGAAATAATTTCTTTCCCCATATATGATGATAATTTTTAATAATATAAATACTCATATTTGACACTGTGTGTAACATATATTTGGTCTTGGAGAAAGGTATTTGAAAAAAAACAAACTAGCTTCGATGGCAATTTACAATTTACCTACTCACTTTGCGTGTGTGTAATACACGTGTTCCCAGAGTTCATTGCAGACGTGAGGCTGGTACAACTTGACACAGGTGGTGTTCCACAAGGAAACATTTGTTCGAGTAATTGCCTATTCTTACCATATTCGTACAAGTCCCAAAGGTGCTGCGTTTGTGCAGATTCTTGGATATTTTGTTTTTTGTTCTTGTATCGATGGTTCTGGTACCAAACTTTAATCTGTGTTGGTGTTAGGTTGGTAATTCGCGCTAGCTGTTCCCTCTCCGCTCCTGATAAGTACTTCTGGACACGAAATCTTCTTTCCAGTTCGAAAACCTGCGATCTGGTAAATAGGACACGTTTCTTTGGCTTGGCAGTAGCGTTTTTGGGGCCTTTGCTCGGAACTTTCCCTGCTTCTTTGGCTGAAAGTAAACATTCAATATCAACTATTTGTATGCTCGGGATTCATGCTAATTTGTGTGTGAATTATCGTGGAAGAAATCTCAAACGCATCCAAGCAGCCTGAAAAAGATATCTCAAACGTGGTGGTCCGAAGACCATCTGATGATCATCAATAGTTTTTGACGCAAAAACCTTTTAGATCTGATAAATGCAATTTGAAAAATATTCAAATTTTGATTTGATCTGTCTGTGAAATATTTTTTATATTGATAGGGGCGCATTTTATTCAAGACGTTTTCAGGTATGGCGTCAGCGAGAACATGCATTAAAATGTGTATTGCGCAGCTCGTAGTACTACAAATTGTGGGTTTCAATTAACCTGTGTTTAGTTCTCGGCTTGGAACAAGTCCATAATGTACAAACGATGTTTGCTTTCCAGCTGTGACGCAGTTTTTTGGCTCGTGATTGTTTTGAGCGATCCAAAGCGGTGACCTTGTATGATTTTGAGCAGGGATTCCACGAATATCATGTATGTAAGTGACTGTGGTGTCTCCACTTGTTGTCGTAGGTCTCTTGCAGTCGTGCAGTATATTGGTGATGGAAAATTCGGTTACAGAGCTCCTTTCGCGTGATTGCTCCATTGCAAGCAGTCTTCAATGAAATCAGTTGACTTCACATTTCGGATTAGAGAGCTACCAGTCCGTTTATATGCTCTCAGTTCAAGTGGGTGCGTGTCAGCAGTAATAATCACGTGTCAACGTGAAATTAATCTTATCTTTCAAATATAGTTTCAGTTCTAAAATGCACGAACCGTTTTTCAACAGGAACTTTCTTAGCCTGAAGTTAGTTTCGCTGCATTTGAGGCGGTTTACATTGATTCTGTAGGAAATGCCGTATACTGTTCTTTAATATCATGGGTGAATGCAGAAGGGGGAATATACCCCCTTTATCTTAGAGCAGAACACCTACTTAAAAGTTGACATTCTGCGTAGTTTTAAAGATTGAAAGATTATAGTATTCCGTATATTTATAGTTTTCAAATCATATCATCTTCCTTGACAAAAAGAGATTTTTAAAAAATAGGACGGGGTGGTACACCCTTGCATAGAGTTTCACCCTGTTTCATGCAATCAATTGACAGTTCAATATATCATTGAGGCAACGTGATACGCGGATCGCATGCAAATTTGCGGAAGTACTTGTTCTGATTTGTTTCATCTCAAAGCGTTTCTATTTAGGGATTATTTTAAAGACTTCAATCATAGTTAGACGACTTCCTTTTGTTACCTCACCTCAGTCGTACGCAAAACTACTAACATTGCAGTTGTCGGGGGCGGATTTACACGGGCTTTCTATGCCGCATAGAACTGACAATCTTTTGTTTGTATTAAATGATAGACTTACATTTGATATCATGATGGGAAGATAATGTCCATATATACTTTACATCTGTTGAAAGAATTTGGGTTTACTACTTCGTTTTGGGTCCAGCAATTCAAGCATATGCAGCGTTGAAATTGATTTCGCGTGCCTGGCTGTAAATAAGTTTGTTTTTTCGATTTATAATGTCTGCAAAGTAATCTTTTTAGCAGTTTTAGTTTGCGTAATCTTTATAATTCTTTATTTGTGTTAGCGAGGTATTTATGATAATAAAGGGTTGAATGTATCTCAAGACCTTGCCCTTTCTTGTGATGACCAAAAAAGGATGTTTGGAATGGCTGTATTTTTATAAAACATGACTCCTATCGCTGGAAATATTGACACTTATAGACGGATTGTGTACGATTATAGTTAAGGGGGGTACTCGAAGATTGCCGCCAGTTTGCCAAGCTAAATTTTGACACCCTTGTCGGCGTGTTTATGTTTGTCTAGGAGGTAAAAGCTTTTAATGTAATGCAGTGCGCAAAAAGTTTTGAACACATTCTTGAATGATAACAGAGCACATCCTTATCATTAGATGTAGTGAGCACTCATCCCAAAATCTGCAAAATAGTCATGGAGCACCATAAAGTTTAGTGAATTCGGAAAGTATGCGCACTTTGCGCTCTTGTTACACGGTGGCGCGTGCGACTTGTAGAGTTTGCGTGCAACAATTTCTGGAATTAAAAAAACCTTGCTTGTTTCCAAAACACAGCTTGTGATAAACAAGTATGCTCATTATCATTCACCGCGGGAGAGACTTCACCTTACGATAATGTCAGCGTCAAAACTCTTTTTTAACATAACTTATTTTACATTCATGCATCTTGTTTATTTTCAAAGTTAACATATATTTGATACTGTGCTGCGCTCTTGATCATGTAAATAAAGCATTATAGTGATCAAATTATTATTACTATTATTATTTATCTAACATGGCGTTTCCTGTCATGCCGCTTTCATATAGGATTGAGTGTTCAAATATGGACGATCGGACGTTTCTTTTCTAGAGATTTATTATTTTAAATAAGTAAAAACTTTGATTTTGTTTGATAAAAAGAAGCAAAATGGCCGAGTCAGCAGCAAAACAGACCTCAAGAGTACCAAAGGTTGCAAAGGTAGGCAAAGCAATAGATATACTAAAGAAATAACTGTTTAGAGACTGGTTACCTATAAATAATTGCAGTATATTAATATGGTTATGTAGGATCACATGGACGTATTTACCATTGCTAGTATTTTTGTTGCTCAAATTATTTAAAAACCACTGTTAGAGAATCATTTTTGCAACCTATTACACCATGTAAAATTATATAATAGATGTCTTTCTGTTTGTTAATTCTTCTCTCCAATACCACTTTAAATTTGTCTAGGTGAAGAACAAGGCACCAGCTCATGTTCAAATTACTGCCGAACAACTTTTAAGGGAAGCCAAAGAACGGCAGCTTGAAGTAGTGCCACCTGTAAGTAACTGAAATTGGATACAATTTCTTAACATTGTTACGGTTGCCCACATTTTGCCATTTTCCTTGCACTGCCCAACTGGTTAATGATGATTTAACTGTCGTTATTTAGCCCCCAAAGCAGAAAATATCTGATCCAGAGGAACTTAAAGAATACAAGCTTCGGAAAAGAAAGGTATACATGTGTACACAACAAAAGAGAAAAATGGTGGTGTAACCTGCTTGGTCATTAAATGGGGAAAAATGTTCTTTTTTTAGGCATTTGAGGATAATATCAGAAAAAATCGGTCGTTGATGCCAAACTGGATTAAGTATGCACAATGGGAGGAAAGTCAGAATGAAATTGATAGGTAAGATTAAGTAAATGGACAGTTAATTGCACCATATGTTAGAGATGAAGGCTGTTGGTACATTAATTTCAGCCCCCAATAAAAATGATGTGATTTTTATTCCAGGGCAAGGTCTGTATACGAACGTGGTATTGATGTTGATCATCGATGCATTCCAATCTGGCTGAAATATGCTGAAATGGAAATGAAGTAAGCTTTCGACTGCTGTCAATTCATTACCATCAATGACATAGTTGTGATTATCACTTGTGAACATTTACCTTTTTACATTCTCAGGCACCGTCAAGTGAATCATGCTCGTAATATCTGGGATAGGGCTGTGACCATCTTGCCTAGATGTAATCAATTCTGGTAGGTACTCTGTTGTTGAGCGTGGTCGCATTTTGCATTAATCTAGTTCTACCAAACAATTTTTTTCCTAGGAGATTTTAATTGTAAGATTTAAGATTTTAAGATAACAACAAAGCAACAGTGCCTCTGTCAAAATGTCCAAAACCATTTTTTGAACAAATTAATTCACTTGTGATAGATGTTTAATTGTCTGTTGATATGAATATGGGTAGCAAATCCACAATTAGACCTTTAGACAAGCTGACTAATAAGAAGAAGCTGTGATATATTAAATAATGCATTTAAACATATATGTTTAGACAGTTTAACAGAAATGTAAAACTGTTCATTGTCTTTTTTTTATTCACTCAGGTATAAATACACATACATGGAGGAAATGCTTGGTAATATTGCTGGTGCTCGACAAGTGTTTGAAAGATGGATGAATTGGGAGCCAGAGGAACAAGCCTGGCATTCTTACATCAATCTTGAACTTCGCTTCAAAGAGTTTGAGAGAGCTCGCAGTATTTATGAACGATTTGTTCTCGTCCATCCTGAGGTGAAGAATTGGATAAAGTATGCAAAGTTTGAGGAAAAACATGGAAATATAGGTACTTGGCATAATATAATTTGAAATGCTTTTATATATACATATAGCCCAACATTTCTGCAACATGGTAATCCAAAACACTAGCTTTGATCATTTTACTGAGTGTTGTCTGATATGTTTGTAGTGAAGTCTCGTGACGTGTTTGAGAGAGCAGTTGAGTTCTATGGGGAGGAAAACATGGATGAAAAAATATTTGTGGCATTTGCAAGATTTGAGGAGGCTTGTAAGGAGGTAAAAGAAGTGATTGAGATTAGTTATTTCCAGATTATATTTATACTTGTGCCTTCTCAATTATAATTGTATAATCAAGCTTTGTTTCTCATAGGGGAAGTAAATGTGAACAGGTAGTTTTTAGTTTATTTTTCTTTTACTAAAATTTAACTTCTTTTTTTTATCCAGCACGACAGAGTGAGGGTTATCTGTAAATACGCTTTGGATCATTTACCCAAAGAACAATGTCAGGATCTATATAAATTTTACACCCAACATGAGAAAAGATTTGGCGATAAAGGTGGCATAGAAGATGTCATTGTTTCCAAGAGAAAATTTCAATACGAAGAGGTACAGTATTGTCATGTCTTGTGTAGAGTCATTGTTTAAACATCTTTTCCACAATACGTGATATTTCACAGCAATTTTAAAAATTCTCTTTTGTTTCCAGGAAATTAAAGTGAATCCTAACAACTATGATGCATGGTTTGATTATATCCGTCTTATGGAAAATGAATCAACACCAGATGCTGTGAGGGAGACATATGAGCGTGCTATATCCAACATACCTCCATCTCAGGTACGGTGGTAATACATGATTATGGGGATGGGGTTACTTGGGGATACACACACTTTCTAGCCTCATGTGTAAGTAGAGAATTTGATGGTTTTGACTTGTCAATTAAAGCTATTTCTTATGTTTTTGTCAACAAAAGTTCTTTCAAGGGGTGTTAGCTGTTAACTACACTGTTAGTGGGAGACTTTATGTATTTGTTAATCACCTAGTATTTAACTAAACAAAATGTAATCTTATAAAACAGCCAAGATTTCAAGGAACATTTATCCATCAATTTAATTCCAGTTTTATTCTCACCATCTGTGGGAGAAGAGGTTCAAATATGATTTATCTTTCTATTGTTTTATTCCAAATAAAACTGTTGTCTACACACAGGAGAAAAGATTATGGAGACGTTACATTTATCTGTGGATAAATTACGCCTTGTATGAAGAGTTGATGGCAAAGGTACAGTAATTTTAATTTTGTATTGCATAGATATAATAATGCATAAGTTTTTAAACATGAATGCCTCGATAGGACCTTTAATTAGTAGGGTAAATTAGCATGAAGTGAAATAAAAATTGAAATATTGTAACGAGATTTGTGTTGTAATAATAATAATAAATAATAATAAAGGAAACATTTAGACTAGATGCTTATTATAGCCAACTTGCTCCAAAGCGTCGCTTTTGAGATCTAGCTATGAAAAGAGTGACTATTTTCCAATACCACGGGCCAATTATTGTGACTTGCATTTAGGTTGTGCACTATGACTCATGTTAGCTGCTGGACGGGATATTTCTTGTGGAATACACCTTGTACAGGGCTTATATTGCTGTTTTTCCTTCAGGATATGGAGAGGACAAGACAGGTGTACAAAGCATGTCTGGATATCATTCCTCATAAAAAGGTTTGTGGAAATAGGACGTAATGTGATTATTAATATTGGACATTGTGTTGAAATGCAGATTGGACTATTCACGAATCTTAAAAACAATTTGTTGAACTATCATCTTTGCATTGAGAATTCGAGTACAATAGTTGTGATTGATGTAGACAGAGTGGAAAGTTTGAGGCTTGTTTTTCTTCTCTAGTTTACCTTCGCTAAGATCTGGCTTTTGTACGCACAGTTTGAAATTCGTCAGCTGGAGTTAATGAATGCAAGAAAAGCCTTGGTGAGCATAATATTTGGGAATTAAATTATTTCAGCGCAGCGATACTATGATGGTACTTTGCGTCCATTAGGAAAGGACTTTTCCGCGGGAATTCGTCCGTAAATAAATGCGTTCCGGGGTTGACTTGTTTTATTCTCTCTTGAGTTCCTTTCTGTTTCCATACAGGAAAGTAGGGTTGAGTATGTCCGTTGGATGTTTACCTCACAGATGCAGGGATTTTGGTCAAACCAAGGACGTTTTCTCGGCACGTTATACCAATTGTATTTTGTTTTTTACCACAGGGTACTGCTATAGGGAAATGCCCGAAAGACAAGTTATTTCGAGAGTACATTGGCTTGGAACTTCAGGTGAATATTGTGTTGTAGTGTTTGGTATTATTTACAAAGAGAGTTTCTATGTATTTTGTACAAGTATGGTGTTTTTTTTTAGTTACGAGAATTTGACAGATGTCGAAAGCTGTATGAAAAGTTTTTGGAGTTCAATTCGTCAAATTGCACAACGTGGATTAAGGTAGCTATTTATGAGAAATATTATTTTCAATTTCAAAATATCGAGTACACCTGTAGTTGATCTATATGTTCAGAATACTGTCCCAATGATAGATGGGTAATATACCTAGTACATGGGACTGGGAAAAGTTGTCATAAAATATGTGGATGGGAGATATTTGATTGCTTTTTTCATAAGTCAGCTAGGGCCACTGGATGAGATATGATTGCAGAGTTCCTCCACAGGGAGTTGGAACAGACCATTTTAGCTTGCTTATGCAAATCTACCCATTTCGGATGTTGTGATGATGGAATAGGCAATAAAACTTAACCATTTCAGACCATATAGCATCAAATGTGGTATAACAGCTGCCTAAAATAGAGAGAAGTGTTTTGTCTATTTTAGGCAGTTTGTTTATACCACATTTGATGCTAAGTTGTTTGAAGACGCTGCCACGCTGCTCCCTGGTTATATTGGAACTTATCTATTTCAGACCATGTGTTAATTTGCATACAAGCTGAAAAGGTCTAAATTGCGTTTGGCGTTTATGGAGAGAATTACATGAAAGTAGACGTATTTTTTTACTATAGTCAACGATGGGACAACTACGTTTGACAATTTTTAATTTTGTTGCAGTATGCAGAGCTGGAAACGATTCTTGGGGATGTTGAAAGAGCAAGAGCAATTTTCGAGTTGGCTGTGGGACAGACTTTATTGGATATGCCGGAGGTAAGAATAAAAAAATAATCTTTTTGGATCCGAGTAGCCGGAGTGATATCATTACGTTTTCGATTGTTGAAGTCAATTACGTTTCTTTAGCGACCTCACGTAATTTCATTATTGCTTCAAAACTATGCTAGGAAGTCCCACGTCTTTTCATTGTCTTCAAAGCTATGAAAGTCAAAATGCATTAGAATGTCTAACGATTGATCACCGCCTCTGTTTTGCGACTCTGAATAATCAGATTAAAAAACAATGTCAATGTCATGCAATTTATGGAGCTGAATTTGTGCGTAATTTAATAAACATCGATTAAGGCTAGGTCATTGAAAACGCCCACGGTATTTTTAGGATCTAATTGACATTTTCTTGACCAGATGGTTTTGCCTTTTCGTGCGAAGTTTTTAATAAATTCTATCGCAGTTCACAAAAGCAGTCGCAAAGATGACATGGAGTTGTTTAGGTTGATAAATGTGATATGTTTGTGTGCTGTAAATGGAGTATTTACGGTCGCTGGAACTCTTCTCAATCTATCGGTGATCATCATTCTGGCGCGATCCAACGAGCTTCGTCGAGGAACGTGTCATTTCATGATTCTTCTTTTATCTTGCTTCGATTTGCCTGTAATAATGGTTGGCCATCCAGTGTTGATATTGCGAACCTTTGCTTGGGGTTTTGATTACAAAACTACTGGACCTACGCTAACGATGGTAAGAGAGGCTCGCGTAATTTTCCAAGGCTTCGCGTTTGGTGCATTGTTAGCCATGAATATCGATCGTTACGTCGCAATTGCACATCCATTTTTGCATCACGCTTCATTATCCAAGAAGCGGCTGGTTGTGTTAATGGTCATCTTGCAGCTGGTTCTAGGTTTTTTGCCGTCTCTTCGTCACCTTCCTCACAGCGACGATGTAATGTACATGGTCATAGTAACCATTAACTTTGTAATTTTGTTCCTGATGTGCTTCATGAACTACAGAATTTTTGCCATTGGCAAGAAAATACGGCAAACTGCGCCCGATGGCACAATACCTGTGCCGGATTTGAAGAAAAACTCCACATGTATCTTGGTGATCGCGTGTTTCCTCTTGTGTACCACTCCGATGAATGTATACACAGGACTGAGGTTCGCTGCCTCAAGTGTGACGGGTAATGAAGATTTTGGGACACCGTTTCGTCTCTGGGCGGCGACGTTAGCCACCTTAAATTCGTCGTTCAATTGCGTGATTCTGTTTTGGAGAAAACGATTACCACGTCGGATTCCAGTGTTGAAAACAAAGAAACGTTGCCCTGTTGTTGAGCATGGATCTGTTCCAGCAATAGCTGATGGAAGCTGTTAAAGGACACTGTGTATCGCTTTATTATACAGTCTACTAGAACAAACCTTTATATGATGCTAACAGACATGTAAAAAAGGAACTTTGGAAAGAAAGAAGTCGATTGTGACGTGTTCAGCAGTTCTCTAGAGAGAGAGTTGACTGATGAGAACAGGTCTTCTAGGTTAAGCGTGAAGCATGTTTAAAACGAAATTTATATGTAGGATAAAAAATATGCATTAAAAGTGTCAATCTTCTATCGACTGGAATGAGACTTGACAACGAGGCCTGAGTTTTTAGCGGTAGGAGAAGTTTCCTACAGTGTTTTCTTGGAACTCTGCAGGAAGTACGTTTAATTTGCACAAAAGGAAAGCATTTTGTCGTTGAATCAATATTTGTTATCTGAAAAATTGCATCTAAAAATCTAAAATTCTTAATTCACTAGACCTTCGTTTATTTTGTTACATGTTTAAATTTTCGTTCTACGAAGCCACACAGCGTCTGAGGTACTTGTCACATCATGAAGGCTACGCAATGTCCATGTGTTTGACACATAGTGACGGGGCTGTTTTCAGTTTATTGAGTGCTCCTCCCTCTCAATGCCAGTAAGCGATATTAGACTGACAGAGTTTTTTTGTTTTAAAGGTGTTGTGGAAGGCGTACATTGATTTTGAGATTGGTCAAGAAGAGTTTCAGAAAACGAGAGACCTTTACGAACGACTGCTGGAGAGGACACAACATGTGAAGGTAGGAACTGCTTTAAGTTGTGACTTGTTTCCTTGTTTGGTCCCTGTTGTCATATTACTGTTTTATTTTCTGGGGAAGCGGCGTTTTCCGTGCGAAATTAAGCTGTGGGTTTGTAGGAATGGTTTTGCACTCAGGAGAACGTTTTCTGTTGTCAGTGAATTTTCAACGGTGGTGATGCCTGAAATAGCGATCACATTCTCTGTCTACCGTCTCCTTTGGATTCTGGAAAGACAAGCTTGGCTTCGTCAAGGCACTCTATCATTTCCCGTGAACGTCCTTATTTTGTATGAAGATGTTTGAGATCTTTAGGAGCAGAGGTTCTCCAGACCCTGTCTTTCGGCCACGGTGTAGTGATGGGTGGGGTTGGAATATACTCCTGACAGTGACATGGAAGAATTTGAATTAGTTTTTGGTAAATGTATTGAATGCGATCTGACTTTGTTCATGTTGTAGGTATGGATAAGTTATGCTCAATTTGAATTGACAACTGACCTGGAGGACCGCGTGAAACAAGCAAGGTAATGTTGTCGTTGAAGAACTTTCACTTTCTTAGCAACAAATTTGGTTGGAGATTCTTGTTACCATGATTTTAATTTTATCATAAATGGGCGGTGGTAGATCATTTCAACTATAGTATTCAGTGTTAACGTTTTCTCGGGTAAAGTAAGAGGCATCGATTTGAATTCGCTTTTAACACGATTTCTGGTTACATCACTTGCATGATTCGGCTGTAAAAATGTCGGTAACAATGCTTTTTGCAATTTCTTATAGTTAGGTTTAACTTGTGTTCCTACTTTCTAGGAATGTGTACGAACGTGCTAACGGTGAACTGAAGAGAGCGGAAGATAAAGAAGAAAGATTTATGTTACTGGAATCATGGAAACAATTTGAAGTAAGTCGTTTACTAGCTTTTCTATCATCGTATGTATTAATGTAGGAAACCTGGAGCAAGTATGAATATAAATTTCTATAAAAAATTCTATAAAGACAACGTCAGGTGATGAAGAATCACTCGAGCTTGTTCAAAAGAAGATGCCACGAAAAGTTAAGAAGAGAAGAAAAGTCGAAACAGATGATGGGGTAAATATAACGATTTTTGCGATGTTTTGTGTGGGCATCATGAACTGTCACAATAAAGTAACTTGTTCTAGGAACCTTTTTTAATATATGTGTTTTATATCAATTTTTGCAGTCGGATGCAGGCTGGGAAGAATATTATGATTATATATTTCCGGATGACGAAGATGGCCGTCCAAACTTCAAACTTCTACAAATGGCCAGACTTTGGAAACAGAACAAGGCTCAGGAGTGAACATCAGCGTCACACAATATCAAGTGAGTAAAAGTTATTGTATAAATTGGGGATGACTAGCTGCCTGTTGTGATTGCTGTGATCAGTAAACAATTGAAAATGCTGTGGAATTTATTAAACTAGACTCAGTTTATCTTGTTAACAACTGTTGCACCCAAAAAATCATTTTAACCAGTTTGATTTTGAAAGTAGTTAGGAATACATAAAGTATTAGACAGGACAGCAAAATCTAAGGATTCATCTAAGGATTTAGTAACAGTCTAATAAGTTGTGTTGGTTTTCTGATGCAGCAGCTAATATGTCTTCTAAGAAAGATACTGGATCTTGAGTTAAACTGTTTGTCTGAAATTGGTCTTCAAGCTCGTTTAAATTAAGTACTAGTAATGTCTGTAGAAGAGAGTAATTTTTCTGTTGTTTCATCTGTAATGTGAAATTTCTCAAATCATCAAGTGATCCATGGTAATTCAACTCATCTTGCGGCGACTGGTGAACATATTCCATCTTTATTCTTTGAAGAATAACCATACCTTTTTCTCTGACCGGTTGATCATAGTCTGTTATGGCACTCAATACCACCAGGCATATCTCCTCAAACCAACTGTAGTCTATGCTCAAAGAAACGTTTATTTTTTCACAATAGTAATTGAGCATTGTTTCCCAGAAATTTAATGCACAAAGTTTAACTTCCCAGTCAAAGTCTTCACAAGCTTTGTTAAGTACTTTAGCAACTGTTGTAGAAGTGAATTTGTCTTTTAAATACATCAGTATGATGCTGTGTTCTGTTTCAAGCCATAAGCGTAAGATATCTACCACAGCACGGCGTGGAAAGGATTCTTCTTCTTTTTGAAAAGCATTCACAATATAATTTAACACTTTTTCCTATAAGGAGAGAGGGTGTATAAGCATCTGGAGGTGGTTTGTGCACATCTTTCATTCTTATGAGGGCTGGGCAAGCTCACTGTATGATGAGATCTTTAAAGTATTTTTACCTCAGACAATGAAATGCTGTCACAATATTGTTTCCAAATGGCATCACGTGCTGAGATAGCTTGGAGGAGATAAATGGACGATGCTCTGACATAACTTTCACCATCTTCCATCAACTTCCACAATTCAAGGAGCAGCTTTTGGTCAAGCAATACCTGCAAACTAGAAACTAAAATGGGATGGTGAGAATTTCTTTCTAGGTCTAAATACTTGAAGCGAAACTCATAATGTTGTTTTGAGACAGTGAATGAACTATGGAGGTTTTCATTATGTAAGAACTCACCATCAAATGTCTGAAGAAGGTATTGAAGGAAATTAAGTGCAGAATCCCTGGTATCCCAACATGGGATTGAACATTGTTGAAGAAGCACATTATTTAATGCTCCAACATTTACATAGGTGGGAAATGCTTGGTGTGGCTTATATATCCATTTGAGACCTTCATAACAGCTGCCAAGGATCTGGAAAATTTGGATGCATTTAATATCATGAAAAGTTTATGAAACGTGATAAAGTTTATGAAAGACATGCTGCATTGTTAGCGATTCAGATAGAATATTAGTTAGCATGATATCTGTCTGATTCTATTATCTTATGAATGGTCATCTGTGAATTCATTCTTGCATCTGTTTATATATTGGGTGAAGTTGGTAAGAAAAGTTAATAATAGAATTTATTTGCTAATTTTTCAAATAGAATATGCTCAATTTTCAGATAATTTTGAAGTTGAATGTGTAACACATTGCTTTGTTAGACATACCATGTTGTCCTGTGAAGTAGATAGAAGCCTAATGAACAGCTTGTGGCATTCCTCTTTTGTGGTGTCGTCTAAGTTTGTAAACAACTATAGCTTTTTAGTGATGAATTTTTATTTTGATTTTATTTCAGAATTATGTTGATGGAAGATAAGATTGATGATATTGCCGTGATGTGATGTGATAAGTAGGTAAAGCGTTCAACTAACCATTGAAAAGGTTGCGTTCAAGACAGATAACAAGGGCTTTGATGAAGAACCTTGTCAATGTATTTTTCGCAAAGTAATTGTCAGACTGTTGACCAAGAAAGTGTACAATATCTTTACACCATCTATGAACAAGCTCTTGCATTGGTGAATAGGCAGATAACTGTAGGGATATGGAATGAGTTGAAAAAATGCATAGAATAATGTCTTTAGGTAATGAAGTAGTAGATATATACACTGTACCTCTATATCATGAATGATGTCTGTTGTAACTGTCAAAGACTGGGCAATAATCAAACTGGTAACATGTTTGAAGATGTCTTTTATGAACACAGGAACAGTGCTGTAGCTTTCACCACCCTGCAATGTAAACATTAGTATTGTATGTCAATAGAAATTTTTACAGGCGAAATGAAATTTATAATCGTTAAGAAAGTGTGGCTAGGTATTGAAGAAGTAGGAGATGCATTATAAAGCAAGTTGTACGTGTTTCTGTATAGAAAAAGGTTTGACATACTGTGTAATCAAGTAAGAGCATTTCCTTGGCTGCATTTTGTGCACTTTGGCATTCTTCAACATTGTTGGTCTCTTCGATCTTGTGGAAAGTTCCGTGGACAGGAAATGTGAGTAATACAAAGAGTGAACACAAACCAGATTCTTTGGATTTCCTAAATTTGAGTTGAGGTGATATTAAACTAATGCTTGTTATATTTGTGCATTTGCAGCTTACAGACTTGTATAGTTTTGAAATAAAGTGAATAGAGGTAAAGACTTACATTGCGGTTTTAATCTGAAATTGTTTGCAACTTACATAAATTTTCTTGCATGAAACATTCCCTGAACGAGTTGAAATGCATAGAAAACAAAGTGTCTTTTACAAAGAACGAGGATAAACTCTAAGAATATATTCAACAAATGTTTGTCTTCTTTGAGGTGAAGTAACAGTGGCCAGTCAAGTTGCCATGAACTAAATGAAATATGGATAGTCACACGAATTGCTAAAAGCTTGAAGTCTTCAGTCAATAATGCATACCCAAACAAGGTGAGCATAATTGCATGGTCCAGTATGTGGACTGGCAGTCTTTTGATAGTCTGATGTCCTTGGGATTTGAGAGAAAACAAGGGCTTGGGCAGAGACCCTGTTATTTGAATGCCAAATATGTGAATGTGAAAAATACCTTGTGTTTGTAAGCATGGTAAATATTACATCAGTCAGTTTACCACACTCTTCTTTATTGGCATGGTTGAACAATTCAAAGCATGATACCATTATAGCTGAGGGGTGCAAAATTTCCTGGGCAGTAACAGTATTCTCTTCCATTAATGTTAAGAGCAGTTGGACGATAGACACTTGATATGGCATTGTACGGATCAATCCAGTTGGTGTTTCTTCAATGATATTTTTGAAATGATTTACAATGCACTTGACACATGTAGCGCAATGTTTCAATAATGTGTTTCTTGCCGGCGTGGGGCAATGGTGCATTGGTGAATCTTCGTCACCACTTTCATTATGGGTGTCGTTGTGGTTGGTAGTGGATTTGTGCAGAGTAATTATATATTTTGCAATAAATGTTCTTGCAGAGTCAGCAACAAATATACTGCTATCAACCAAGTTGTTCATAGCATGTTGGAGAACACCTTAAAATATGAAGAATTGGTATTAGGCAGGATAAATGCGATTAAGATATGTAAACAAACCATGTGAAACAAACAGTTTGTTTATTATTTGCGCTTCCAGGCTTTTTAAAATACCATGTGCTGTAGGAATGCACAGATTGATTAAACAGATTGATGTTGATTAAACTACAAAACTGGGCAGTTCGGGTGCATTTGTGGCTGTGGGGAGGTGCTGATGAGCTGATCTTCATATTTTGAAGTAAAGGAGCAACAGTATGACAACGGGTATGACGATTACCTGACTTTTGTAGCCAAATAAATCCATTATTTGTGCTTATTATTCCAATGGCTGCTTTGAAGTACGAATCTCTTACACAGGGGTCTGTCCAGAATTCGTGTTTTCTTATGACTTCACGAAGTAAATATTGGAGTATATTGTCAAGAGAAAAGAAGACATGAAATCCTTCACTTGAACAGGTGATAACGACCGATAATCTTAGAGTAAAACTAAGTGTTGCAGGTGTGATCTTTTCGGCATGTTGAATTCGATTGAAATACTTAACGAGAACATTTTCTATTCTTTTTCTTTCGTCAAAATGACTGTAAAGAGAATGCAGTATTTCTAGTAACTTTTCCAAGCTTGTATCATCAACAATCTTGTCAATTTTGGAGAAAATTAAGAGTAAAACTTCATGCAATTTTTGGAAAAACTCCTCGCTGACCGCCATATTTTGAAAGCCTCAGGGTTAATAAACTTATATTTTAATGTCATGTTACGAGGGTTCGAAATATAAATTACATATATTAGCATGAATTATATAATCACAGTATTGTATTTTGTAGGAGTTTGTTTCTTTGAGACTAGGCTTACCCCTTACCATTTTGGTCAATTTTGACGACTTTTTCAATGGTTCAAAAACTGTCTTAAAATGCTAAATATAACTTCCTAAGACTAATATCTTTGATTTTAGAGCATATTTGGTTGGTTTTTGGAACATTTGAAAAATCGTCAAAATTGACCAAAATGGTAAGTTTTTCAACCGTTCAAAAACTGTCTTAAAATGCAAAAAAATTGCTTCCTAAGACTAATATGTTTTATTTTAAAGCATATTTGGTTAGTTTTTGGAAAATTGAAAAATGGTCAAAATTGACCAAAATGGTAAGGCTTACCCCTTACCATTCTTACCATTTTGGTCAATTTTCACGACTTTTTCAACTATTCAACAATTGTCTTAAAATGCTAAATATAACTTCCTAAGACTAATATCTTTCATTTTAGAGCATATTTGGTTAATTTTTGGAACATTGAAAAATCATCAAAATTGACCAAAATGGTAAGGCTTACCCCTTACCATTCTTATCATTTTGGTCAATTTTCACGACTTTTTCAGCTATTCAACAATTGTCTTAAAATGCTAAAAATGGCTTCCGAAGACTAATATCTTTCATTTTAGATCATATTTGGTTGGTTTTTTGAACATTGAAAAAGTCGTCAATTTTGCCTTCAAGTATTGAAATGTATTATTTTATGGCACGTATCAACACACTATGCGGTGGCCTAGTGGTTAAGAATCCTGCAAGGGTAAGTGTAATTTTTCCCACCTAAATTGCTATCTAATTTAAAATTCTTCGAATAGGATTAAGTAAATAAAGAACAAGAACTATTGATAAATGATGCTGTGGCCCAGTGGTTAAGACTACCGGCTACCAGGTTGTGAACCTAGGTTCGAATCCTGCATGGGAAAAGTTCGATTTTTCCCACCGAAATTATTCTTTAATTTAAACTTTATCGAAAAGGATTAGGTCAAATAAAGAACAATAGCTTTCGACAAATGATGCGGTGGTCTAATGGTTAAGACGTTCGTCTCTCAATCCGAGGACTAACGTTTCAACTCCTGGCAATGCAACAAAATTAGCCTAAAAATTTCGGTGTGATTTGGAATGTTTAAAACAGTTAAGACTTCTCGGCCTTTGCAAAAGACAGTAAATTGGAAAAAATTTGAAATATAAAAACCAAAAAAAATTATCGCCTTCAAAAGTACCTGAAAATTGAAAGAAAAGCACAAGAAAAAAGAGTTTTAAAAACACGTGTCTTCTAAAAAGCCTGAAAATGAAGAAAGTCGGCCGGAAAAATTAACAATTTCCCGCTTTTAAAAAACTCATGTTTACTTACCTTAATTTTTTTTCACGAAAATTTGACAGGGTGATTTTCTCGAGAGTGAAAAAATTTAATTTTTTTCACTTTTTTGAAATTCTCTAAGATTTTTTTTTACGAAGATGTATTTTGTCTTGGGCTACCTGTGTCTGGCTTGACACAGGTAGCCCAAGACATAATACTTTTTCGTAAAAAAAATCTCGGAGATAAACTAGAGAAATAGAAGAAAAAAATAGAAAATAAACCAGAGACCACAAGACAAAAATCAAGTTTCTTAAACTTTCAAAAAAATTTAGAAATACTTAGAGAAAAACATAAAAAGAAGAGAAAAAACTAAGTAGAAAAATAGAAAAAAAAACTAGAGAAATAGAAGAAAAAACCAGAGAAAAAAAATAACTAGAAAAACTAGAGAAAAAAACAAGAGAAAAACATTAAGAAAAAACTAGAGAAAAAAAACTAGAGAAAAAACTAAGTAGAAAAAAAACTAGAGAAATAGAAAAAAACAGAGAAAAGAAAACTAACTAGAAAAACTAGAGAAAAACTAGAGAATAAAAGACAAGAGAAAATAGAAAAAAAAACTAGAGAAATAGAAGAAAAAATAGAGAAATAGAAGAAAAAACTAGAGAAGAAAAAACTAGAGAAATAGAAGAAAAAACCAGAGAAAAAAAAACTAACTAGAAAAACTAGAGAAAAAAACAAGAGAAAAACGTTAAGAAAACACTAGAGAAAAAAACTAAGTAGAAAAAAAACTAGAGAAATAGAAGAAAAAAAACGGAGAAAAGAAAACTAACCAGAAAAACTAGAGAATAAAAGACAAGAGAAAATAGAAAGAAAAACTAGAGAAATAGAAGAAAAAATAGAGAAAAAGAAGAAAAAACTAGAGAAAAAAAACTAGAGAAATAGAAGAAAAAAACAGAGAAAAAAAACTAACTAGAAAAACTAGAGAAAAAAACAAGAGAAAAACGTTAAGAAAACACTGGAGAAAAAAACTAAGTAGAAAAAAACTAGAGAAATAGAAGAAAAAAAACAGAGAAAAGAAAACTAACTAGAAAAACTAGAGAAAAACTAGAGAATAAAAGACAAGAGAAATAGAAAAAAAACTCGAGAAATAGAAGAAAAAAGAGAAAAGAAGGAAAAACTAGAGAAAAAAAACTAGAGAAATAGAAGAAAAAACTAACAGAGAAAAAAAACTAACTAGAAAAACTAGAGAAAAAAACAAGAGAAAAACGTTAAGAAAAAACTGGAAAAAAACTAAGTAGAAAAAAACTAGAGAAATAGAAGAAAAAAAACAGAGAAAAGAAAACTAACCAGAAAAACTAGAGAAAAACTAGAGAATAAAAGACAAGAGAAAATAGAAAAAAAAACTAGAGAAATAGAAGAAAAAATAGAGAAATAGAAGAAAAAACTAGAGAAGAAAAAACTAGAGAAATAGAAGAAAAAACCAGAGAAAAAACTAACTAGAAAAACTAGAGAAAAAAACAAGAGAAAAGCATTAAGAAAAGAACTGGAGAAAAAAACTAAGTAGAAAAAAAACTAGAGAAATAGAAGAAAAAACCAGAGAAAAAACTAACTAGAAAAACTAGAGAAAAAAACAAGAGAAAAACATTAAGAAAAAACTAGAGAAAAAAAACTAGAGAAAAAACTAAGTAGAAAAAAAACTAGAGAAATAGAAAAAAACAGAGAAAAGAAAACTAACTAGAAAAACTAGAAAATAAAAGACAAGAGAAAAAAAACTAGAGAAATAGAAGAAAAAACCAGAGAAAAAACTAACTAGAAAAACTAGAGAAAAAAACAAGAGAAAACATTAAGAAAAAAAACTGGAGAAAAAACTAAGTAGAAAAATAACTAGAGAAATAGAAGAAAAAACCAGAGAAAAGAAAACTAACTAGAAAAACTAGAGAATAAAAGACAAGAGAAAATAGAAAAAAACTAGAGAAATAAAAGAAAAAATAGAGAAATAGTAGAACAAACTAGAGAAAAAAAAACTAGAGCAATAGAAGAAAATACTAACAGGTTTAACTTAGAAAAATACTAAAAAATATTAAGAGGTTTAATTTAGAATTGTCAAGTCACACAGAAGAACTTGCAAAATAAAAACACTAACACCATCAGACGAAAAGGTTTATTTCTTAAACTTTACAAAGAAAAAAGATTTATAAATCCAAGTTTTGAAAATTGTCACATAATTCATCACATTTCACACTAAAAAATATTAATCAATGAAACTGGGTGCCTTTCAACTTTCTTAAACACCAAAGAAAAAAAGAATTTCATCAAAAAATAATAAGAGAAAATATATTAGAAAAAATACTAATACTAAGAAGAAATTAAAGAGAAAGAAGTATGAGAAAAAGCCAAAAGCAACGGCCAAAATATTTTCAATTGTGAAAGCACAGAGAAAAACATGCAAAATCAAAACACCAACACCACCAGACAAAAAAGGTTTACTTCTTAAACCTTACAAAGAAAAAATTCTCTTTATAAATCCAAGTTTTGAAAATTGTCACATAATTGATCACATTTCACACATGTTATCACACACTAAAATATTCAATGAATCTAGGATAGGGCTAAATAATTCAGGTTCTTCTGGGGTGCCTTTCAACTTTCTTCAACTTCATTCATTCTAAAGAGAAAAAGCATTTCATCAATCCTTTTAGGCAAAAAGTTGTATTTCAACCTGACATCATTATTAAAAGATATTACTCATTATCTTAGTTTAGCCATCTTTCATGGATAGACAATACATTCGTGAATGCATTTTGTTTTATGCCAATTATATTTTTGCTATTTTCAATAAAAGAATGTGTCACATGCATATATTCAACCCAGAAATATGTCACTATTTAATTTGAACACAGAAAAACTGGGTACCACCCTTCTGAGTACTACAGAATATAAATCACATGGAAATCAGAAAAATTTCTCCCAAGTTTAAAATAGTAGTTGCTGGTCTTTTTCATGGATATTTATTGTAAGACAACCACAGGAATTTTAGTAATCAGCCAGACTGGTTCAGCTGTTATAGCATTAAGTTTCATCATTGGTTTCACGCATGGTGACCATAGAAGCAAATTACAATTTCATTGTTGTCATCTCAACAATGTAGTGGCTTTTTAAAATAAAATGCTGACCATCCATGACAAAATCAAATTACCTCAGTGCAGATATCTTGTTCACTTTCCAATCAATGTACATCTGACAGTAAAGTTCATATCCACGGCTCATGTTGCACTCTTGACCAGGGAAAATCTTGAATATTACAAGAACACATGATTAATCTAAAATTCCATTTTCAACTATCTTAATTATTGTCTAGTTTTTGGTCAGGCATTCTATGGTTACTTCATCCCTCTATATAAATATGCTATATTTATTCAAAGCCCACCACAGGAATTTATCATTGGTGACCACATAGGGAGCATAGAAGCAAAGTTCACTTAGCAATCTTAACAAAATTGTGACTGCCTGACGATTTTCATGAAGATCCTAGTTGCAGCAAATTCCCCCTTATACTAAATAACAAAATATATATCTGGGCGGTTGATATGTATTACAAGGTCACTACAAGAATTTCAGCTGCAAGGCTAATATAATTTTGAAGGAACAATCAAATTACCTCTGCAAAAATCTTGTTCACTTCCAATTTTCCTCTGACAGTAAAGT